ACTGATTCAGACTGGGAAAGATCTCAGCTTAAAAGACTGGATGAAAGAGAAAGGTATTTAGGGTAACAGAGATGCTGCCTGTCTATAATATTCAGAGGACGGGAGTTGTTTTGTTTGTTGTTTGTTTTTTTATACTGTAAATTGCCCTGTGATCCTCAGATGAAGGGTCGTGTTGGTGTGCAAATTCAGTAAATAAATAAAATAAATAACACTCCAAAGCATAGGTGCCACAACACTATAGGCCCGATTCTTAATATTGTGCAGGACTCTTGATAAGACGGTATTCTGCAGGAAGCCTTCACCTGTATAGCAGTGATTTGACTGGAGGTATAATTTCCAGGCATATCATTACTAAAACTCTGCCTATTAAAAGCAAGTTAGCAAGCTGATATTCTGAGGAATCTGAACTCCGTATACAATTACTGACCTTTAAAGCCCTACATCATGGTTGGGTGCATGAAATAACATCTCCCACACTGACCTGCCTCTGTCCTGAGACCATCTTTGTACGTTCTCCCCGCCCCTTCTGCCTACTCCAGCAGTCTGAGGTGAGGCAGGTAGCAAATGGGTTGGGGGGTTTATTGCCATCTCACTTACAGAAGTCCCTCCCCAGCGAGGATCACATGATGCCTGTACTACCACATAGACCTATTTTAAAGGTCCAGGGGCCTTTTTTAACACCTGAGAACTTCTTAATGCTGCTGCTGCTTTATAGACTGTTGCTTTACTGTGTACTGTATTTATTCCTGTGTTGTTGTTTTTTATTGTGCTTTGTGTTTGTGACCTACCCTGGAAATATTTGTCAAGCAGTGGTGCATATATAGCTTTATATACCATATATGCTGTGATATAACATGCCTCTCTTTTCTTCTTCTTCTATGTAAGCAAATACGGTTACACATTCTTAAATATTAAATTGGAGATAGAGACCTAAGAAGTTAAGCCAAAAGTTCAGTGGAAAGGGTTTTGGTGAGGATTCGAAGAGCATATGAAGATCTTTTCCCTTGCTTTTCCTTCACTAACTGGATATGTCTCTTCTTACACTTTCAGAAGCACAACAATTGAGAGGCTAAATGATAAAGATGTGGTTGTAATATTAGGCAGCATATGTCAAGTGCTAATTCAATATAAAGGCACTATTACATGAGCAGAAAGTATCCCACTGGGTATTTAGCAAAGAGCTGATATTAACAGCATTGCAGACATCAAACTAAATGGAGACTGGCACTAAGAAATTTCCTCAGACATGCTGCTCTTATGAATATTATTGCATACCCCTGGATTTTTCCTCAACATTTTGGGTTTAACAGATACTGCCCTAAGCTATATATATATATATATATAGTACAATCTACAGTAATGAATCTTAAGTTAAGCTTGATTCACAGTATAAATTGCAACTCTTTTCTTAATTTTTAGATCTATTTTCCCCCCCTGCAGCCAAGACAATAGTTGCCATGTCACTTGTGTAATGAGCACTCGGTAGTCACAAATACCCCAGTGGAGTTTCACTTTACTGATTTCAGAAGGTAATTGGATAAATAATTAAAAGTGGTCGTGCTCTCTGGTCGTGGAATTTCTGGCTACATACTGTTGAAGAAGTAAACTGAGCGATATCTGTTCTCAATGGCTCATTCTAAATTAAAAATGGTGAGTCATGGCCAATCATAATTTCCCTAAACATCCTAACTTCAGCATTTTAGAACATGGCCTACATGTATCAGCTGCCTTTCCACATCTATTTCCCCCCACTTTCATTATCAGGTGAATTGGAGATTTAGTTTAAATCCCATTCTTCTCTCTAAACTCCCTCCTCCCTGCAAGATAAGGTAGTTCTAGAAAATTATGGTGTAAGTTGGAGCCACTTCCCGCAGGTAGTTTAGACTTCTTATTCAGTAAAATATCCACCACCATTCCAGGCTAAAACTTTGGGATTCAGTTATTGGTCCTGGATTTGTGGAGACACAGCTAGGTATCTTGGATGTCTTGTGATAACTTACGTAGGATCATCTGGAGATCATGCAATAACAAAAGCTGTCATGTGTTCTGTAGAACCATCTTGCCCATTACTTCTGCCTCTGAAAATGGTGCGCCTCATTTTGTGTCTTCTAGAAACGCTCTTGGGAGATAAGTTACGTAGTTGCATCGTAACAGGTTTTGTAATGGTTTCTCAAATGAATAATCGCTGCAGTATGAGTCTTTTCTTATCTACTTGCAGGAAAAAACAACAACAACTGGAAGTCAGTACAAGAAAACACGATGGCTGTTCAACTTAGCTAGAAATTAAACAAATGATGAATTGTGTTTCAACATGTGATAAAAATAACTCAGCTATCTTTGTGAGCTATTATACAAATGTACATTTCTTCTTGGAAACACTTCCCTGATTTACACTCCTGATTTATATGAAGATTAGTAATATTACACCACATAAGCATCAGCAATGAATATCTGATCTTACTATGGAAGGTGCCTGTATGGGAGAGCTTGGTTAATTTTAAAATTGTCACAAATTCATAATGATTTTTTTTTTTTTTTTACTTCTTGTTATAGCAAATTCAGGTGGACAAATGCCTATTATTTTTGAGATCGAACCCAAAATAAGGAAGTGGTTCCTTGGAACTTTCTAGGTATGCTGAATTACAGATGTTTGTTAATTAAAAGCCAGAAGGAACTGTTGCTTTTTTTAAAAGAACAACAACAATGATCTGATGGGGACCTGTGAGGACAGAAAGTCACTGATGACAAAATGATAAGAAAACCCTGGAGTACCTACCATATTTTTCCATATATAAGACGCCCTCTACTTTTGAGGACCCCATATTTAGAAAATGGGCATATGCACTTTCCGTGTATAAGACACCTCCAGATTTTGAACCTTATTTTAAAGGCCAAAAACCTAATCTTATACATGGAAAAATAAGGTAACTTCATGTCTACAACTAAGCCTGTAACACAAGTACCCAACAGTAAGCAAAATCATGTATTATTATTTCACTGTTTAGCCTGCCTTCCCTTTGTTATTTACCCTATGTCATGTTTTAGATTGTATACTCCTCAGGGCAGGGATCTATCCTGCATACTAATGGTAAAATGTAAAGGAAATGTATCTTCCAGGTTCACATCGAGCAGCAAAGACAGAACTGTCTTGTGCTGCCACCTTAGGGTGGGGGTGCAGCATGACACCCAGTCACAGGTTCGCTAAAATCCTGCCTTTTTCTACTGGCAACTCTTGCTTCCAACCTGTGTTATGTGTGAAAAACAGAAGGTTTAAAGAAACTCAAAGTCTGACAGACTGTTAAGTACCAATTTAGGCTGTTTACGCATTACTGCATGGATAGGCAAACTAAGGCCCAGAGGCCGGATCCGGCCCAATTGCCTTCTGAATCCGGCCCGTGGACGGTCAGGGAATCAGCATGTTTTTACATGAGTAGAATGTGCCCTTTTATTTAAAACGCATCTCTGAGTTGTTTGTGGGTCCTGCCTGGTGTTTTTACATGAGTAGAATGTGTGCTTTTATTTAAAATGCATCTCTGGGCTCTTTGTGGGGCATAGGAATTTGTTCATCCCCCCCCCCAAATAAATATAGTCGGGCCCCCGACAAGGTCTGAGGGACAGTGGACCGGCCCCCTGCAGAAGGGAAAAGGTTTCTCATTTCCTTCTCCTCCTAACCCTGCCCCATCTTCCTTTTGAGAAGCGCTACAAGATTCCTGTTCCTGGCTGGCGGTGGGGTGGGAGATATACTGCAACATTTTGTTGCAGGTTGCAACGGTATGTGTCTTATTTTAGATACAGATCTCAAAAAGATCTTGGGTTTGAAACTATGGCTGAACAATTACACTGATAAGTTGGAGGGGGAGAAAGGCAAGATTGGGGAGTGTAGAAAAATTAAGACATATGATTCTGAGATATCAAGGAGAAGTGAAGGGGGAGGAGTAATTCAATTTTAAAAAACCATCTCCAGACAACCATAGCAGAACCCCTGTTATGTAACCTACAAGGAAGTCGGGACAAAGGGTTATAAATTGCCATTATAAGAGTGATGAATGTCGTGTCTCTAATTCTTTTTAAAGTTGGCTATTACATCAGCTCAGTTGGCACTGCAGAGGTTGTGAAAAGATCGCAGGGGTCACCTTTCGAATCCTTCCTTGTGATTTTCTGGTATAACCACAACATCACAATTAATAAATAATGACTACTTTGTATGCAAGCTTTAATGACTCAAGCCCCGCCCCCTTTTTCTTTCCCCTCAGCAATCTCCTTGTGCCCCATTTTCCCCCTCCCTCAATGTTATTTTCATAATGAAAGCCTCCAACTTGTATTTCTTCCATAGGAAGGAATAGGTAGTGGCCTGGCCACAAAGAAGGATGGCAGTAATTTTGCTGCACACAGATTTATGTTAAATATTTGCAGAGAGAAATTATCAGCACCATTCAGATTTGTGTTCATTCTGATCCTTATTGGAAAAAAGTCAGCAAGTGTCTAACATTGATATGCTTTACAAATCCCATTGAGCTTATTCCATGGGAACTCATGAAATCATAGAATTGTAGAGTTGGAAAGGGACCACCAAGGGTCATCTAGTCCAACCCCTTGAAATGCAGGAATCTTAACTTAAAGCATCCATGACAAGCGGCCATCCAACCTCTGCTTAAAAGGAAGGGGAGTCCACAGCCTCCCAAGGGAGACAAACCACAAGCTTACAACTAAATTTTAAAGTTACTAAAAACATTTGCACACAAATTGTGGATGAAAACATAAATTATAAATTAACAGAACAATAACCTCCCCAAATAAATATTTATTGTTCAGGACCTTAATCTCATTTGCTGCCATTATGGGTGAAGCATATTATTTTCTTTGCATTATGGAAAACTTTATTTTCCAAACTGTGTGTTTATTCCCCCCCCCCCTTTTCTGCTGGAGCTGTTCCAACTTCAGGAATAAATATATTGATTTCAATTTCCTTGATCATACATTCTCTATTTCATAGAATCAAAGAATCATAGAGTTGGAAGAGACCACAAGGGCCATCGAGTCCAACCCCCTGCCAAGCAGGAAACACCATCAGAGCACTCCTGACATATGGTTGTCAAGCCTCTGCTTAAAGACCTCCAAAGAAGGAGACTCCACCACACTCCTTGGCAGCAAATTCCACTGTCGAACAGCTCTTACTGTCAGGAAGTTCTTCCTAATGTTTAGGTGGAATCTTCTTTCTTGTAGTTTGGATCCATTGCTCCGTGTCCGCTTCTCTGGAGCAGCAGAAAACAACCTTTCTCCCTCCTCTATGTGACATCCTTTTATATATTTGAACATGGCTATCATATCACCCCTTAACCTCTTCTTCTCCAGGCTAAACATGCCCAGCTCCCTTAGCCGTTCCTCATAAGGCATTGTTTCCAGGCCTTTGACCATTTTGGTTGCCCTCCTCTGGACACGTTCCAGTTTGTCAGTGTCCTTATTTGTTAAAGGATGAACCTGAGGTCCCCCAAAAGGTCCAGTTGTTGGATGTTTTGAATGACCAGTGCACCAGAGTTACTCTGAGCATTCAAAACTGCATTCTGGTCCAGAGATGGAAGGAAGAAAAAGTTCCCATCAGAAAGGAATGGCAGACCAAACTGATGGCCTATGCAGAGATGGCGAAAATGACTGGGGGAATCAGAAACCAGAAAGAACAGAATTTCAATAAAGAACGGGGGAAATTTATAACACCTTGAAGACCACTGTAAACAGTTGAGCTCCTTAGCAGGATTTGAATCACACTTGTAACAAGAACTAGGGATACATTGGGTATTTAAAAATTAGAGTGACTTAAAATATGAAAAGGACTAGTGACAGAACCCTCAGAGGGGTGGGGTGGGGAAGTCCAGAGATTTGGTTGAATCTTTGTTTGCTTATTTTTATTATTATTCATGATTTTGAATGTACATTTTAATTTGTAAAACTAAATATTTAATTTAAAAAAACCCAAACTGCATTCTGGAGTCAGTGAAGAAACTAGCCGTTTTCAAACTAACAGTGCGTTAATCTGTGTCAAACTAAACTTAACTCTACTGACCTGAAAATAAAATCAGTGTACAACTCCTATCATAAAATAAGCATGCATTGGTATATTTACTAGTTCAGATAACTTCCAGTGCGCAGAAGAAATTAATGTAGCTGGCCAAAGACGTTTTGCTCAGGTAAGCATGCTCATGCAAATTATAGGGAAATATCTTCTGTGTACTGGAAGGTAGAGGCAGCTAAACTCCAAAAGTTAATTCAAAATTATATAAAGGCTGCCGTAGTCTGATGGTCCTGAAGTTATGCTTTCTTATTTATTTCATAGACAGATTTCTGTTCTATGCCAAATCCCTCAATCCACTCCAAGCTAGTTCACATGAAGTCAAGTCCCAATTAGAAGCAAGTAATAAGGACTGCATTCATTGAACATATAGCTGTTTGTATACCTGGCAGAAGGCACGCGGATGGCGCTGTGGGTTTGCCAATCAGAAGGTCGGAGGCGTTGCTCGGTCCCTGCTCTTGTCAACTTAGTAGTTCAAAAGCACGTCAAAGTGCAAGTAGATATATAGGTACCGCTCTGGAAGGTAAACGGTGTTCCCATGCACTGCTCTGGTTCGCCAGAAGCGGCTTAGTCTTGCTGGCCACATGACCCGGAAGCTGTACGCCGGCTCCCTCGGCCAATAAAGTGAAATGAGCGCCACAACCCTAGAGTCGGTCACGACTGGACCTAATGGTCAGGGGTCCCTTTACCTTTACCTTTATATCTGGCAGAACAGGCTTGTATAAGAAGATTAAAAACTATATGCATTCACCATATGCGAGAGCTTTAAGATCTTTATTACCCCTGCTGCTGTACAGAATAATAAGGAAATATTTTCAACAGCAAGTTTCTTTTTTTTAAAAAAAAAACGTTCACATGAATGCTCATATTATGAACAGAAAAAGATGGTGGCCAGAGCACATTGCCAGCCAAACTGAATGGCTGCAATACAGACAGTGCTGTTTCTTAGACAAATGATATGCTTAACCAAACAGCCAGAATGCTGGTATTGCATTAATATATGCATGTGTGCTTCCATTAGCATTTTAACAAGTACAGCAGATACAGTTTAAATATTTGTCAGGCATATTTTTCTCCTGTTTATCACCCCCCGCAATAAAAAGCTGTCTCATTTCATCTAACAAAATAGGTAAAGTAAGACGAGATAACTTATCTATGATCTTCATAGTTCTCTCATTTGTCTTTTTTGCCCGGTGTGTAAATTTGTTCGTCCATAAGGTACCACAATAGTTGTTTTTGCTGCAACGTCGTAACACAATGATTCCCTCCTAACATTCTGTGTAATCTTTGGAAATTGCCCCCTCCGCTCTCTCATACACATCCATTTCGTATCCCCCTTTTGCAAAATTTATCTGTGATGATGCTAGACAATTCTGCTTGTACCACACAAGACTGAGTCAGGTAAATAAATCATTCTCCCCCCACCCCGGACCTTTTCAGATGATCTGTTTTTAAAGCAATAAATGCAAAGTCAACTATTTGTTGTTTTCAGTCCACATAACTCCTTCAAGACTGAGCACAAATATACCATTCCCCCCACAACCACGGCTGTGCTCTGTTTACCTGGGAAAGTGCAATTCTTTCTAATGGGATATTTAACATGGTATCTAAATAGCAATAATAAAAAAAAGTCTACAGGGATGTTTCAAAGTTTTAATTGTTATAGTTTCTGAACTAGGACTGTGATAAATCTCCTGTACTTCCCTTTAGTCATGCAAAAACTGCATTTGCCATAGGTGGATAACTTGATCGGTAGAACATGAGACACTTAATCTCAAGGTCGTGGGTTCGAGCCCCATGTTAGGCAAAGGATTCCTGCATTGCAGGGGGGGCTGGACTAGATGACCCTTGTGATCCCTTCCAACTCTACGAGTCTTATCGTTGTAGCCAGATGACACGAAAAGCTCACAATCATCATAATGGAACAGATGCTTTTATAAGCCCACTGTAAAAATTAACTTTCAAGGGACACCCCTTGATTAGCTTCCATTGGCAGATGAAGACAGTGTCATTCCTGGTATTTGATCACTGATGCCTGGCATATATTATATTTTATGCGTGAATTTTCATTTTTATTGGTTGTTTTGGGTTAGCATGATAAATAGGTTGTTTATGTTTCAGTTCTATATGTTGTGCATAGTCTTAAGTACCTTCTGGTGGTGAACACAGCTGATAAATACAATAAAATTAATCTTGTGGTGAAAAGGTTCCACAAATCTAATTTGTAACCTGCCATTTTAGTTGTGTTGCAAAGTGGAAATTATTACGGAACAAAACTGCCAACACTGTTCTTTTATACCTGTTAATATTCTTCAACTCTAACCCTTATGGTTGTGTTGTGTTTCCTCTTTATCTGCGTTTCTTTCTAATGACAAACAAGCTCGTAAGCAGAAACTTATAGATGATAACTTATAGATGATCACTACTCACAGATTTTAGGAAAAAAGTTGCCATAGCTGTTGAAAATTTGGAAGTTGTAGAAAAAGGTTCTGGCTATAACCATTGCTTTCTGTTTGCCTTTATCTCTGCTAACAGCCGCTGTTACTTTTATGCTTACTAATTATGCCTTTTTTAAAAAAGAGCAACAGGCAGGGATGGAGAAGGGCAAGTAGGAGCACTTTTTCTCTACTGCGAAAATGGTCAAAGGATAAGCTGACATTTTATTTTTTATGATTCAGAAGAGCTTCTGTAGAAATGAAATGTCACCCCTAACTTCAGTGCCTTCTAGGCCACATCCGCAGAGGAACTATTCTAGAATAGGACTGGCCTAGAACATGGCTTGTTGGGTACCATATTCATTTGTTCCTGGGAGCTTTTATGTCTAAAGGAGGGCTGGGGAACTTGTGAGCCTCCAAAAGTTGGACTCTCAAGTTCCATCAGCTCCAACCAGCATGGCCAGTGGTCTGGAGTGATGAGAGACTTGTAGTTCCACAACATCTGGGAGATCACAGTTTACCTCCCCCAATCTAAACCAAGATACTTGGTAGTGGGTTGTGATTATTTATGACTTTTGATACAGGATATTAAGTGCACTTGTGAGCTTTTCTCTCATTTCCCCCCGTTACATTTTATTGTTTCAACATTTTTTAACATATACAACCAAAACGCAAAATCAAAATTTTGTCTTTTCTCTTATTTTTGGCGACTTCCCACCCCAATTTCCATGGAGTTGTTGTTTCTCCCCTCCTGCTGTGCCCTGTCTTCTTATCTATCAAATCACAGTCATGATATTATAATCTACTCTCTTCTGTTGCTCATAGCTCAAATCTTACTCGTGAGTTCATCATACTTCTTAATACTTCTTAAGGGATAAAAAAAGAGGGGGAATCCATTCTCCCATAAGGAATTTCCATTGAAGTCTTGCGAGCTTTTCTCATGCTGCTTGTGTGGAGGTTGTTAATGCAGGACAGAAAACTGAAAGGGTGGCTTAAGAATCCTAGACAATCTAAGTACTATATTTGTCTTTTGGATGAAGGAAAAGCAAAAAAGGGGGGGAAATATTGTTCGGTTTTCACATGGAGACTAAAATGTACTCTTAATTAAGCTGAGGTCAACTGCATGTGGAATTTAGTAGTGTGTGGAAGGGGTATTGGGCTGTTGCTACTGCTTAGAGAGAAATGGTGGTTAACTGTTTCTGCCTGCTTGTTTGCCTTCTGTCTGGGCAAGGAAAATATGCCATAGGGCATGGTTGCCAACATGGTGCCCTCCATGCTGAAGTCCCTTCAGACCCAGCCAGCAGAGCCAATGATCAGGGGATGATGGGAATAGTAGCCCAACCACACGGATTACCTGTCACAGAGAGCTGGTCATGGAAGGAGAAGCCAGATCTCTCACACTCACCTCTGCTTTCTTTCTGGATCATCTTGTTGGATTGGATCACGTTGAATGATCTTGTTGGATTGGATCCAACAAGTCCGTTCCTCCACACCACATGGCCCAATGAGAGAGGCTAGGCAGACACCTGCTTTTTCTTGTTTTCTCCCCACAAAAGGGTGTGGGGAGAGGGCAGGTGAGTGATCAGAGATCACCTCTTGCTCAACCAGGAGATGAAATGCTGGGTGATGCTGTGGATGGCCAAACTTGGCCCTCCAGATGTTTTGGGACTACAACTCCCATCTAGCTAACAGGACCAGTGGTCAGGGATGATGGGAATTGTAGTCCCAAAACATCTGGAGGGCCAAGATTGGCCATGCCTGCGTGTGGAGGCGACCACCATGCCCTGTTGGGTGGCACAGCAGGTTCACCCAGTTGAGCCTCCACTGCTGGAAACCCCTCAAAGGGAGAATCCAGGAGTTCAGCAGAGAGAGAGAGAGAGAGGATGAGGTGGCTGCTCCCTGCATGACCCGTGACCAACCATGTTATACCACCCAGAGCAAGGGCGGGGAGCCATTTTCAGTGCAAGGGGCCCACAACCATCCGGGCAACCAGAACGCATTGCTCAGGTTCAAGGACAAATATACTCGTGGGGGGAAGCAGCATTAGCGTGGGATGTGACCCAGGAACGCCATTCCTTTTGTTCCATCCCGCTTTCTCCTGCATCTTCTCTGCCCCACAAGAAAAGGCGGGAAGTTGACCGGCGGCTGCCTCTCCCCTTTGCACGAGCCTGGAGGCGAGCGGGCTGCCCCTGAGCCCTCAGCCGCCCTCCTCCTGGCACCGTGGCGAGGCGGGATCTCTCTCTCCCCCTCCAGTAGCGCCCAAGGACTCCGGGGAGAGCGACTGGCTCGCTCGCTCCTCCTCCCTCGGGCTCCGGCGCCGCCTCTGGTCCTGCCCTCCGGCGGCGGCGGCGGCGGCGACGGCGCCTGCCTCCCAGCCAGCCTCCTTTCCTTGGGGCCAGTTTATTCCCGAGGCGAGCCGTGCATGCTGCCCTCGGCGTCCCGCCGTGTGGCGAAGAGCGCGGCGCTCGGAGGATGCAGCCTCCCGCCGCTCCGGTTTCCATGACTGACCCTTTGGCCGTGCTGGACCCCACAGGTAAGTCCTGCGGGCTGAGGGCGAGCAGAGCCGGAGAAGCAGCGAGGCAGAAGCAGGTGGGCTTATATTCCGCCTTCTTTCTGTACCCGGCACAGTTTTACACCCTGGGGAAACATATCTGCATCTGCCGTTTTTGCTTCAAGTAGTTCCAGAGGGAGACGTACTACCTCGCATGCACATGGATAAGTGAGAAGGGAATATAAGATTTTATTTCCCGCTCCAACTGGGGGGTGGGGGGGAGGAGACTGCATTTTTCTCCCCTTCACAAATATTGGATCCTCTCGAGCCCAGATCACTCGTGTTCTGCCTGCTGTGAACTTCTAGAATGGGGGTGTCTCTCCACCCCCTGAGTTGGGCACAGGGCAGATTTCACACGACCAAGAAGACACGAGTTCAGAAGAACTTGCGCGTTGAGCTCTGGAGGGAGAAACCAACGGAGCCAAAGGGCCAGGTAACTGCGCCAAACCTTCTCCCACTTTGGAGAGACTAACAAGTGTTTGCAAAAAAAACAAAGAAACACCTCCCACCGGAGCTTCTAAGAGCTCTCCATGTTCTTAGGAAGGACGATTCATTCTGCACAGTGAAGGCTCCCTAATGTATTTCATGTCTTTGAACTCATTCCTCCTAGGCACTGCAGCCCAACGTGGGAAGCTGACTTAAAGCGAGTTAGACCTTGAGTCCATCTGCCTTAGTATTGTTAGCGCTGACTGGCAGTGGACCTCCAGGATTGCAGGCAGGGAAGCGGGGCATTCCCACGCTTGCCTGGAAATGCCAGTGAATGATTCTGGGGACCTTCATCACGCAAAGCAGGTTTTGTATCATCCAAGCTACAACCCTTTCCTCAAAGACACGTTCAAGTAGAATGAATTAGTATGACTTGTTCTCCTCCCCCAACCCCAATATAATATAGATACAGTGCTGTTTTTCTAGAAGAAGAGGTGCCAGAGCTCACCACGAACTTCCTTGTTCTCTTAGAGACAGATAGATAGATATTTCAGAGGTTCCTTTGATACTGCTTTAACCAATTTATTGCTTTGGGGACGGGATGGGACTGGGAGGCGATTTGAGTTTCTCTGCAAGGATCTGTTGTCTGCCTCCCCCTCCTGACTAAGGAGACTCCAGTGCACAATCAAGCTGTTAACTTTTTTCCGCCCCCTGAGAGGACTGCAGTGTACATAAATCTATTCTTAAATATATATATATAAATAGATAAATAAAAACAAGGCCACGGAATCATGCTGCATGCTTTCATCTGAACTATCCATCTTAAATGTTGCAGGTTATCGGTTTCTGGTTGAAAATTAGTAGTAATTAAATATATGTAATTACTTTCGAAATCTTGTGTAGACATGGTGCTTGTTTTACTGCCTATCATCGTATGTCTTTAAACAGCAATTGGGGCAAGCAGCTTATTACCGAAGAGTCCCATGTTATGATTCTCAGTGATAGAGTTTTCCCCTTGATAAAGAAAGAAAGAAAGAAAGAAAGAAAGAAAGAAAGAAAGAAAAGAGATGATAATCCCACAGGCGTTAATTGCCATGCAGATTCATACATGTGAATCTCACTCCAGGAATACATACTGTTGACCAGGCACCCCCAAACTCAGCCTGCCAGATGTTTTTGGACTACAATTCCCATCATCCCTGACCACTGGTCCTGATAGCTAGGGATGATGGGGGTTGTAGTCCGAAAACATCTGGAGAGCCGAGTTTGGGGATGCCTGCTGTTGACCAAGGCCATGTGCAATTTTTGCTGTGTTAACGTACACACAGGTGTTTTTTAAAAGGAATTTTGTCACGCTTGAGCTAGCCCTCAGATACTGATTGGTGTTAGATAAAATGAAGAGTGGCAATATGATTCATGGTTTCTCTCATAATTTTTCCACACGTTGTCCAAAAAGCCTGGAGTTTGGGGGAGCATTTCTCTGTCCAGGACAGATACACTCCCACTCCTTTAGGAACAATTCATATACAGAAAACCACATTATGTCGAAGCCTGCCCATCTATGAAGACTTATGCATTTTCCGGCATTGAAATCATGGTGCAAAGGGTTATGAAGTAACAAAAGAATAAGAGTGCCTTTGAAAATGTGAAGAATGCATTTCGTTCACCACTGAGTACCCACGCCTATATAGAGGGAAATATTTGTCCTTTCTGGGCAGCTTCTCCCATCTCTTTGAAAAAGAAATTTAGGGAGCCTAATTGGATTTAAAGAAAAGATCAGGGAAGCCCTGTGTGGAATTTAACTTTTGCAGTAAAGTTTCTAATCATATGCACACTTACCTAGGAATCTTAAAACAAGAAGAAGCACCCATTCCAATGAAGGAAAGCAATTAATTGGAATCGTCCCTCTGATTGCAACCGACATGTGTGAGCACATCTTGTATTTTAGTTTTAGCCGTGTCTTAAAGAACACTGTTCTGACTTAAAATTGTAGTGTGTTGAATTGTCCTACCTTTGGGAAACACTATTCCATACATTATTTTATGTGGAATAGCTATTGTATCCTGATTCTGTCCTCACTGTTTCAAATATAAGACTAGAACTGTAATAAATAGATACGTTGACAACATTTATAGCCCATGGTTTTGCCAGTCTTTAATCATCCTGATTGTGTGGGCAAACGGAAGCTAAATGATGTTTAGATAGATGTAACTGCACATTGTTTACTGGGGGGAATGGAGGTTCAAAAGACCACATTTCAGATCTTTCTAAAAAAAAAATTTTTGTACGTAATTTGCAGAATGGACAAAAATCTGGCAAGGGAGCTTACAGAGATGCATGAGACTAAAATAGTGGGAGGCAAGCAACTTGTTCTGGATTTGTTCTGGATCCTATTGTTGATTGTTATTGATTGCCATGCATATGTTTTTTTAAAAGCCCAATTACAACTCCCTTTAAGTATTTTTAAGTCTCATTGATTTCAATGAGAGAATTCTGTACTTCGAGCTTCTTAATTGGAATTCCAGAGGGACCACTGGATCATGCCTTTTTTATTTTTGCCCTTTTCCTGCTAATCCACTTGAATGGTAATGTTGCATATTTACTAGTTCATTTGTGCAGTGCTGCTGGTGGCTGTAGTTAATTCAATTACTGCATGCATAGAGGAGTCCTAGCTTATCACCTTGTTCAATAGCAAACTGGAAAACATGATACAATGTGCTTTTGAGAACCTTAAGGGAAGAGACCGTTTGGAATGTAAAGGTTCTCTTTTAGAATCCTTCTATTGAAATCTGTTTCAAGCTATGATATTTACAATCAACTTCCATTTTACCAGCAGAATTTCCTTGCAGTTTACCTTTGTTTGGAAGATATGTGCTGTGATTTCAGTCAAATTTCCTTCTAAGGAAGCACGTTAAGGGCTGGGACATCATTGTATTTGGAACAAGGAAGAAAGAGTTTAAAATAAGAACAGGGTTATAGAATTGTTACTGTGCAGCCATTTAGAGTTATGGCCCACTATTTCAAATATATTAGTTTCCTATCTTTCCAACATCTTTTTACGCTGATCTCTCGGTTCTTTTGACAAAAGCAATGCCAGCATCCAATGATGTCCTTCTGCTCATGCAACAGAGATCAGCTTGTGCAATGGGACTTCCAGGTTCTCTTTCTCCTTCCTCCAGCTCTCCCATGTGCCTAAAAGTCTGCTCTGGAAGGTCCGCTGATGCCATAGAATAGATAGATTGATCTTAGCCTTTTGGTAAAAATAAATAGTTGGTTTTCATCTTCAGGCCCTTTAGGTCTTTAGGACTGTTTGTTTAGACCATGCAAAGCGGGGCATGAACAAATGTTGCATTGTGGATTTCTCCTCTTCAGGACCTAAGCCAGCCATGTCTGATTCCAGGAACTCCATTGAATTCCCTTTCCAACCAGGTCCCTTCCCTCAGCAGACACTATTATCTGGCTACTGAGCATTAGGCTGATTACTTTTTGACCCATTAGCTTTCCCACCTAAATAATTGTACTTCTGCAAACTTTGGGGTTCCTTTGAGCATGCTGATATATCCTTAATTTTCAGTGGTCCTGTTTTAGCTACAAACCTGTTAGCACTCACCATCTAAGTTCTTACACTGATGTATAAAGTGTTGGGTCTCTTCTGTTTGCGAGAGGGTTTTTAATAGATGCAAGGTTATTATTTTTTTAAAAAAACAACCTCTGTCTTTTCTGATTTCCACAGTTGTGCTATTCACATGACAACTGGATTTATGTTTCCATTTTAGCCATCCCAGATTACCTATTTGATAAAATATTTTTTACTTGCCTTTTTTCTGCCCTTAACTTGTATTCTCATAAAGTACTGTAATATAAATGGCACATAAAAGTCAGATCCAATACTTTATTGCTTCCATAACGTTCATTAAAACCAGTACAATGTAAAATATCTGTACTGTATACTGATTTTTGTCTGAATAGTATGAGGTAAGCAATTCTTGCCATCATGACACACAATAAAAAATACATAAAATAAATAATTCCTGTTAATTTTGTTGTTGTCTTGTACACTTGACTTTGGGTGGCATATTTAAAAACACTACTGCTCAAAGAGATTTTCATTAAAACTTTGAAATAAAGACAAATGAGGATTCTGTTACCTTAACCAGTCATTAAATTATTAATTGGAGAAGTAATTGATACCAAAGCAATGGAGTCAACATTAATACTGTATTACTATAGCTAAATTATTGAGAACATAAAATCAGGGTTTCTGTCCCCTCTTCTCTTAAATTCAATGAGCTAAGGATCTGCATATATAATATACACAACCAGGTTCTACCACGTAAATTCATAATAGCCTGTCTTGGGGTTTGCAATAGCACCTATTTATTAGTTTCTCTGAGTGCTGGACAAATCAAACATTTTTTCCAGAGGAAGCAATTTCCAAAAGCATATTGTGGACTATGCGCATTAAGCCGTCACATATAGTATGAGGATGCAATGTATAATGCACCATTCTTTAAATTTACCTGTACAACTTGCCTCCCCCCCCCATGGACAAATACAATTCTTTAAATGTTGGTGTTGCTACCAAACATTTGGATACTGAATATCATGGTACTGATAGTATTCTCTGTGTGTACGTATTCTTTCTTTTAATAGCTGGTTCACCGTGTTACTGGTGATTAAATGTTTAGAACATTTTTTGTAACACCATGCAATTTAGAAAGCTGTAAGGTCTTACACTCAAGTGGAATAAACCTTACTTATCTAAGTAATACCCACTTTCTGTAACTCACTGTGCATGGAGTTTGTATATACTAGGGAGTCCAGTCCTATGCATGCTTACTCAGATGTGAGTTTCACTGAATTAGTCTAAGGGCTTAGTCTAAGGTGAATGATATAGGATTGCAGCCATTGTTGTTCAGGTATCACAATGCCCCAGACAGCATTGTAGGCTTGGTTTTGAACCCTTTACATCTGTTGGTATGAAGGAACTCCTCATTTTCAAGAGGTTGAAATGCGACAAAAAACAAGACAGCAATACAATTAAAAACCATATAGCATCTATCACAGAATACTACAGGTATCTAGCACAACATACAACAGACGGGGGGATGGGACGTTTAGTAGCTGGCCAAGACCCTCAGCAATTTTCAAGTGGTCCATGGGGAACCTCTGTACTAAATAATTTCCCAAGGCAGTAAATGACATGAGAAATTCCACTTTTTGTTGAATAACTACTTTAGCTATTCAGTTTCCTACCTCTTGGCTGGGCCATGAAACAGACCAGGTAGTCAGCTATACTTGCTGAAATTTTCCACTTCTTCACAACTATTTGCAGGAGCCCTGTCCCCGTTTCCATCTAGAAACCATAATCAGGCAAGGGGTGGGTGCTCTCTGATGGGACAATCCTATGCAATTTAAACAACTCTTGTTGTGTTCAGTTGGGTTTCCTCACATGGGATTGCAGCCCTAATCTCTCTTCTCTTTTCCCATGGATACATCTAATTAATATTTGAGGTGTGGTCAAACACTCCTGAGACAAGGAACCTGTACTGCACAGCACAACAGTTAAGATGGGACAGAACTGTTTACTGAAAGAAATCGCACGACTCTAATGAGAAAAGAGAACAATCCCAAAATGTGTATTGCATAACATGCAAACTGAACCATGATGAACACACTATGTTGACCAGAGTGTTCTAAGGTATCATTATCTGACTTATAATAAACTAATCAATGCTCAAATCAGTAGTTGTGGAGGCAAAATTATTTGCCTTCTAAATTTGTGACATGGCAACTTTCAGTGTGCTATCCAGGTGCTACTATTACCTTGCCAACCAAAGTAGCCAAGCAAAATTTATAAGTTCACTGTAATGGGTCAAGAACATGTTTTCCCTAGGTTTTTCTTGACTTATCATAGAGCTGAAAGTGCCTTACAAATGTTGCAAGCAGTAACTTAAGTCGCAAATTATGAACATTACAGGGTTGCGACGATAGGCAAATTTGTGAGTTCTGGGTGGGTGGCTACTCTTTAAGGCGAGTGGGTAGTAATGCTTCTATGAAGAATAATACACACATGCATCTATCCTACCCTTTGCAAAAGAAAATGCACAAATCCTTTTTTTAAGCAAGCTGCTTCAAGTTGGTGATAACATGGGCTTTAGCCTGCAGGAACTCACCACAACTACCTTTCTCTGGACATGCTGAAAACATGCAGAACAATTGTTTTACAGTAGAATCCATCATATTGAGTTTTGTGGGGTTTATTGGAGGGGATTTCAGCTTGAATTCCCTTGCTCTTTGTATAAGCAGGGTGTTGGAGATGATTTCAAGGCAACTTTGCCACAGAACGTTAACTTCTGTCATTTCAGATGCCTGAGTGACTTTTGAAACCCAGCGTCCCACTTTTGTACCTTTCACTCACATTTAGTCACGGGTTTGTAGATGCTTAGATTTCTGCTGATGTAAATCCAGCAGATGTTTTCTTTAAAAACATCTCTTCAGTAAATCCAATAGAACTTATACTAAAACTTATTTCTTAGAGCTTACAAACACATGTTTTTTTCTCTAAGTAGGCAGTGTACAGGGACTTGTGCATTATAAAATACTGTAACCCTGGATGTAAAATACTGTAATACTGGACTTAACCAAATATGAATGTAGTGGTTTCTAGAAGCATATTGAATCTGGAGAGATAGCAGGAGGAGGAAGAGACTCCTCCTGTTTTCTGGTGTGGTTCTTCTCTTGTGTGTGTGTGTGAAGGATTACAAATTCAAAGGACTAGCCTGGACCTTTAAAATGCCTGACACTTGGAGTTATGCTTCAGTTCTGCTGGTCCTTTGAACAGAAATGTCATTCCTTTTTAATAGTATCATCCATTGAAAACCCTGTGCTAGAGGAGGAGACGGGGAGAGAGAATATGAGATACCAAAGAGACCTTTTTCAGATTACTCTTGAATCATGGCTGCTCTTGCGTGCAGTTTGTCTTTCTAGAGAGCCTAACTAAATGTTCCATGCAGATGCAGGCAATAAAATCCTAATGGTCAATTCAAAGAGGGGGGAAAAAGAGGAGAGAAAGCGAAGATAATTTGTGGAAGGGAGAAGCAGCTGAGAAGACAAAATGCTTTAGCCTAGCCCTTTCCTGTGCCTTCTGATTCTCTTCTTCAGATCACTCTCCCCAGCTGCCCTCCCTCCCCAGTTAGAAATGCATGGGTGGATTGGTGGAAGTGAAATCATCAGTATTCCTGGTGGTGCCCTTGTGGAAAGCACCGTCAGGCTGGGGCTGAGCCAGCCTGGGATCTGTTGGGTCCTGAGGTGGGTTTGGATCTTGCTCCAGGCTGGTGCAGCAATTTGTCTTGCTCCCTTTACACCCACTTCTCCAAATGGTTTACAAAAGTATGCACAAATAAATCTTAATAAAAGTTTAAGCACAGAATAAAAAAAACCAGAGTTTTAATTACCTTTAAATTGTGCAAAATATTACTAGAAATCATCAGGAGCTAATCAGGAGCATACCAAATATAGACCCCAATACAGACCAGCCATAAAAAGATAACAGCCACTTAAAGATGGAGGGATGTAACCTCTCTAAGCTCATGAAGACTTGAGAAGGCCCTATTTCAATATATTTTTTTCATAACAGACTAACAGTGTCTGTGTGTACATGCTTTAGTGGAACTCTGAACATTGTCTACTTGAACAGCTCTGTCTAAGAGTTATTGGTTCTTTGGTTTTTCTGCTTTGAGAGGGTTGGTGAGTAGACAGAACCTAAACTATGTGATTCAAGAGAGCTTTGCGCATTAGCCCCTCCTCAGCTAATATCATCTTCAGAAGGGTAATTTAAGCTGGGAAACAATGAAAGGGGACAGTTCTAAGGCCCCCAACAAAACAGCTCTTCACCAGACTCTGATCATGGCTCTCTGGCACATTTTGTTTGACCCTGGAGTGTTGGGCTTGGCTATTGGGTTTTGAGCTCAAAGCCATGCTCACCTACAGGGTCAGCCTACCCATGTTGCAGGGTAAAGTGGTCGTCTCAGGTGGCAGATCTGGACTCCTCCTCCGTGGGCATGCCACACTGCTCCTGACACTACTTTAGATGCCCCTGAAGTAGATGTGTGCCTACAGGAGGCAGTAGTGTGGTGGGGGCAGAATATTTTGCCCAATGGTCATCTGGTTCAGCTCCCTGCAAGGCAGAAATCTCAGCTAAAGCATGCATGACAGATGGCCATCCAATCTCTGCTTAAAGACCTCCAAGGAATGAGAGTCCACAACCTCCCAGGGGAGTCCATTCTATTGTCAAACAGCTCTTACTGTCAGAAAGTTTTCCCTGATGTTTAATGGGAATCTCCTTTCTTGTAACTTGAAGCCCTTGGTTCGAGTCCTACCTTCCAGAGCAGGAGAAAAGAAGCTTGCTCCATCTTCCATTTGAAACCCCTGAGATATTTAAAGATAACTATCATATCTCCTCTCAGTCTCCTATTTTCCAGGCTAAACATACCCAGGTCCTTCAACCTCGTAAGATTTGATCATCTTGGTAGCCCTCCTCTGCACACATTCCACCTTGTCAACACCCTTCCTAAATTGTGGTGCCCAGATTGGAGACAGTATTCCAGGAGTGGTCTGGCAAAGGCAGAATAGAGTCGTACTATTTCGTCCGTTGATCTGGACACTATACTTCTGTTGATGCATGGAATGGGGGATGGGGTGCCACCTAGCCCTTTGGATCAGGCAGCAAAATGGCTTGAGCTGTCCCTGTATGAAACTCACTGGAAAGCCTTAGGCAAGCTGCTGTTTCTTAGCCTACGCGACAGGGTTGGTTATAAGGTTAATTCACCATTTTTAGTTCCTTTGTGGGAGAGTAGTGTTATGTACTGAAGTTCTCACCCTGGGCCAGCAGGGGGATACTGTAGATAGTTTTCACTCAGGTCCGCATATGCAAATAAGGGATTGAAAGTGACGTTCAGTGATTGGATAGTTACAGAAAATGGTTACTGTTGCGTTCTACTGTTGCGTTCTGTTCTGGCCTGTGAATAAACAAGAGTTGTCTGAAGAATTGCTGTGTCATCTGATATGTTCACCAACAACTTAACAAGTAGGATACAGGTGTAGCACATTGCTGCCGCCTTGGGATTTGTGCATATGTGTTGTGGTGCTTATAATAACATTTCCTTCCCTCGCTCCACAGGGCACTTTGCAAAAAGGAAGAAAACTTCTCTATGGTTCACAATCGCCCTCTTGATAGTGTCTGTTTTCATACTGACCATAGGCCTTGCAGCTACCACCAGAACAGAAAATGTAACTGTGGGCGGTTATTATCCAGGAATAATCGTAAGTCGGAATTATATTTTAGGGTTTCAAGTATTTACAATGCTGTGTGCCATGCAATGAAGTAACCATTGTGCAGAATTATCTGCCCAACAAAGCTTTTTTGTGGAATTGACAGCTCAAGAAATGTTAACCTGATTGTGTGTGTACGTATGTTTGTCTGTGCATGTGTGAAAGCGAAGACAAGCAAGCTAGCACATCCTGAGTAGATTAGAACAAGATACTGGTAGATGGATACAGGGCTCCACTGCAAGTATTGTTAGGAATATTAATAACCCATCTATCTTTAGTTCTGAATCTCTGTCATGAGTAATATTTCATGGAGAGAGCTGCCTAAATGTCCATTATTTCCTACTGTGTTTCACATACATAGATACATGTTGCAGAGACTTGGGGAGTACAGAACAAGCTCAGATTGATAAATATGTGTTGGAAGATAAGGTCTCATGTGCAGCAGCATGTAAAATGCTAAAATCCAAAATGAAAGTTGGAACAACAATACTTGTGGGAAAATTTAATCAGGAAGTAAATTCTGTACTCCTGCCTCATTTTCCACTGTTTCCAGAATTTTAGGTATTTTATTTACAGTAATTAGTAAACATTTCTTCCTTCCCATATAGTTTATATATTAATAGCTGCAGTTGCCATAAGCCTTGAACCTGTACATACCGCTCAGTTGGAGCAACTCTAAAACAAGATAGAATCCCAGGCTATTTGTGATCTCCAATATGATTTTAAACGTTGTTTGTATTTTTAAACCTGTAATGTGCAATCTTTAACCACATTTAAGCTGCTGGACCGGGTTTACACATAGTGATAGCATGGTTTAATAAATGATTGTTAAACAAACCATGGCTTAACATGGTGTGCAAACCAGGACACTATCCTATATACACAGCTAAGTTGACCTGTTGTTTCTTTGTTCTTCGCCACAGCTTGGTTTTGGGTCCTTCCTAGGGATTATCGGTATCCATCTTGTAGAGAACCGGAAGCAAATGGTAAGCACATAATATATTTAAATGTTGTTTTAAAAAATCTATAAGATTAAATATGTTCTTGCAGACCTCAGACATTTCATTCTCCATGTATCCTTCAACAGTCAAGTGGTCAGTTGACCTGTCGTGTTTCAACTCTCCCCTCTCCTGCGTTTCAACTTTTTAAAGGGGTATATGAGATCCCTTCCATTATTTACCATGAGACCAACATTTTACCTAGGCATGTTTTGGTTTCTGGTTTGCTTTTTCTCCCATTGTTTTTCCTCCTGTAACTGATACCCCAATGCAGATTTCATAGTTGAGGGGTTGTCAGAACTTTGTTTGCCCTTAAGAAAACAAATACATATTCTGTACATGCTTTTTTGTGTAAAATAATAAAAAGTTAACCATTGTGTATCCCATCAACTTTTCTGTTACTATTCTTTTGTCATGGGATACTAATGCATTTTAATGCAGTTTAATAAATTGAACTGTTTATATTTTGAAATCAAATCATCCCCAGCTACATCTTCAAAGGCCTCAGCTGGACTCGTGACAGCTACTCTGAAAACAAGTGGTTTTGGGGGGTTAAAAAGCTTACCAAATTTGCAACGTTACCTTCTCCAAACAATGAGGGTTAAATCCTGCAGTGCTTTTGTTGTTCTGTATATATATAAAAAAATCTATTGATATCCAGAAAAGGTTCAAATTAATCAGAACTGCAAAAACCAAGTCATTGATTTTGTCAGCCTGCCTTCAGCTGTTCCTCACCTAATTATGATTTTAAAAGCCCACTCTTCATACTGAGCTTGAGTAATATTTCAAATGATGCCCGAGTATATATATTTTTAAGAAGCATATTTGTGGAGAGTCATGAGCTCAGTATATGTACCTCTCGGAACTAGGGGGATATCTACAGAGGATGTTGCTGCCCTAAGTGCTCCATCAGCTTCAACCACACACAGCCCTTGTAGAGAGATTAGTAAATCATTGTGCCTGCCTGCTCACACATTCTTTAAAAGGTTAGCTCTTGCACGCAGAGAGCTACAAAGCCACCTTAGCAATACATATACATGGCAAGCAACTTGCACGCTCTTGCTTAAAATTCATACTGATGCTTCCCTGAGGTTTGTCCAGTTCAGGCCTCCTACACAATGTGTCACCTACCAAATATAAAAGCAGCCTGCCGGTTCCATATGTGGTGCTTGGCAAACCCCATCCCCTTCATTTGCAGTCGTAGGCTAGTGAAAACTGGAAGTTTATTTAGACTTGCTGGGGAGCAGACATAAATGGCTGGCCTTACTTCATGATTCATTGTTAGTCGTTTAGTCGTGTCCGACTCTTCATGACCCCATGGACCAGAGCAAGCCAGGCACTCCTGTCTTCCACTGCCTCCCGCAGTTTGGTCAAACTCATGCTGGTAGCTTCAAGAACACTGTCCAACCATCTCGTCTTCTGTCATCCTTTTCTCCTTGTGCCCTCCATCTTTCCCAACACCAGGGTCTTTTACAGGGAGTCTTCTCTTCTCATGAGGTGGCCAAAGTATTGGAGCCTCAGCTTCAGGATCTGTCCTTCCAGTGAGCACTCAGGGCTGATTTCCTTAAGAATGGAGAGGTTTGATCTTCTTGCAGTTCATGGGAGTCTCAAGAGTCTCCTCCAGCACCATAATTCAAAAGCATCAATTCTTCATGATTCATAGCAGGTGGGGAATCTCAGGCTCAGCAATCCTTCAGCTCTCTGCATCTGGCCTTTGACATTTTCTACAAGTGCACCAAGGTGAGCAAGACCTGACAAGCATTTCGTAGGTTTCCAGTTACTAGAGATCTTCCATTGTTTTGGCAAATTCTGAACTGTTTTGAGTCTGAAGTAGCTGCAGTTCCTTAAAGCAACAACTGAACAGCAAATCCATCTGCGTTATCCAACGCAGGGTTTTGGCATTGCGATGGATGCTCATGACTGAGTAGTTAATCTAGCTGACCAGCCTCCCTATTGTATACAGTAGTTGAATCAAAAGCCAGCTATTTGTGGGACTGGATTGTTACCTAGTTTTGTTACATCGTATTTGGTATTGATTTTGTAATATTATTAATGTTATGTTCATTTCCTGCCCTTCACCAGCAGGTCTCAGTGCAGGTTACAACAATGTAAAGTTCAAAATTCAGAACATTCAAAACAGATCACAATCACAGGAATAGGGTGGGCTGTGAAAACACAAATCTCAGGTGCCGAAAGCCAGAGCAAAGATATATACCGTATTTTTTGCTCTATAAGACTCACTTTTTCCCTCCTAAAAAGTAAGGGGAAATGTGTGTGCGTCTTATTGAGCAAATGCAGGCTGCGCAGCTATCCCAGAAGCCAGAACAGCAAGAGGGATCGCTGCTTTCACTGTGCAGCGATCCCTCTTGTTGTTCTGGCTTCTGAGATTCAGAATATTTTTTTTCTTGTTTTCCTCCTCCAAAAACTAGGTGCGTCTTATGGTCTGGTGTGTCTTATAGAGCGAAAAATACGGTACATGTTCACTTCCTAGTAGCTAGACTTTGATAATTTGTACTCCAGATTAGGCTTTTGTTGTTCTTCTTCAGGTTTTCTCCCCCATGTTTAGGGCAGGGGTAGCCAATGTGGTCCCCCCAGATGTTGTTGGATTACAGCTCCCATCTTACATTTATAGTCTATTTTTCTTCTTTCACGTTTCATAAAATGTTAAAATCACATCATCTTCTTCTTCTTCTTCTTCTTCTTCTTCTTCATCATCATCATCATCATTATTAAACATCTCAGAGCAATAGAACCCAAAGCAATAATCCATCCAGACACTGACCAGACCTAGATCTGTTTAACTTCAGCAAAGTGGTGGTAGTGTTATGTTCCTTCAAATCATATCCATTCTGGCCACTGACCATGTTGACTGGGGCTTATGGGAGTTGGAGTTCAACAGCATTTAGAGGGTACCTCATTGACTACCCTCAACTTATGGGGTTATTCTTATTTTTTAAGGTCCCCAAATCTACAAATGGCCTCCCACTCAACAACACTACCGTACCCTGTTGCTCAGAGCATGCAAAAAAGATCAAGGCTACACTTGTGTGCCTTTTCTACGTGTTATAATGGATTGCCTCAACTTTTCAGAAATGGAGAACTTCATGGATTTTTTATCCGCACCACTGAGTTAAAACATAGTAATGCAGCGATGGCCACTTGCCTGCCTGTGCAATTATACAGTGTACGTGCAGTTTTATTCCTGCAGATGTTAGATTTTTGTAGGAGGCACAGATGGTGAATCTCACACTTTAAGCTACAAACCCAACCCTTCATAAAATATTTTGATGGGTAATATGCTCTTCATAAAGTGCTGATACCAAACAATTTGAAGAACCAAAATATGGCCATGATTTATTGTTCTGATTCAGTGGTATCGACTAAGGAAGCAAGATTAAAAAAGCTGAACTATGTTGTTTGGTGATGCTTCAGGTACTCTTTGGGCATTACCACAAGCATCTGTGAGAGCTAGGGACTTACTATGATGGGGACCCCCAAACCTCGGAGCATGCAACAGTCCTCCCTTATACTAGAAGACAGGCCTTAGAAGAGCCTTAATCCCACCTCTTGGATCTAAGAAACCCAGCCGATCGTAAGATAGGTGACAGGAGAAGACATGCTCCAACTCTTCTACAGAGCTGTTTCTGGAGCGCAGGATGGGTCGGAAAAAGAGGAGGAAGATGCAGGTCAGGCAAGTGAAGGACCAGGTGCTTCCCCACTCTCTCCTGCACAAGTGTCTCCCAGAATCAGGAGGAGACTGACGAGGGATGAGTAGAGGAAGATTCCACGCAGGCATAGTCTCCGACTGCGTGCAGGCAGCCCGTCGGGGGGAGGTACAGAAACTGGTGGAGGGGGAGTGACGCCCTGTTGCAGCAACTGCTCCATAGAACGCAGACCTGGGAATAGTTGCCTGGACGCTAAACTGGTGTTCGTGGCTATTCGGAGCCATAGCTTTGACAATAAAGAGTTAGCTATCTGCTGTTTATGGGATGCGGGTGGCTCTGTGGGTTAAACCACAGAGCCTAGGAATCAGAAGGTCGGTGGTTCGAATCCCCGCGACAGAGTGAGCTCCCGTTTCTCGGTCCCTGCTCCTGCCAACCTAGCCGTTCAAAAGCACGTCAAAGTGCAAGTAGATAAATAGCTACCACTCCGGCGGGAAGGTAAACGGCGTTTCCGTGTGCTGCTCTGGTTCGCCAGAAGCAGCTTAGTCATGCTGGCCACATGACCCGGAAGCTGTACGCCAGCTCCCTCGGCCAATAAAGCAAGATGAGCGCCGCAACCCCAGAGTCGGTCACGACTGGACCTAATGGTCAGGGGTCCCTTTACCTTTACCTATCTGCTGTTTGCGTTGTTTTGGCTGGGGAACACCCTTCACAATATATATCAGCAAAATAAATTAATATTATTATTATTAACAACACATGTGATCTGATTAGGGCAGTTAAAGTCTTGTACTCTCCAACTCCAAGTAGCTCAGCCTGCGTTTTTCCTTCCCTTCGGTGGCATTTTCTGCTGAAATAGCAGTACTCTGAACTACAGCCATGATGACCTCTGACAATGGAACTGGCAGGCTGTAGCGGGATGTTACACTCTCCTGCTGCTGTTGTATAGTGGGGTCTTAAGATGACGCTATTAGTTAAAATAGACTGGCTGTTTTAAAAAGTGAATAAGCGCCCATTATGATAGACTCCCATATTACATCAATTGGAAAAATGCCTGCAATTGATAGCACCTTTGGGGGTTGGGACAGGGCTGGAATAACCATTAAACAAAATAATCACGTGCTTAGGGCTTCAAGGGAAGGGAGGGGCACCACAGAAACTTTCCATTGCCAGATTTACCATGAACCAGCAACTCCACTTTTCAGTTTACAAATTCTGAGATGAAATCTGTCTATATTAATTAAAGCACGAAAGCACAAGATTCAGCTGTAAGCTAGTAATTAAGTTGTTCATCTCATGGAATAAAGTGAAAGTATACGAAAATAAGCATCGTTTTCCATCTCACTGTAGGTTTTCTTTCATTTTGAAAAAGAGGTTCTCATTTTATGGTTTATTAGTGTGTGTGTGTGTGTGTGTGTGTGTGTGTGTGTGTGTATTTGTTGTTGTTTAGTCATTTAGTTGTGTTCGACTCTTTGTGACCCCATGGACCAGAGCACGCCAGACACTCCTGTCTTCCACTGCCTCCTGCAGTTTGGTCAAACTCATGCTGATAGCTTCGAGAACACTGTCCAACCATCTCGTCCTCTGCCGTTCCCTTCTCCTTGTGCCCTCAATCTTTCCCAACATCAGGGTCTTTTCCAGGGAGTCTTCTCTTCTCATGAGGTGGCCAATGGAGCCTTAGCTTCAGGATCTGTCCTTCCAGTGAGCACTCAGGGCTGATTTCCTTAAGAATGGATAGGTTTGATCTTCTTGCAGTCCATGGGACTCTCAAGAGTCTCCTCCAGCACCATAATTCGAAAGCATCAATTCTTCGGCGATCAGCCATCTTTATGGTCCAGCTCTCACTTCCATACATCACTACTGGGAAAACCATAGCTTTAACTATATGGACCTTTATGGGAACAAAATCTTTTAAGTGCATAGGGCCTCTAAAGTTCTTAATCCGACCTCTAGGTTGGGGGCAAAAGGACCACCTCCTGGTCCATGTGGTAAGACAGGCAGGGGAACATGTTTTCTAATGACTTCGACATTCCCAATTGCTGGCTTTCAGAAAACAGACACTCAGCTGCTGCAGCATAGTAGTGGTGATGTGCCTCATCTGCTGGCTTTAAGGCCAGTTAGTGCCTACACCCTCTGAAGCAGTGGTGGACTTTGGGCCCTCAAATTTCAGCAGCGCCCTGTGCGATGCTAAAATTCAGCCTCCTGCCTATTGTGCTCTGTTCTGCAGCATTGTTGTGGCTGCACCTGTTGCCTAAAACCACCTCTGCTGTGAAGTTGCCTTTCTTATTAGTTGTTCTAACATGACTGCCCTTGAACCTTGAAGTTGCGTCGGACGTTCAGGTTCCAAAGAACGTTCGCAAACTGGCGTTTGGGAGCCAAAACGTTTGACTTGCAAGGTGTTCGGGATCCAAGGTATGACTGTATTTTAAAAGAGTAAACAATAGAATTACACATTGTAATTACACAGAGTAAACATTGCTGGGCTAAACAGATAAGCCTTCTAACTTTTCTGGAAGGGCACCTTGGAGGAACATTGACAGAAAGCTTTAGGAATGCTGTTCTAAAGCTTTTGAGCTCTGATTCAGAAGGGACTGCTCTTTCCATCAGCAGTTTACAGTACAATCCTAACCATGCTAGACAGTCAGTGTGATGTAGTGATTAGTGTGTTGGACTAGGACCTGGGAGTCCAGAGTTCGAATCCCCACTAAGCCATGAAGCTTGCTGGGTAGCCTAGGGCCAGTCACGGTCTCTCAGCTTAACTTACCTCACAGGGTGGGTTGTGAGGATAAAATGGAGAGGGACACGAACTTCCTACACCACCTTGATATCCTTTGAGTAATGGTGGGATAAATATAACAATTTAAGTGTCTACTCAGAAATAAGTCCTATTGAAGGCAATGGGGCTAGCTCCAAAGTAAGTGGGGGTTAAGTTTGTAGTCTCTCATAAGGGGAAGGCTTTTGGCCACATGACCTGGAAAAACTGTCTGAGGACAAACGTCAGCTCCCTCAGCCAATAAAGCGAGATGAGCGCCGCAACCCCAGAGTCGTTCGCGACTGGACTTAACTGTCAGGGGTCCTTACCTTTACCTTTTCAGGAAAGGCTTGCTTATGTGATAAGGTTTATTTGAAGAGACCAGGTTAGTTTGGGGAAATTTGTGACTCCTATCCAGATTTCCCTGATCCTGAGAGCGGAGGAAAATAACCTCATCTTTCTTTTGTGTACATTGTGAGACAAATATATGGCAGAATTCCCGAACAGGTTTCGTGTGCCATCTCCATCCATAACGCACAAAAATTGTGACATTTGTTACTATGGCAACTAAACAGGAAAATAGATTTAATATCCTGGTAAAAGGGTATTCAGTGATTGAAATTCATCACATTCTGCCTGAGTGGTTGCTGTTGGTGTTGAGGCACCTGTATTGTCAGCTAGTGACAGGGTGGTGAAACAGGATCAATAATTATCCTGTGGATTCTATGTCATGTCTTCCATGCAGCAAACTCCCCATCCCCATTCACAACTGTGTTGAAATGTGGACTCCACCTCTGCAGTAATTTTTATTTTTTTAAAACACGAGTTCTTGCAAGGGTGCTCAGTCCTCGTTCATTAAGGCATCTTATCGCTGCAGTAAGCAGCAAGCCTCACAATTTATGCCCTGTCAACCTATTCTTTCCAAAGGTCGGTGCCTCCGTAATAGCGCTGCTGTAATTGAGACGACACTCGAGGACTGTCACACTAGAGGAGATATGATTATGTCATGGGTACTGGGTGTTCATTATTCATTCATGTCTATTCTAGCTGTCGCACTTGCTACAGTTACAATGGCTCTCTAATGAGAAAAGGGTTTTGCAGCTACCCAACTATAGAATCTCTTCCTAGGGGGAGGGGGGGAAGCTATTCATAAAGATCTCTTAATGAGTTTCTCTTTAAAGTCCTTGAAGCATCCCCTTGTTCACATGGTCACCAGAACGGGTAAAGGATTATTTCCTTTCCGCCATTCAAAACAACACTAAAAGAGCAAAGTGCTATAGTTTATCATTACATATAGTCAGGTGGTGAAGGTGCCAAAACAGACAAAAATTAAGATGACACTGGGATGACCATACATTGGAAATGGTGAGAAGGGGGGAATCAGTGTGCCTATTGCCTGTGACTAAACAATATTGATTTTACAAACAAAGCAGAATCATTGATTGTTGTTGTTTAGTCGATTAGTCGTGTCCGACTCTTCGTGACCCCATGGGCCAGACCACGCCAGGCACTCCTGTTTTCCACTGCCTCCCACAGTTTGTTCAAACTCATGTTTGTAGCTTCGAGAACACTGTCCAGCCATCTTGTCCTATCTCGTCCCCTTCTCCTTGTGCCCTCAATCTTTCCCAACATCAGGGTCTTTTCCAGGGAGTCTTCTCTTCTCATGAGGTGGCCAAAGTATTGGAGCCTCAGCTTCAGGATCTGTCCTTCCAGTGAGCACTCAGGGCTGATTTCCTTCAGAATGGATAGGTTTGATCTTCTTGCAGTCTCTTCCAGCACCACAATTCAAAAGCATCAATTCTCCGGCGATCAGCCTTCTTTGTGGTCCAGCTCTGACTTCCATACATCACTACTGGGAAAACCATAGCTTTAACTATACGGATCTTTGTCGGCAAGGTGATGTCTCTGCTTTTTGAGATGCTGTCTAGGTTTGTCATTGCTTTTCTCCCAAGAAGCAGGCATCTATTAATTTCGTGACTGCTGTCACCATCTGCTGTGATCATGGAGCCCAAGAAGGTAAGATCTGCCACTGCCTCCATTTCTTCCCCTTCTGTTTGCCAGGAGGTGATGGGACCAGTGGCCATGATAAAGCTGAGGAAATGGTGCAGCTCTTGGGCTTTGACTGCCGAATGGTCTCTCCTTTTCCCACTCACACTTCCATTGTAATGGTTTATCTCTCCTCCCATGGGCTCATTCCTGTTTGGTATATGATGAATGTTTTGAGCTGCAGCACTTAATAATAAATACAGGGGTTTTTCATTATAGATGTACAGTACATAGGTCAAGCAATGGGACCTCTGCCGGTGGCGCCAGTGGTAAACCTCAGCGCTCTAGGACTTGCGCGTCATCGCATGGTCGGCGGTCCGGAGCCAGCGCTGCTGGGTGAGCTCCTGTCGATCGCGTCGCCAGCGTGCTGCCCACCTGGCAGTTAGCCAGCACCCAGTAAAGTGCAAGTAGATAAATAGGTACCACTCCGGCGGGAAGGTAAACGGCGTTATCTGCTGTGCTGCTCTGGTGCCGGCTCGCCAGAGCAGCTAGGTCACGCTGGCCACGTGACCGGAAGTGTCTGGGACAGCGCTGGCACCCGGCCTCTTAGTGAGATGGGCGCACAGCCCTATGAGTCTGGCAAGTACTAGGCCCGGTATGACGCACAGGGCTACCTTTACCCTAGATGTACAGTACTTATCAGCAACAAGTGAGAGTTTGGCTATGCAAAGCAGTAATAGCAGAACTGCTTGAGAATTTTTCATTATTATTATTCAGCCTCATAAGTAGCGATAAGCTTAGGAAAAGATAAGCTTAGCAATGAAGGTGAGTTTATGAAGAGAGAAGCGTATCATTTCATAATGATGATCGTTGAAAAGTGAGGTGGTAAAATAGGCTATGCCACTTCTGGCTTGCATGTGGGATGTGGCACTTTTTAAATTAAAACAAAACAAAGCTACTTGCAAGTAACATACACATTGCTGAGAGAGCATCTGCTTCAGCCAGTTTGCTGCTGTGATAGTTTTCTTATTTGTAGGGACATTTTTAGGTGTGAAAGCATTACAAAGACTGGTCCTCTACCTGCAGCCTGAAATAGTTCAGTCTGTCTTACCTCCTTGTAGTCTATTACTTCATTTCCACCTCATGCGTGCATTCTCAGCTAATTAGTTCTTAGCTAATTGTGTGAATTAGAGCAGGCATAGGCAAACTTGGCCCTCCAGATGTTTTGAGACGACAGTTCCCATCATCCCTGACCACTGGTCTTGATGGGAGTTGTAGTCCCAAAACATCTGGAGGGCCAAGTTTGCCTATGCCTGCCCTAAAGCTAATATGGGAGTTAGCATTCTGTTCTCACAGTAGCCGTATGAGGTAGGTCCTTACTGTTCCCATTTTATAGAATGGGCAATTGCAGCTGAAGAAACCATCGAGGATCATTCCCTCCCAGGTGCACCTACAACAAATTTATCCTATTAAATGTTTTAAATACCCCAGTTCATTGGTGTGGTACAAGAAAAGGTTGCTAGGCCTTTTGAAGTGCTGAATGGCCTGTTTGCTATTTATTGGCACAGACCATTTACAGATTTAAACGATTCCCTGATACGCATCTCTGTGGTGTTTGCTTAGCCGTCCACAGGCTTTATTTATTTTAAAATATTCATAGACCACTTAAACATCAAAATGTGTCAAACTGGTGTACAAGTGAACGAAGGGCACCCGAGGCCAACAGCCAACAATAAAACAGCATTAAGTCCAAAAATACTGTAGTAGTGTTAGTTTTATATAGCATGGTTTGAAGAGATGTTCTGACCTGTTGGATTAAATGCCTGTTCAAAAACATTTGGAGCTTCCTAGGGAGTCAACTTCTCTTCCTCTGTTCTGCAACACTGCAAGTTGGATGACCAAGTGTTTCATAATCAGGTTTCAGTAAGTGTGTGAATATATACCGTAATAATCTAAGTCCACTTTTCTCTTTCTAGTTGATAGCGTCCATTGTGTTCATCAGCTTTGGAGTGGTAGCAGCTTTCTGTTGTGCAATCGTTGATGGTGTGTTTGCAGCACGACATATAGTAAGTATGCCTTTTTGATATTCCTCTCTCCCCTGGTTAGCTTACGCTTCGTGCCTACTAAGCCATTTCTGGTTGTGGTGAAGTTCTAGTGATCCACTTCAGGTTCAGCATGTGAAGGGTGTAGTTGGACCATTAGCAGTTATGCAGCACGCACTTCCATGTGTTCAGTGTGGTTCGCATGGTCTTTAAGCAGAGGCTTGACAACCATATGTCAGGAGTGCTCTGATGGTGTTTCCTGCTTGGCAGGGGGTTGGACTCGATGGCCCTTGTGGTCTCTTCCAACTCTATGATTCTATGATTCTATGATTCTATGTTAAGATCATTAGGAAAGGGACCAAAAATAAAACTGCTTATATGATAGTGCTTGCTTTGCAATTTTCTGCTGCAGCAACACTGCCTATGGTTATGGACACCACATCTCAAAAAGGATATTGTATAGCTGGGAAAGGTGCAGAAAAGGGTAACCAAAATGACTAAGGGACTGGAGCAACTCCCCTACGAGAAAAGCTTACAACACATGGGTTTTTAGTTTGGAAAAAATGGTGTGTAAGGGCATTGGGGGACATGACAGGAGTATATATAGGGCCACAATCGAAACTCCCATTCTTCTAGGCGCATTTTGCGACAGGGAATTTCATTAGCGTGAGCAGTTTCTGAGCTCTGGGTGCAGTACTGAGCCTAAGATTTCATATTAAAACTGTAGAGTGGAAGGAAAGGAGGACCTTTTTCTGCCTCTCCACTTCCAGCCACTCTCTGAAGACTGGAGAAGAGACCCTTCTAAGAATATCAGGATGGGTGGGCAGGGGAAGCATGGCTTTGTGTTTTTTTTACAGTCTTCAGATGAGGACTAGAACCATGTGAAAAACGAACATAGGATTTTAGCTGCAGTTCATTCATTTTCAGCTTTGTATTCTCGTTATAAAAAAAGCGCGCCTAGGCATTCCGTTGTTGCGCCCATAACCTAGGTTTAAGATGCAACTGAACCCCTAGCTTTCATATCTCAGTTTCTATCACTGGATAGCTGGTGAGCTGACTGAATTGCATTCCACCATTATAAAATTATGTGTGGTATGGAGAAAGTGGCGAGAGAGAGTTGTTTCCTTCTCTCTCTTTCATAATGCTAGAAAACAGGGCCATTCAATGAAACTGGAAATGCTGGATGGTTCAGGACAGACAAAATAACGTATTTTTCGCTCTATAACACGCACCCGACCATAACACGCACATAGTTTTTAGAGGAGGAAAACAAGAAAAAAAATATTCTAAACGAAACAGTGGATGTATGATTTTTGTGGTTCATGCTGTGGCCACAGACATGCGATCTGACGGTGAGTTTGGGATAGCCCAATGCAAAAATCCTGAGGATCCATGTGGATCTATGCTTTGTAACCACGTTTTTGCACCACTGCGGCCCCAGGCAACAGTGGGTGCGTGATTTTTTTGGAGCAAGCTGTAGCCATGGACATGCTATGTAATCTGATGGTGAATTTGGGGTGACCCAGTGCAAAAATCCTGAGGATCCATGTGGATCCGTGCTTTGTAACCAGGCTCTCTGCCCCTCTCTTCTCCCCACTCAGTGGCTCTTCTCCCGCTTTGCTGTTTCAAAGCGAGCCACGGAGGAGGGAAGGAAGGGGAACCATGGATCCTTTGCTCACGACTGCAGCAGATCCCCCTGCCATCCGTAGGCATTCGCTCCATAACACGCACAGACATTTCCCCTTACTTTCTTGGAGGAAAAAAGTGAGTGTTATGGTGCAAAAAATACAGTAAATGACTTCAGCAATCAACACATGAGTGGGAAAACGCCTATTGTGCTCATAATAAAATACTAATAATAATAAATTTTATTTATACCCCGCCCTCCCCAGCCAAGACTAGGCTCATGTCATGCTTGCAGGCTTCTCATACACATTTGTTTGGCTGCTGTAAGAATAGGATGCTGGGGTTTTGGTATAATCCAGCACGGCTCTTCCTATGTTCTTATTATTTCAGAAATGTTTACAGGGAAGGCAGTACTCTCTTTCCTGTACAGCAGACAGCGGTCTGAGGCAAAGTGATGTTCGATACCTAGGTAGGTTACTGTGAGGAGAACCTGAGCTTACAGGGTTAAACAGCTCAGAGTGTACGCCCTGCCTACTGTTGGGAGGGGGGAACTTCTGCGTCATTTCCGAGAGCCTCAAGCCTTTGTTCTCTCTACTTTCGCTTTTGAGGAGAGAGGACGTGTTTTCACGATGCTGTTCACTGTGATAGATAATGGATAGTCTGCTGTAAATAAAACTGCTTTTAGCTGCTAAGATCCTGAGTGGACTTTATTTAAGCACACTGAAGCAGGCACTGGAGTTTTTGCGGTCTTTCTCTTACCGCTGCTGATCTCTGCTTTGCTCAGAAGCATCGGAATGTGGACTTTGGAATGCAGAGGCCTGGCCGGCAAGAGCTGTGCGGTGGGAAGCGTGCCGGACGTCAGGCTTATCTGAGCAATAAATCAATCTGCTCAACAGTTACTTCCTGAGTTTATGTCAAAACTTGAACTAGAGCAGGCTTTCCCAAACTTGGGTCCCCAGCTTTTTTTTTTTGACTACAGTTCCCATCATCCCTGACCACTGGTTCTGCTAGTTAGGGATGGTGGGAGTTGTAGTCCAAAAACAAACACAAGTTTGGGAAACCCTGAACTAGAGTCTTCCTGGTTCATAGTCTTGGTCACTTGGCACTCTGAAACTGTTGGGGAATTTAGTGAATCTGAGGGGGTGAAAGATGTGGAGATAATAATAAAAAAATATATAAAAAATATAGAGCTAGAAGAGAGAAGTTAATTTCAAGGTACAGAAGTTTCACATACAAGTGTTGTTTTTTTCTTTTTTGAAAGTTAATGAATATATGGAAATATGGAAGAAAATAATAATAATTATTATACTCACTTCTCGAGGCTCCATAATCCCCCCCCCCAAAAAATGGGTCATTATTGTGAGGAAACCACAGTATAAAAATATATGAAGTGACAGGATTGTGTGATGGAGTACTACTCATGTCAAATATAACTTAACCACCCTTGATCACAGCGAAATATATAATGTGGCATCTTATTTTTATTTCAATCATGTTTTCATTAGAAAGAGATGGCAATCGTTTATAAGAAATAATGCACACTGTGTGCCTGTTTCCTTTTTCTTTTTTGCCTGTTTTCTTAATGCAGATAATTTATTTCTTTCCTGCTTTTCTTAAAAAGTCATGCGCAAAATAATGAAAGTTAGCTATGTTCTGTCTTTCACAAAGTACCTCCAGCTTTTTAAAAAATAAAGGAGAGGGGGGGATCCATTGTTATCACATGTGAAGATGGCATAAATTTGGCACAAACACTACTGAAGAAAAATGTATTTCAGGATATATAGCTCCACATGATTTGCCCCATTCAGAGGAAAAAAACACTTCACTTAATAGAAAGCTCTATAGAAAAGCACTTACAAAAATTAGAAGCTGATGTAAAAGGGACTTGATTTAAAGTACCCCTGTCTCGTGTGAGAAATCGTAATGCAGATGTCATTTGCTTTGTTCACATTCATCCCAGCGTTTGTGTATTCAAAACCACTATTCACCTCCCCCCCCCCATTTTTTAAAAAAGTGGAATGCCTGGATCAACTGAAACAAATAAAGGTGGAAGTAGTTTGTAATGATGTTAGTTCGGGGCAGGGCGGGGGGAATACAGATATTACAGGAATCCATTATCTGTGAATCATGTTTGTTGGCGGTATATTGTTACACAGCAGTAGAGCTGGCCCTTGCATGTAACTTAATATCCTTTCAAAACAACAAAACAACCTTTTCACCAGGCCTGTAGAAGACAGTTGCTCCCCCTTGTGATTCTATAGCTTGGCGGGGGGCGGGGGTGAGGACAAACTTTCAAGGCAGGTCTCTTCATCCAAATACAGTGGTACTTCAGGTTACATACGCTTCAGGTTACAGACTCCGCTAACCCAGAAATAGTACCTTGGGTTAAGAACTTTGCTTCAGGATGAGAACAGAAATCGTGCTCCGGTGGCAGCGGGAGGCCCCATTAGCTAAAGTGGTGCTTCAGATTAAGAACAGTTTCAGGTTAAGAACAGACCTCCCGAACGAATTAAGTACTTAACCCGAGGTACCACTGCACTTAAAAGGGAATGGTGTGGGTTGGGAGGATAAGGTATTTATTTTGCAATGCGCTTCTCCAACCAAAACATGTCTAAACAAATGTGAATATTAGTGGGGAGGTGTGCATAAAATGTATCTATTAGTGAAAATAACATACAAAATGCATTCTATTAGGGACGTTGCTTGGGGGGAAAGTGCACGTTAGGGAAAGAGTGCACACACACAAAAATGTATTTTGAAGAAATTTATACTAAAGTGCTGATGAATGCTGAGGATTACCGGTAATTGCAATCTAATGATGGCATGTGAGCAGAATTTAAGACTGGGAAAATGAGAACCTGAGGGAAGTCAGATTTGACAGTCAAATTCAGTGTAGTTTGCTTCTGAGTAAGCGTCATAGGATTGCACTGTTAGGTACTTTTCCTTCTGGGATATGGGTGGCGAGGTCTAAACCACTGAGCCTCTTGGACTTGCCAATCGGAAGGCTGGCAGTTCGAATGTGCACAATGGGGTGAGCTCCCATTGCTCTGGCCCAGCTTCTGCCAACCTAGCAGTTCAAAAGCATGCCAGTGCAAGTAGATAAATAGGTACCACTGCGGCGGGAAGGTAAATGGCATTTCCTTGCGCTCTGCTTTCCTTCACGGCGTTCCGTTGCACCAGAAGCGGTTTAGTCATGCTGGCCACATGACCCAGAACGCTGTCTGTGGACAAACGCCGGCTCCCTCAGCCTGAAAGCGAGATGAGCGCTGCACCCCATAGTCGCCATTGACTGGACTTAACTGTCCAGGGATCCGTTACCTTTACCTTTTACCTTTACTTTTCCTTCTCCTTCATCAAATAGTAATCAGTATGAGTTAATTTTTAAGAGTATGGCAAAATCCTGAGTGGGGAGGCCCTTATTAAAAGTTTAACCTCTTTCATTATGGATCCTTTTTTAAGAATTTGTGAATTCCATGGTGCCATCTGGTGGCCTTTTTCTGGAACAGGAGGGCATTTCTGGGAAGAACCTCATCCTGTTCCATAAAAACCACAGTATCATACATAGAACATGCTATAAAATGAAGATTTGGGACAGCATGATGCATGAATCATGTTAATTTTAGTGCCAGGGAGCTTTTGACACTAAAAATCCCACAGGGCTGTCTTTGTTAGTCTGTTGCCTTAGAAACAAACAAAGAATCCTGTGACACCACAGAGACTGATAAATTTGTTATGGCATAAATGGTTGTGGACCTCAGGCCATTTCAAATAATCAGAATGGCGCCTCTTGTTCACACATGCCTACTCTTTCTCCACTTAATCGTATTGACATATTTTTGGAAAAACCAATGCTACCAGTAAAATTCATTCTATTTATTGGCTCTCTGTTAAAAAATAGAAGCAATTCTGTTGATAAACGGCAAGGCAGTAGGAAACCGAACTCAAATAATATGCGATGCCCTCCCCACAATTAAATTAGCCAATCGCTTTGAAGGAAAACGTTAGGCCTATTTTTCCTTCTCCATGGTGGTGCAAGATGCAAAATCATAACTAATTACCTTTAATATCATTTCCTGAGTGAGTCATTAACGTAATTGCACAGCTCATATGGTAATTTCTTTTATAAAAAAATTAAATTAGCATTCATCATTCCAAATGGGAAAGTAACTTTAATTCACTTCTTGGGTTTAGATTTTCTTTGTGTTTAAAGCTCTGTGGCCTATTTTATAGCTTTGTTTTATTTTTCTCAAGAGCTTTTATATGATTGGTGATGATTAGTTAAAGGGACAAAGAACTTGCAGCTGTTCAAATGTTTTTTAACTACAACTCCCACCAACCCTAGCATAGCCAAAGCTCAGGGGTAATGGTACTTGTATGCCAACAACATCTGGAAGGCTGTAGGTTCTCCTTTCCTGATTGAAAGCAAATATCTGGGTGTTTTCCTAGAGATGATATGAAATGTATATAAAAGACCTATGTATATGTATATGTATATGAAAGACCTACATTGGCTCCCAGTATGTTTCCGAGCACAATTCAAAGTGTTGGTGCTGACCTTTAAAGCCCTAAACGGCCTCGGTCCAGTATATCTGAAGGAGCGTCTCCTCCCCCATCGTTCTGCCCAGACACTGAGGTCCAGCACCGAGGGCCTTCTGGCGGTTCCCTCACTGCGAGAGGCCAAGTTACAGGGAACCAGGCAGAGGGCCTTCTCGGTAGTGGCGCCCGCCCTGTGGAACGCCTTCCCATCAGATGTCAAAGCGATAAACAACTACCTGACAATCAGAAGACATCTGAAGGCAGCCCTGTTCAGGGAAGTTTTTAATATGTGACATTTTAGTGTATTTTTCATCTTTGTTGGAAGCCGCCCAGAGTGGCTGGGGAAACCCAGCCAGATGGGCGGGGTACAAATAATAAATTATTATTATTATTATTATTATTATTATTATTATTATGTATATGTATATGCAATTTTCCTGGTATTTCTTTATTTTGAAAATGTGTCTCAGGCTACGCGGTTTGCTGCAACTTTTATGCCATTAATTCCTTTCTTCCAAATGGGGCTGTGCTTACAAGGCTGTAGCCTGGACCCAGATTGTGACCTAAGTGCAAACAGTTTCTCAGGTTTCCAAGAGGACCATTTCAATTAGCAACAAGCCATCAATAACATGATGGAAAACTGGACTTTTCTCAGGCAATAAGCATGTTGATACAGTTGTAAGGTGTACCTTCCAACTTACTGGAAAACAAAGTTGCCCATAGGACACAAAGGCTTAAAACTACAGTGGTACCTCGGGTTAAGTACTTAATTCGTTCCGGAGGTCTGTTCTTAACCTGAAACTGTTCTTAACCTGAAGCACCACTTTAGCTACTGCCGCGCTGCCGGAGCCCTATTTCTGTTCTTATCCCGAAGCAAAGTTCTTAACCTGAAGCACTATTTCTGGGTTAGCGGAGTCTGTAACCTGAAGCGTATGTAACCTGAGGTACCACTGTACATATTAAGAGTCTTGGTTAAGGCTCTTTTTGTCTAGGGAGACACATTAGAACTTTCCATACAAAAGCACAAGATTGGTTGCTGAGGTGTCTGAACACTTTATTACTCTTACATTTTAATATTGTATTGTGAGTGACACATGTATTGTTTAAGCGCTACGTGCTTTTCTGTCAATTTGACAATTGTTTATTTTGCACCAGAAAAATAGTAGCATCCCTTTTTAAGAGGGGTGAAAGAGATTAATATATTTTTTGGATATGCAAGTAGGAAAAATCCAAGTCTGAGTGGCGTTAGAATATATCACCATGGCATCACTGTTTGTTTGAAAACTGGCTTGAAAATAGCGCTGTGTTTTTCAACCCAGGAACATATGTTCCATGTCAGCATAAAATCAAGCAAAGTTGAGTTGGCAGAAATTACTTCACAAGGACTTTACAGCAAGGTGCTTTATTTTAATGCTATTTGTAGTGATGTTACAAATGTGGATTTTTTTTTAATGCAGTGCCATGACAACAAATGTATAGCAGATAAACAGAGAAAGTTCTTGGCCCAAGAAAAGCTATGGAGAACATGGAAGCATTCATAATTATTATAAATAAATCTGATCACTTACCTCTCCTGATTTTTGCAGTAATCACAGTGATCTGCCTGGCTTAGAGCTTCAACTTACTGACCTTAGTATTTTATCTCAAAACTGCTGAAGAAGTGTAACTTAGACATATGTTTAGAAGTTTCGCTATATAGAGGGGTATCTGCCAGGAGCTACTAATTTCATAGTCAGCATCAGAGAGTAAAAATAGAAAAATGCAGATACTGCAAAGGAAAGATGAATTCTCTGCCTGGCAGCATATAGAATCCCAAGCTCAAGACAAAGTATACCCCAAATACATTATAGGTTTTGTGGCATTGTCTCATAAGTTCAGATCCACTGTGAGCACATTTAAATCTAAATAAAGGAGATATAATTTTTTTTGCATGTGAGAACAAATTCTGCCAACCTCTGAACTATCAGGTAGTTATGGGCTGGAACCAAGGTTGATTCTCAGATACTCAGTACCAGTTGCTTTGTCTTGCTTTTAAAATATCAAATTATTTTGTTCTGTTTTTAAAAAATATACATTAGTGCCCTTGGGGTGCAAGTGGAGGGGTGGCACCTCTGGTGGGTGACACATTGTGCTCCTTCTGGGGTCGTTTGTCCACCTTTGGTCTCCACCCAGCTCTCACCTGTCAGAAGCTGTCAGCATGCAACAACAGCCACACCCCGAGAAATGGCTTCGGGTGACTGGCAAAACTGGGTGAGGGTAGCTGATTGGTCTCAAACGCTTGGTGAGTTAGGGGCTTCACCCAGCATGCAAAGGCAGGCTCCAGCAGATTTAGCATAGTGGGTCCAACGGTCAAGGAGCCAGTTTCTGCGTGCGCTGTAGACGGAAGTGAGAGGCAGATGGGACTCATCAACCTGGGAAGGTAGCCCTTCTAGGAGAAGGAAGCTTTGATCCTAAACTTCTGCTGCCTTGTGGGATATCTTCAGTAGACGAAAAGGCTAAGGAGTAAACCCTATACTTTACAAATCCAGAGTGAAGTCCCTAAGGTGGTTGGGGTGGTGTCTTGTATGCCTCCTTTTGGCAACTCCTGCAGCCCAGCTGGTGCCAAGTGTATTGCTCTGCTTTGCTTTGGACCACATGAGCGAAGCCGATGGTCTTGTTGTCTGGGCATCCCAGGACCTCCATACACACCACCCAGGCTTGTGCCCCAAAGAGGTCACTTTGGTGCTGCTAAAGTCTGGCATCACCAACAGAGGCACACTCCGTCGTTTCTAGAGACAGATGGATGGCTTTCAATCATATTCTCAGGGCAGTTGAATTGCCAGTTGGTTTTGGATTTCTAGCTCACTCAGTCTCAAACATGGGCAGTGAATGAAAACATTTAAGCTAGGGGTAGGGAGCCTTCTGTTAGATTCCATGTGCAATCAGATGAAAGTCTGACAGATCATGGAATGTGTGTCCTTGCTTTGGAAAGCTAGTGTAAGCTTTAAAAGATCTGTAGCTTGTGCTTTCTGATTTCACACTTTCTATGAGTTGTATAGATATATCTACCTGCCTCTAGAGGGCGCACACGCTCTTCCTAATATTGGAAACTTTTATTTTAAAAAAGTAGTTCAGCATTCTGTTCTCACAGTTGCCAACTAGATGCCCATGGGAAGCTGACAAGCAGAATGTAAGTGCAGTAGGAGTCTATCATTCTGAACTGATGATCAGGGGTTGCTGAACATGACTAGTAGTCTCTGAAAGCCATATCGGTCATGAATTTGTCAAATCCCCTTTTAGAGCTGTTCAGATGGCCAGCCATCACTACATGTTTTAGTGGTGAATCCTAGTTGTTATTATGGATCTATGTCAGAGGATCAGAGACCCTTGTATATAACTCAGCAATCAGGATTTTCACCTAAGTCTATACCCAAATGAATACTGGGGGCTCTTGAAAACTCTCCCAACACAGAGGTTTGGGACATTGCAGGGCAATGACATGAAGCGAAATTCTCTTGCACTTTTCTGCAGGTTGTGGAAGGCTTGGTGGTCCTTACTGTGGGTGTCTATGTGAGTTTTGATGATACGGTATAAGAGATATTCTGCTTACACACACACAGAAATAAATGATTTGTGGACGTAGCATGTGTTGGACAGCAGTTAGCAAATAAAGCTGTCCAGTGAGTTCTTTATAGACAGTTCAGTAGCAGTATTTTCCTAGCTTTTAGATTTGGTCCATTTCACTTTTCCATTAGATTTGGTCCATTTCACCTTGCTGCTGTTAAGCAATTATAATGCCTATAGATATGCACTATATGTATTACTCATGTGATTTATGAGCTACTTAAAATAAAATCAGGTTTCGCCTCATTTTGATTCCTTATTTGGGGGAAGGGGTTTGTTAGAAAGCTCTAGTCTAGTCTAGTCTAGTCTAGTGCATAATCATTTGTGCAATGTATTTTGAGATCATTGATGGACAAGCAAAGCTTCCCACACGGATTAGGAAAAAAAGGAATCTAGTTTGGAATCTTTGCAAGTTTGATTCACAGAGTTAAGCTTGAATTTAAGCTAACCACCAAAAGCAACAACTTTAAGCATGGTTTGTGGCGCAGTAACCAAATTCTGCATGGTTTGTGTGTGTAACAAGACAAGATAGAGTGCTTGGTGGGGAAGAAAGTTGATTTGACTGTAATTGGAAAACTGGTTTGGGATATCCTACTTTTCCTGAAGACTCGGGCTGTGTTCACACATAGACTCTGAAATGTACAGGGGTCATCTCCCCTCAGTGTTATTTTGTACATAGATGTTTGCAGTTGTACACACCTTCACCTAAAGCAGCAGCTACTCTCTGCGTTGTCTGTACCCACAGGTGTGCATGTTTTAAACTAGTGTGCAATTGTGTTTTCTATTCCTCTCTCCTCAATTAGTGTTTCCACAGATCTTTTTTAAAAAAAACCAGTCTTTCGAAAGGTGCTGGAAACTAGTATGTTGTATCTTGATATATAAATGATATGTATCAGTATAAAGAAGCAGCTAAGTTACTGTGCTGCTTCCTGTTCGCCTATTTCATTCATAGACAAGTCAAACATACATTCCCAGCACAAAATGGATTATAACTGTTCCTTTAGACTGACAGTTAGTGTGGACCAAAGATGATATGGAGATGGCGTGTGCACAGCACACCGAAAAGGTGCCTGCCTCCATCACTGAATGCACGTTGCCATGCAGGGTGTGCACAACATCAGGCTTGCAGTCTTGAGTCTGCGCTTGGATCCTGCATTGCTCCTGTATGCACAAGAACTTTGATCAAACAAAGAATTTGTTAAGCATGTAACTGGAGAAAAGAGGAGGGAATGCCCAAGCAGAGTTTATTCCCAATATTCCTGACTATGGTTTGGAGGATGACAAGTAGGAACCGTTAGGATTCTTGCTCCGTATTTGCAGTCATGAGATTGTTGTCTATCACATGGCGGTGTATGTTTTCATTCCACAGTGTGGGAAGTGATGGAGACAGGATGTTTTGATGTTACTGTGTTCCGTGGTGTGGGACTATTGTCCTTTGTTTCTTTCTCTCTTTGCAGTCTGATGAGAAAGAGGAAGGAGCTAAAGCAGAATGCTCCGAGTGTATTATATGTAAATAAAGTAGATTAGCCAAAATGCTGTACTACTGAGTTCTGTTACGCGAACTGCAAATACTCTGCAGGATCGTAAGTGTGCTGATGCCTCTTGGTATCAGTCGCTGTGATGTTCGGGCTGAAGAAAGCTTTGGAAGCTCCCGAATGACCAGGAGGGAAAGAACATGCCAGTCGGGCATGTGTCTCTGCCAGGGTCCTACACGAGAGTAGGATGATCCTAACAGGAACTAGTTTTCGTTACTGCCCAACTGCTCTTGATATTAGGAATTGTTTTAGGAGATCCAATCTAAATGTTTATTTCTATAACTTAAACCTTCAAAATTGCAGTGTATGAATTGCCACCAGGGTAGAATCAATCCTTGCATATGCATCAGTAAGGATGATTATATTTTCCCAACACACATTACCCTCCCTGCTGAACATAACCACTTATGTCTTGCTTCCAAGCCAACAATTGTGTGTTAGAAAGGAAACACATGGCAAAGTGTTCCTTGGCTATCTAATTACCTAAATGGACTTAACAACTTTACAAAATTGATGCAGTTTGTCTGGGAGATAATTGCAATAATGTATCTCAAAGCCTTATCTTTTTTCTCTTTTTTTGCAGGAACCCAGGCCTTTATATAATAAACGGTGCCAGTATTATTCAAGTGGAGTTGGATTCTTATATGATGTTTACCAGACCGAGGTAAGCTATTATAGTGTAGTTTTTGTAGCTTTATGAATGGGGAAAGCCACTTCCAAGATGACTAGGAGTATAAATGTTTTGCAGTCAAAGCACTTGGCCACTGTGGATTTATTTTCCAGACTTAAAACACACTATCATATTTGTAACAAGAATATTTTCTTTGGAATCAAAGCTATTCTCATTCCATTCTTGTTGCTTAATGGTCCCTTGGAATGCATTCCTTAGACATAACTCTTTTTTTTTTGTCTTTCTCTTTTTTACTGAGTGGCATATTGTCATATATACCCAAGTTCAAGTTAATAGGTTTATACTGGCCCCAAACTACAACTCTACAGTGTAATAGTCTGACACGGTCCAACAATGTCTGCATTTCGTATTCAGATTTATTTTGGGTTGCGGTTCTGCAGCCAAGTACAGGAGCAGTTGTGGGCAAATGGACTTTTGACTAAAACCTTACACTGAATACATATTGTTTTTGGTCTGTGTTACTGTATGTTTTATGCTGAGCATATATATGTTGGCAAGTTCCGAACAAAAGGCCCATCTATTGTTTTGCAAGCAGGACAAGGAACAGAAACAAAATTGGCCCCAAGGAAAGATGAATTCTGTAAAATAAAACAGAACAAGGCTACCTAACAAAGTTGAAGGGGATTTGAGCAGCCATTTTGCTCATGGGGATTTGTTTCCAAAACAGCTCCAATTTCTGACCACAGTGCATGGTGTAAACTTAGTGAACAGAACTTCAAGTCTCCCAAATGAAGATTTGCTACCTCCTCTTTCTTCAGGTGACATGTTACACCTTAAACAGCAAGTGTCTGCTGAAAGTGAAGAGTAACACATGCTACTGCTGCGATTTGTACAATTGTGAAAAGTAAGTACCTGTGGACAGCAGGTTTGGAGGGCTCCTGTCAGTCTGAGCCTCTTCAGCCACAGTCTGTTGTAACCCAATGGATGCTGCAATCTGTAGTCTTATAAAGCAGACACGTACTGTATCTTCCTGCAAAAGTCACTATTATAGGAGGAGCCTATTCATTTGCTTTTTCAGCCAGGCATGTGTTTATAATGTTAGTCATAAAATCTGGGGAGAAACTATGCTTTACCTGGCTGTCTAATACAAACCCACTCAGAATGAATGACGCAGTAGAATACATCAGCCAGGCCTCTTTTACTCCAGTTCTGAAGATCTGCTATTAAACACAAGTTCAGTGGGGAATGGGCAATGACTAGGTTTTTCCCCTGTGATTATTATTATTCCACTCATCTGACTGGGTGACTTCCAACAAATTAAAACACAGTAAGATTTCAAACATTTAAAACTTCCCTATACAGGGCTGACTTTAGATTTCTTCTAAAAGTCAAGATGGTTGTTTATTTCCTTGACCCAAAACACCCTCCCTTGCTCATATGCATGTCAGCACTTGTAGAAGAAAATGCCATGTTTTTGCGAGAGACGAAAGTGGAGTGGGCAGAAGGGGAACCCAGTTGGAAAGTAGCTTGTAGATTTTGTCACTAATAGATAGAGGGCCTTCTCAGTAGTGGCGACCGCCCTGTGGAACACCCTCCCTTCAGATGTCAAGGAAATAAGCAGCTATCCTATTTTTAAAAGACATCTGAAGGCAGCACTGTTTAGGGACTTTTTTTTTTTAAAAAAATAAGATATTTATTAAGATTTTCAAAATATTACAAAAGAAAAATAGAAAAAAGAAAAATACAAAATAAAATTAATTCAAGTCAATCTTTCAATTACTTATTTTTCATTAGCTTGTTTCCCGGACCTCCTCACTCCTCCCTTTTTTGTATTCCAGTTCAGTTTGTTAGTTCAGCAAATTCTTCCCCTCTTTGTTTATCCTAATCTCTAATCTTAGAGTATTGTAACATTAAATTTTTACCTGTTAGTAATCCATTTTTCATATTCCCTTATAATATTTCTGCTAAAAACCATTTAATTTATATCCAACATCATTCTAACATTCATTAATTTTACAATATTTCTGTAAATAGTCTTTAAATTTCTTCCAATCTTCTTCCACCGACTCTTCTCCCTGGTCTCGGATTCTGCCAGTCATTTCCGCCAGTTCCATGTAGTCAATCACCTTCATCTGCCATTCTTCCAGAGTGGGTAGATCTTGTGTCTTCCAATACTTTGCAATGAGTATTCTTGCTGCTGTTGTGGCATACATAAAAAAAGTTCTATCCTTCTTTGGCACCAATTGGCCGACTATGCCCAGGAGAAAGGCCTCTGGTTTCTTCAAGGTATATTTAAATACTTTTTCAATTCATTATAGATCATCTCCCAGAAAGCCTTAATCCTTGGGCACGTCCACCAAAGGTGAAAGAATGTACCTTCAGTTTCTTTACATTTCCAACATTTATTATCGGGCAAATGATAGATTTTTGCAAGCTTGACTGGTGTCATGTACCACCTGTAAATCATTTTCATAATATTCTCTCTTATGTTTAGGGACGTTTTTAATATTTAATGCTGTATTGTTTTTAACACTCGATTGGGAGCCGGCCACAGTGGCTGGGGAAACTCATCCAGATGGGTGGGGTATAAATATATTATTATTATTATTATTATTATTATTAAAACAGATTCATTTATTCTGCCTGCCCCAAGCAGTGGCCTTAATTTCTTTCTATGCTTTCTATCCAGAATTTACTTAGGTTACTCTCTTTGCTTGGGCCACTTCCTGCTCAGATGCAAACATTAGGATGGCTTTCAGACATTTTTGTTTTCATTTTATTTTTTTGTTTTCAAATTTCTAGTCTACCCTATACCTAACCACAGCCATTTTAAAAAAAAAAAAATCTAGCCACCCTCCAGAAGTAGTACACATTGGAAAACTCCTTCCATCACAATGTCTGGCAAACTGCTATATTTTGAATACCAGAAATGTCATCAGTTTTTCATTGTTTGAATGAGAGGACGAAGGGAAAAGTAGGTGCATTCTGGGACATCTGTGTGCAAAAGTCCACACAGATGTGCTCTGGGTTTTCTTTTTGTAAATTGCTGCTGATGTGCTGTTCTTCCCTCCCGACCCACCCCCTTCTCACCAGCTCAGAACACTCTACCAGCTATTACGAGTTCCTTGGCGTGAACAGCTGTCAGGATGTGGTCCACTTGTACCGGCTGCTCTGGTCCTCCACTGTCTTGAACATCATCGGGTTGTTTCTTGGCATAGTCACAGCAGCCATACTTGGGGCATTTAAAGATGTGGTAAGTCTCGAAATGCTAGAGGCATTTTATACCGATGGGAGTCAACGCAGTAGGCCTCGGGCTTCCATGCAGAACATGTGGTTGGGGCTATTGCACAAGGAATGTCTGGAGGGAGGGGATTAACTCTTTTATTGTCAAAAGTACATTTACAAGTTAGGAAAAGGCATGTCCCCCAGACCAGTGTGCCTTGGCTGTTGCTGTAACTGCCCTATCGGGTGCACACCTAGGAGTAGCAGAGAGACCCAAGCTGTGGACGAGCAGGAGAAAGACTATGCCTGCATGTAACCTGTTTCTGCTCCTCCCTGTTCAGTCCTCCCCTGGTCCTGTGGGAGGCAGTGGAGCAGGAGAGGTGGGGGCAGTAGGAGAAGATGTGGAAGGACTTGACTCTACACCAGCCTGACCTCTCTTCTCCTTCCTCTTGCACCTGTTCACCACTCTCCAATCCTACAGCTACTCCTGCTTCTGCCTCTTGTTTTCTGGCTGTTAATGTCTCTTCCAGATCACAGATCCCTTCTCCCAGTGCCCACTCATCAAAATTCAGCCACCACCCCTCAGTGTCCAGACAATCCCTGACATCTTGTATTTTTATGTTGCTGTAGCCTAGCCTAGAACTTTATGTGAAAGGGCAAGTAACAAAAATGTTTGGAGGTGCTAGGTGTAGAGTACAGTACTAGGTTTACCCAGAGATTCCAGGGTGTCTGGAAGTCTTTGCCTGTGCAGCTGTATGTGTGAAGTTCCCACCCCTATAGATGTTTTCACTGTACATGCAGACACCATGGGGTGAGCGGGGACTTCTTGACACATGTAGCATCAGGGGTCAGGATGTTTCATACAGCTCTGCTCCATGTTGTTAGAACACCTTAAGGCTAGCATATCGTCACCTTGACACATCAAAGGTGCCCTGCACATGCAGATTTCTAGCTGCATGAGGAACTGCACATACAATTCCTAAGTCTTAAAGCAGCCTTCTTCAACCTGATGCCCCCCAGATGTTTAGGACTACAACCCCCTAAGCCAAGAGTTGTAGCAAGAAACGTCTGGAGGACACCAGCTTGGTAAGGGTTGCATTTATCGTTATGGTTTCATGAGTGCTGCAGCAGTAAGGTGGGGGGTTTTTTTTGCCATAATTATTTTTTGACTGCCAGACCCAGTCTTCCCACCCCTCCCCTCTCAAATGTCTGATGTCATTGCCCAAAATCTGTCTATGCTGGCATTTACACCACAGATGATGGGTTAAAGGTGGGATTTGGGTACATACATGTTCAGCAGCCCACTGATACTGAACGCCCAGAGCTGCTCTGTGCACTGAGGCCTTGAAAACCCATGGATTTCAATGGAATTTAAGCAGCCTAATTTTGCACAGGATTTTTGCACTTTGCCATTTTTTGTACTTATTTTAATGGCGAAAGTTGTCTTGGTTTAGTCTCCCCCAAGCTGCCTATCTGCATTTCATGCAGCTGGTTGATACATTACTCTCTGAGATGCTCGATTCCTCAAAAGACAGGCAGACGCTTTCTAAATTATTTGTTTAAGGCACACGTGTTCTTTTGTGACCTAGATGCCTGAAAATATTGGTTGGAAGAGTAATCTTTAGGATGAAAACCACAGGCAGGATAAATAGAACTTCCTTAGTTCTCTGCTTGTTGTGCTCATGTTGGATTTCCATGCATCTATTAGCTGAGGCTGATGCCTGAATATGCCAGCACCTTTGAAAGTCACACTGAATTTGGAGGACCTGTGTATGCACCAAATATCACGTAGAGTAAAGTTTCACGTTGAGCTAGCATTTGCCATCTTGTAATTTAATGTCAGGTGAAAGAAAGGCAATTTGAACCAGTAAATCTTTTCAGAGTTTCAAATCCTTATTCCTGGATTTGCTTTTTATGAATACAATCCAGCTGGAGACGACTGGCACACGGTCCAAACAGTGCTATTTCCAAATCCTACTTAAGTTGTTAATAGGGAGCAATTGCAGTTTCCCACAATGCATATTTTGTCATGGTGCCTTCCTGCTCTTCAGGCCACAAAGAGAATCATAACCATTTTTTAATTTGAAGTTTGCATGCCAGTTCCTTACAGCTTGCTCAAAGTATTGTTAGAGATTTCGTTGAGGTTAGCATTCAAGTCCCAAAGCAAATGGCAAGGAAATAAATTGTGTCAGTTGTACTACACAAGCGAGTGAAAAGTACGGACAAATGGTTTCTTGGTGCCCTCCAGGCTAAATTCCTGGTATCTACTTTGTTGCTGGATTTCCATGTTTGTTTGTGTGAAGTAAACTGCTAATAGATTTGAGTCACTTCCCCTCTCCTTCCTTGAGCAGTGTCAAGGGTCAGCACTGGACTGGGAGAAGACATTAAATAGAGCAGGGGCAGGCATCCAAGAAGAATGCAGGGAAGTAAGAATAAGTGAGGGGAAATGGAATTGTTCTTCTAAATGTCATCGTCCCCTAAAGCTCTTAAAAATAGCTCTTGAATTTATGAGGAGGTAGCTTGGCATGATAGTTAAAAACTGTGCACATGAGTAAAAAAATGCTGCATGTTCTTTGAAAATTTGACATTGAGAGGCTGGAGAAGGGGTGGCCGTAACGTTGGCCTGGGGTCTTACTGTGGAGGAATCATAACATTCAATGCACATTTGAAAAGAAGAACTATTTACAGGAAGCCCCACTATGCTTCCTTCGCATCTCAAGCACTCTTGACTAGTGTGTGGTCTCTGAAAAAATGTTGAATTTGGTGTGTTACCATTTGCACTGTATTCTGCTACCGGGTTGCTTTTGTCGGGTAGTCACAGCAGTCAGATGAAATAGAGAGAACGCTCAGTGAAATAATTTCCCCCAACCAAGATACCTACCTTTAAAAAGAGGAGCTTGGTGCATTTGTTCCACAGATGCATTTGGACTTCCACAGCGACATTTTTATAACTATTTGTAGTCCTTCAGAGAAAGGCATTTTCTTTACACTGGCAGCTGCGTGCTCCTTGAAATGTGTAAAAGTGGAAAGCTATTCCTATTACACACATTCTGGTCTACATTGAAAGTTGGGCAGGGGACACAATACATTCTAGTGTGTTAAGGTCACAAGCAGGGGATGTGCCTGACTCAGCTCCCTTCCTTAAAAGTGTTTTGCAAGGAACAAATAGAAGCAGGTTTGGCACCAAAGTGTTTCGACATTTTTCTAAGGTAAAAGGTGCGGGAGGCAGTGGAAGACAGGAGTGCCTGGCGTGCTCTGGTCCATGGGGTCACGAAGAGTCGGACACGACTAAACAACTAAACAACAACAAGGTAAAAGGAAGAGATGGGAGTTTTATCTTGTAAAAAAAGTCTTCTGTTCCCCAATCTGCAGATGTGGGATAGCATTTTGCCTCAACTTATATCATGCTGTTCACGAAGGTGTCATTCAATGTACCAATGGATATGGAAAAAGTAGTTGATGAATATAAAAATTAAACGTGGGGCATAAGCAAAATGTACTGATCTAGCTGTCTTCCACAGGTGCCTCTCTCACAAATTGCCTTCAGCTCTGGCCCTCCACCACAGATTCTTTACAATCCAGCTCAGCAGATTCTGACGTATGCTGGGTTTTGCCCTTCTGCAGCAACTGTCTCTCATTATGCTTCCTACCATTTACCCCTTCAGGTATAGTAGAGGAAGAGTTCCACTTCCCTTAACTGTAAATCAGATGCACCGTTATGGCGCTGCTAGACTGTGCTCGTGGCGGCTGTTTGTGTGTGGGGGGTGGTGGTGGTGGTATGTATCAGACTAGCACTGAAGGTAGTTTTCAGCACTTTTAAAGTAATTATTTACAAATCAAGTGTTATATTGTTTGTTTCTACTACAATTTAATATTATATGGCCAGTGTCGCAGGTGCTCTGCTAAGAACACAGAATCAAAATTGGAAAGACAAGCCAGAGCTGCAGGAATGACATACGAGCCGACAATTTGTGTGTGGCTGGGTGTACACAGCAGGGATAGGGAACCTGTGGCCCTCTAGACATTGCTGAGCACAACTCCCATCAACCCTGACCACTCAACCATGCTGGCTGAGGGTGAAGGGAACTGGAGCCCAATGTTGGGAGGGCCACAGTTTCCCCTCGTATTCAGTGGTGAATTAGGCCATAGAATCATAGTGTTGAAAGGGACCACGAAGGTCATAGAGTCCATCCCCCTGCAATGCAGGAATCTTTTGCCTGAAGTGCGGCTTGAACCCGTGACCCAGATATTAAGAGTCTTATGATCTACTAGCTGGGCTATCCCATTGTGAGTCTCTCTGTGTATACCAGGGGTCAGCAACCTTTTTCAGCTGTGGGCCGGTCCACTGTCCCTCAGACCATGTGGTGGGCCAGACTATTTTTTGGGGGGGAAATGAATGGATTCCTATGCCCCACAAATAACCCAGAGATGCATTTTAAATGAAAGCACACATTCTCCTCATGTAAAAACACACTGATTCCTGGACCGTCGGTGGACCGGATTGAGAAGGCGATTGGGCTGCATCCGGCCCACGGGCCTTAGGTTGCCTACCCCTGGTGTATACCATATTTTTCTGTGTCTAAGACAACCCCATGTATAAGATGCCCCCTATTTTTAGGGACTCCCAATTTAAGAAAATAGGGGGGAGATTGCCCCGTGTATGAGACGACCCACAGTTTTCCACATAATTTTAAAGTAAAAAAACCTAGTCTTATACATGGAAAAATACGGTATATTACCGCAATTATGCGTAAGTGATGGGTTTTTAGGGGTTTTTTTACATATGTTTATATATATGCCTAATGCTCTTTTGAAGTCCAATTAGCAGCTAATCACTGAAAACCTTTTGTTTTGCTACAGCCTACCAACAATTTCCCAACAGCATCATCTACTGATATTTCTTCATCCGACGACACTCAGCCACCATCTCAGTCTAGCTCTAACTATGGCTTGCCTCCCAATGCTCCTCCATTATATACACCATATTTCCTGTCAGGTGAAAAGCCTCCACCGTACGTACCATAGTCAAGACACCAATATCAACTGGTAGCAGGTTTAAAAACAAAAGCCTTGGCAGAAATGTGTGCTAACTAGCTAGTGGTCTTTAAGGAGTGTCATATTGTGTGGCATGTTATTTATCAGCTTTAAATCCAAATAACATGTTGATAAGATAATGATTGCAAAACAGGCAGGCATCATAGACAGTTGATCGATCAGTTAAATAATTGCATGCAGTCCTTTTCAACCTACCTTTTAAACTAACATGCATCCCCCTGCACCTACAAAGCAACTGTTATTTTTAAAACAGAACTAAGATCTAGGTAGCCACATACAGCCTGCATTTGGATATTAATGATAAATTTGGTTTATCATAATGGAAATGAATTGGGTGAGCCTTGGGTTCGTGACACAACTCGTCCTCTTCCAATGCAGCTGCAATGAGAAGTTTATGCTTTTGTTTCCGTTTCCAGTTAACACAGTTTAATGTTGTCTGAACCCTAAAGTATGGTTAATCTTAATCATGGCTTACTGAAAAAAGCCCCCCCAAAAGCTACAGTTAAGACTAACCACAGTTTGTTTGCAATTGCACGTAACACTACTTTGATTTGTCAGACACAGAAGCAAGTTTTTGATATCCTTCTCACAGTCATACTGATTATATGGGGACACATGAACTAGAAGCTTACCTAGATTTGTTCCTGTAATAGTTTATGGTTATGTCTAAATGCAGGCGTTGTGTGCTTGGTGGTCCAAAATACTAGATGCAAATAAACAGCCTTTATATTGCAAGGGGATGTCCATCTCTACCCAGAGAGAATAGCTATGCAGATACACATCTGAGCTGCATGTGCAGCAGTTCACTGCACAGTGGCAAAGCCACTTTGTATGCAAATCACTTCACAAAGCTGCAAAACTCTGGCTTCTTAGTTTTATTTCCTTATTCATAACAGTTGGGTTTACCTCCAGTTTAGAATCTAAAAGGGAAAGATACTTTCATCTTTCTTTCATAGCATTAATATCTTCTTTTGGGTGGATAGGTCTTCCAAAAGATTGTGACGGTTATTTTACAATAAAATATATTGTGTGTAATATATTTGTACTTCTAGTCTATGCATGTTATAGATGAGATGAAATATCATAATTTAATATGAACTGTTTTTCCAAAGGGTTAAAATATACTGAAGGATCAAAGTATTTTAAAATATTTGGATTTATTCTCTTGTCTCAACAGTTGTACTGTGCAGTAGTTACTACTACTAAAAATAAAGTTATCTTTTCCATATGCTACAGATTCAACAAGTGATGCAGTATTTAATGTTGGCACATAACAAAAGGGGGGCTGTAGTAAAAGCTTCTGTTGCTATTTACAGGGAAGCAACCTTTGGCAGAGGTTTGGAATGAGACAGGGAGTGGCTGTGGTTTCAGGATTTATCTCAGGATGGAGTCCACAGGTTACCCATTTCCAGCTTAGAGTTTTTCACATTATGTAGAATGAGACAGCGGGGTGGGTGGAGGATAATGATGAAGAAAACTTGGGAACAGAGAGGAGGAAAGAGGAATAGAAAGCAAGCAGGACATGGAGGCGGTTTATCCCAGGTATGTGGAACCTGTGGCCCTTGAGATGACATGGGACTCCAACTCCCATCAACCACAGGCAACATATATCTGGACAGCCACAGGTTCCCCATTTCTGAATATGGTTGATGGAACAGAACAGGCAAATATAATAAATGGGACTTTTTAATGAAAAGTTCATAATTCAATGTAAAGAAAGGAAATGCACACTTTTTTTGTTTGGAGAGCTGGAACATAAAATTCAAAGAATTGCTAATTTTGGGAAGTATTAATTAGATCTGCTCACATTAAAACACAAACCAAACTGAATTTCTTACCCATCCCTAACTATGAGCAAATTGGAAGCAAGTGGGGTGAGTATTAAAAGGGGAGTAAGTGCCAGGGCCAGCCCAAGATATTTTGCTGCCTAGGGCACAGCAGCCACCCCCAGTGTCATGGTGCATAGGGACCCTGTACCCCTGTTCCATACTTACCTCACTACAGAAGAGAGTTTGTGTGACAGACCATAACAGCTAGAGGAGAGAGGGCAGGCAGTGGGGATAAGTAGAAGTCTTTATTCTCTATGCTCCATATGTAGAAGTTTTGCATGTAGTGAGAGGGTGGGGGAGGGATAAAGTGCTCTATTCCACTGCTATTTCTGCACCCATGCTGAAAATGCAAACCATCTGTCTCCAATACTCCTAAGTGGGAGGAAAAGCCTTGTCATTTCCACTGGGGAGAGTATAACATACCAAACATTGTGCGTATGGATGTGCTAGAGAATACATAAAGTGAAGCAAACTATTTCATAACAGACTAGCACCACCCAAAGGACTTAATGCAAGAGAGCAAAGTATTCCCACCCCACACAAACAACAACAACAGCAACAACCACCAGCCCTGCAACACATAGAGGCAGTTCCAGTTTGTAGTGATCTATTCTGCCATGATTGATAGCACTTGCTTCTGGTTTAAATGCCAACAGCTCCATTGCTCATGTGTTCTTAAAAGTCCATCTTCCCTCAATAACTGCTATCACTCTTTGCTTTTTAAAAAAGCCTCAGACAAGTTTTTCTGCCTAGATTCATTAGAAAAAGACACAACCTAGTTGCCGAATATCATCAGCCAACAAAGTAACCAAGCTTTGATATAAAACTCTAATATTGCTCCAAATCAACATGAATAAAGTAAAAGTCCATCCGGAACACAGACCATCATTGCTTCAGCTAAGTCCAAAAAAAGTTCTTATATTTTATTCTTTCATATTTCATTAAGTCAGTAAGCAGCATTTGGTAATAAAAAAATACAGAACTATTTTTTAATCTTCCAGTCCACTCAGAATATATTACCAGTTGCCACATGGCAGGTATGACCTGCCTCTTAACAACTCACCTTCGGCAATAATTTGCAGCTTTGGGTTATTAATATCAGTTTTCTCAACTATTTACAAATATATTACATCTTAGAAACCCTCCCAAGCGAAGAAATATTTCAATAATTAATCTGACACACGAGTTTCAGTAGCTCCTACATAACTTCAGTGTTCAAGAGAACTATACACGCAGTGCTGGAAGTCTGAATAATTTATATCTTATTTATATTTATATTTATATATTTATATATATAAAGGAAAGCATTGAAATGGGACTTTTCTGAATATAAAACGTTTGTGTGTGTTGCAGTGGCATCTATTGACCAGTCTCTATTGGAGGACAAGAATGAGATGTGATGTCATTGGACTTGTAGACAGCTTCATCTAGATCCACAGCTTGCTTGTTAACTTTCACTGTCATGCAGCCACGGTAGAAAGCGGTGACTGGAGTTGAAGTGACAGGAACATCTGTATGTTTTGTTTTGTTTTTTTTAAAAAAAGAGAAGGAAAACATATTCAATAAAGGTTACCACCAAGTTCCTTATTCTTGTTAATTCTAAAACAAAACATTTTTTTCCCATTTAACATTCTAAGCTGTACATGGGGCTATGACTAACACAGGCTATGGGAATAGCTAAGCTGCAAAATTCAGGGAAGCTTTCGCAGAAGGAACTTGTTTCTGCATACAAAGAATTAGAAATTGTTGGGGTTTGTAGTGTTTCACTGCTTCTTCTCTTTCTCGAATTTTGTTCTTGTCTTCCTTTCCAAGGTCTTCTGTTCGATTGTAAGATAAGTTTTGGCACCAAGGCAAGTTTAGCCTGCAGGTCTCTTCCCCTCAGGACTATCTGCACTGATAACAGCTTAGGGTTCTGTCTGGAAAAAGCTGCCCCTTGTAACTTAATTCCTAGACAAAAGGTCTGGATTAACCATTACATAATTTAGGACAGAGGCGACTTCTGATGAAGTGTAATTATCTGATAATCTCATTCTGTGGAAGATGTTCTCATCCCGCTTGCCATTCAGTTTTAAATTATCTGCAGCTCAGCACAAGCTGGCTGATGTTATCTGAAGGTATGGATGTGTTCCCAGGGCTTGGGGTATGGTCCAAAGGAGCATGAGGTCACCACCTTCCTAAAGCTAAGCAGGTTTGTGGCTGGTCAGTGCCAGGATGGGAAACTGCCTGGGAACTGCATATACACCACCTTGGGCTCCATGGTGGAAGAAGTGGGCATTCATTCCAATAGACAGTGGCTAAGTGCACATGTAGCATTGTGTGGTGAGGATGCAGGCAGAGGAGTACAGGAACCCAGATAAAGATTTAGCAAATGACTTCTATGTGCCTAGTGCTATTTGATAGAGGGATGACCACCCTGTCAGGCACAGAACATGCATATAGGCTATGGAAATATTTTCCTTACTATTATTGGGAATCAGCCAAATAATTTTTTTAGTAAAAGGCGGGAAGGCAAGCTGCACTTGAGATGTTTAAGATAATATATCTGTCATACACCTTTGATCACAGCTGTGTTGGAATTGGTAAAAATCTTTTATTAGATGCCTACCAGTATCCATGTAAACACTGAAGCAGGAAGAGAGAGACAGGATTTTAGTATAAGCCAATACATGAAGAAATCAGCTTATATCAACATTACTGCTATGTCTAATTTATAATCCACCTGCAATTTAATCTGCAGAGAATCATTCTCTCACTCACATTTGCACGCACACACCATGGTTTCAGTTTTTGACCTAACAACCTCTGTAGCCGTTCCTGTGTAGCCTTGCCTGTAACACAAGCTGGATCTGCAGGAATTAACAGTGAACCTTTTGTGGCAAAGAGAAACACAGCCTGCAAATTCCTGCAGAGCAGGGTTCTGTTAAAGACACAACTACAAGACTTTGATCAAAAGTTGGCAAACGTAAAATTTGCAAAAAAAAAAGGAAGTATCATGTGCTCTGGAGGTCATGTAAAAAACAAACAAACAAACAAGCTATGCATTGACATCTAATGTAACAAAAATTGGCTTAAACAAAATGCTTCTGTGGAGGAAACTAAAAAAAAGCATTGATTTAAGAAAACCACATGACACCTTTTGCAGCAATACCATTAGCATTCTAATAAAAGTAAATTTTGGGGGGGATTTTAAGGTATAATTAGGTAAAAATTTATCAGTGTGATTGTATTTTGCCTCTTAACTACCCTTTTTTTGAAGAAGAAGAAAATACTTTAGGAAAAGACTATGCAACTAACAAAGGGGCCACTGCAGAAAAAGACACAAAATATAAAAAGGAAGAGCTGATGAGATGAAGGATCCCTGTGGGCACATTGTACTAAGCTGAGCTACCATGTAGAAAAACTGAACAGATAAGTAGTATTTATTAAATATATTCTACTATTCAAATTATGCTGCTGTCATATTCCCTAAAGCACCACCAATGGACAATAGTTAAAACCGAAAAAGTCACCTATTGGGCAAGATCCATCCACTTTGCATGCTTAGAGCCTTCCAGATTTGCATGCACTGAGAGACTTTCCATAGACATTTATTAATTTATACATTTCTTGCTCTTCAATATTGAATAATAAAACCAACTAAATAAAACCAAAACAAACAGCATTAAAGCTGTTTGAAACTAGGGACATTGAATCCAGATCCTAGAAAGATTCAGAAACCTATCAAAATAAACATCTAAAAGGCCCAGGCACAAAGAGAAAAAGGAGAAGGGTCTTCAGTTGCCAAGCAAGCCTTCCTGGGGAAGACAAGCCAGGGCACCAGTACTAACACATCCTCTTTCATATCACTGCTCACCTCACTTCCAAAGGCCTGTAGAAGGGCCTCTGAAGAAGATCTCAACACCAGAGCAGGAATATCAATCCTTTAACCTTTTTGCTGGTCCTAAACTATGTGGGACTTTAAAGACCAGCACTTGGAACTGTGCCTGAAAATGGATGCATCCTTTACAATCCATGCCTTCTCTCGCTGAAGTTATTACTTAGGGCTTGGTTGATGTCCAGAAAAAAAAGTCAGGAAGAACTCTGCACTCCTCAAAAAGACACCGGCTACTTGGGAGAAAAATAACTGAAGCATAAAATATTTTTGGTGGGGTGGGGCAGGAAACATTCCAGCAGATGCAGACATCTGGTGGTATTTCCATTCCACTCCCCCAGTACACTAGAATTTCTCTGCAAACCAAAACATTTTAACCCTTGTGTCTCTAAAAGCAGACACCCAGATTTTATCGCTCCGAAAACAGAACAAAGGGTGATGCCTGATAATGTTTCCACACTGAGGAAGTCTCTTATTCCAACACTATTTTGTGTGAATAGCCCAGATTTAATTCATCAACATGAATGGGTCTATACCTTTGCATTCAAAGTGCCTGGAAGCAGCCAGACTGGATTGTTAGCTTTCACTCCTGTCACATTAGAATCATAGGGAGGATCTGCTAGCCTTTAAAGGGAGATCTATATAATACCACTCTTTAAGTAGTATAATCTTTCCAGGAACATTTCTCTGGCCTTTCATGAACATAAAACATATGTTGCCTTCTCTTTCAATATTTCTATGTGGCCCCTTATCTAAGCAACCCTCACTTACTACAATGGAATGCAATTTAGAATAATGATCACATTTGTGAGTTCTGCTTGGGAACATACTATTTTCCTTTCCCATCCTCTCCTGATAAAAAACACCCTTCAGGTTCAGTTGTGCTTCATTCTCCAAGCAGGCAAAATTTCAAATGGCAGGCTATAGATGTCACAACAAGTCATGCTTTATTGTGACAGGAACAAGTTGCAGCAAACCTCAGGCTCACAGAAACCCCTCTTTTCTCATCTGCAGCCAGGAAGACAACTTCAGAAGTTTTTTATTTCAGTTTGCGTTAACCTGTGGTTTGTTGTCTTATCTGGCACAATAAACCGCTTAACACAAACCAACATACTGTGGTTGGTTTAACAAGCAGCCAACTTCAAACCAAAACAAACCACTGTCCCTAGTTTGGACACATCACCAAGACAGGGATCATAGTATGTTGCTCCTGTATGTACTAGACAAGAAGCAAAGTGAGAGTCACCTGTGGATTCATTGTAAACTATTAACCACAGTTTACTGTGACATGTGAATGCTGTCCAAGCAGAAGTAGAGAATGGTCGCTTCTACTGACTGTTTGGCAGTCTACATTCTGGACTGCAACATTTGATACTCACCTGGCAATCCTCCCACATAGGTCTTCACAGATGATTGCAGGTAATTATCCAAGAGAGACAAATTTTCTTCTAGCTGTGAATGGCTTAGTTCACTCTGTCCTGCAGTGCCATCCACAGTCATCAATATTTGACCTCTGTCAACGGAGATGTCAATCAAGTGTTCCTGTTCATCACAAATGCTTACTGCCAGTCTGCACACCACTGTGTTCTTCACTGCCAAGACAACGAACTGAATAGCAAGAAAGAATAAGGAACGAGATGGAAAATGGAAGTTATAGGTATTTATAGGAAAAGATAGCACCAACACACCCTGTTACCTTAGAAATATTTGAGGAACTTAAGATACTATTACCAAATGCAAGGATTGTTCAAAATTGTAGTGGACAACCACTCCCAAATACACTCAGCAGAAAAGGCTTTGGGAAGGTTTGCTTTGAAACTAGCCGACAACTAACTCTGTTTGAATTCAAATGTTTCTCCTCAGTACATTAACCACATGAACTGGGTAGGTCCTAAAACTATCTAGTCTCTAGCACTGCAGTGGCTATCTAGATATTTCTGGAAAACTCATAAGCAAGACATTAAGCTAGTAGCCAACAAACACAGCTTGTTCTGCAGAATGTGGTTAACCAGTGGTGTACTACATCTGAACATGGGACATGCCACTTTAGCTATTATGGCGATAAGAAATGGGCAAGAAGGGACCTGCATAATTATGGTGGGTGAAGTGAGCAAAGAAAAGCAAGCTGAGGAGGTGGATGTTATCTTTCATTTTTTTACCTCTTCCACCATCACTGTCTAGGTCTGTGAAACGCTACTGGCTAAGAATTTATTTCTTGTTATTAAACATTCAATACTAGTGTCAAGGAACGCCCTCCCATCAATGCACAATCCAGTGCCTGTTTACTCAGAGGTAACCCCACTACATTCAATGAAGGTTATAGTCTTACAATATAATCCTGTACATCTCTACTCAGAAAAAAGCCCCATTGAATTCAGGCAAGAGGGTATAGAATCACTGACTGTATGATTACTAAAAGTAGATTCCACTGAATTCTGTGAAATCCAGTGCCTAGCACACCCTTAACCACTCTATTCAGTTAATTACCATAGCCCTGAGTTCTGTTCCCACTACTTTAGTATTCTGCTTTGTGAAACTTCATTGTTAATGGATATAAATCTCTGGCCATCAATTAAATTTATGTATATATTATGTTGTGGGCATAGTTGGAAATCTGCTGGTACAATTTCAGTATCTCTCTTGAGTTCAATAAAACCATTCACAACGTATCAAAAGAGAAAATGGAACAAAAAGGCATAGGTTGCAACTCAGTGAATTAGATTATGGGGCCTTAAGCTCAGTGATAGAGCATCTGCTTTGCATGCCTATGTTCCAGGTTCAATCCCCAATGGCATCCCCAGTAGGGCTGGGAATGCCCCCTGCCTGGAATCCTGGAGAAGGCCCTGCCAGTCACTGCAGAAGACAATACTTAGCTACATAGAAGAAAGGTCTGGCCCACTATGAAGGCAGCTTTCTATGTGTCTATCCATAGCATTCTATTGTGATGCATCTGACAGTATGGACTCCATGGCCTATGAAAACTTGCTGTTATTTTGCAGCAGTTCCTCACCATAGCAATGTGACTCCCTATTTGTGTTATTCTCAACTCTAACGGCATCAGGTAACATCTAGCAAAATAAACTTTCATGCCTGATTTGTTGGGAGTATTTAAGTGGGGGACATCAAGTCTGAGGTGGGGAACCTTAGGCCTTGGGGATAAATGTGGTTCTCCAATCCTTTCTATATAGCCCTCTGGACTCTCCCCAGAACACACCCACTCCCTCTGTGCCACATCTTTCACTAGCCCTACCTCATACCCTCCCTTTTTTTTAGTGTTTTTGGCTGGAATGGGTCCTTGAACCCTGATAATTCCTCTTAGATGCCTGGATGGAGGATAGAGAAAGATGATGGGTTGTGTGTGTAGAAAATGTAACTACTGGGATTGCATGTTTGGTCTGGCATGCTGCCTTCTCATCCTGGTCCTAAAAACCTCAGCCATACACCAAATGAAAACAAAAAACTAGAATAATACGTATTTACCTGTTGTTTAAGTTTCTTGGTGGAATGATAGTCAATCAGAGCCACTGATAAAGGGACTGTTGCTTCACTGCTGATGAGGGCAAAGAGCACCCCAGTATCTGTGGCTGGTCGAATCAGAATATTTACTTTTACTTCCCATTGCTTCACTGTTTCATTGGTGTCAAGTGGTTGGGCTACAGAAAGAAAAACAGAACTTAGGTACATAAAAGTTTCAAATAGTCAAGCACAGATAAGATTTCCTCATCTGAGGGGGGGACGGGACAGATAGCTACATATTATTAAATCACCAGTATAAAGGAGAGTGCCATTCCATACGAAACTATTTTAACTGCTCTGTTTCATCCATCTTACAGAAAGTGCTATAGCCCTGTAGATTGCTTGAAGCCAAGGTTAAGCTTTTTAATCAACAGGGAGACTTCTGATTGCCAGAGGCTATCAACCCGCCGTACTTGGGGATCCTTCAATGTGAGTCATCCAGCTTCTGCATCAGCCGTGAGCCTTAGGAAGTAATTGAGTGATCTGATATCAGCGAACCCAAGGGGAAAACAAGATGACTTTCACAAAACTCACAGCAATATAAATGTATAAATAGAACGTGGTCCGCATGACCTAATTGTAGCTCCAGGTTCTGTTCTCACTTATTTCAGTGTTATGCTTTGTGAATGGATACCAAACTAGCACAATTTGTTTTGTTTTTTAAAATGTCAGTTATTAAACTGGGAGCAGAACGCCTTTTGCAGGGCTATTATTTGCGGCACATTTTAATCTTCCTTGTTGTTGTGGCACAATTCATCATGGAAAATTTGTGGTGCTCACTGCTGACAATTCCTGCTATAAAGCGTCATGGGGACAGGATGAGTCAAATCACCCAGCACACCTGGGATTGTGGGAAGCAGTCTGACTGATACCTGTCTGCATGTACAACAAAGGAGAGATAGATCAGGCATCTGGCTTGGAGACAGGTCAATATCACAAAGATTCACTAGTATGTTTTATAATCCCAAAGGAAGGGACTTCTCTGGATAGTAAATAATAATAATAATAATAATAATAATAATAATCTGTCCAACTGATCATCTATCCTCTATAAAATATTAGTTTGTTAATTTCCTTAATAGGGCATCTGGTGCCCTATTATTTTTTTTTTAAAAAAAAAACCTGGCAGAAAAATGTATAACAGTAATAGCTTTTTATTTTTTTAATTTGAATTCCTATCCCATCCTTGCTTTCAAAAGAGCCTAGGGGGTTGATGGCATGTGTATACAATATACTGAATTAACTTTTTTTTGTACTTTGCATTGCTAAATTTAGGGAGGAGAATTTAAAACGACCTATTTAAAGATGCAACTACTACACAGAAAGAAATGATCCCATACAACAATCATATATTTTAAACTGCTTTTTAAAGCCTTCTATATCTTTCCTTCTATCTATCCATGCACACAAGTGTGTATGTATGCATATATTAACATCTGATTTTAAATGCCAAGGTTTCGCTTGACCCATTAATTTTAGATAGTCTTTTTGGGTATGCACTTCCACATTAAACTTTCTTCTTGTGAGTAACACTGAAATAACACAGTATAGTATATGTTCAGGGAGCAAATGCCAATTTCAATCTTGGCTGAAATGGATGTGTATGTAAAGCACCCTCCTAAAGGCCTCTACTGTGTTCAGTCTGTGCAGGATTATTAGTCTCAACTCAGCACATGTCACTGAGAAGGTGACCACATCGACTCTCAGTGTAATCAACACTGCCAGAGGGCCAGAGAGAGAAAAATGACCCTCACCATTGCATTTTAACCCATAGGGAATGTTTCACCAGATAACAAATCATGGAAGGCTTTGACCTGACCAAGAAAAGTCCGAACTGAAATATAAAAATACACTGTGAAGTGCAAGCAGCAAAAAGTAAACCAGAGTTTTCTATATTCTGTGGGGTTTAATATACCTAACATTTTTTCTCTTTTACTACTTGAACCTCTATTTCAGGTTGAGCTTTTTTTATGAAGAGGATATGGCAATTTTAAGACAGCACTCCTCAACTGATTCTCTTTCTCTGCAAAATTTAAATGCGTATTTTCTGCAGCATAATACTACCAGACACTTACCATAGCTGAAATTAAACACAGCAAAACCATTGCCAGGGTAGAAGGAGCCTCTTCCTGCAACCGCAAAGCACTGCATCTTATCATTCACTCTCACTGTCTCTTGGATGGTCATATCCTCGCCATTCAGCCAATTCCAGCCCCTCATGCACCCGTCCATTCGTGGGTTAATCTAACAAGATTAAGTGCATGGCTTTACTTTCGGTTTTTTGCTGAATTTGTAATGAGGGATATGGGTTTAAAACATTTCATAAATTATTTTTTAAAGACTTGAATACCTCTCTTAAATATAAATATTTCCAAGGTAGGGCACAGAAAAGCAATAAATTCATAAAGTAACAGCAAATCCAAAAAGTCAGGTTATGTCTTTCAAAGATACTGAGATGGCCTTATGTTAAAACGAATCATTATATAAAACTGCGGTACAGCCGCACTAGGAACACTGTGTACAATCCATGTCAACCTATCTCAAACAGGGTATCACAGTAATGGAAAAAAAGTTATGGCAGCTTCCCTATGAGAAAAGGCTAAAACACAAGAGGCTTTTTAGTTTAGGAGGGAAAGACAATGTGGAGAGGGGCTAATAGATGTTTGTAGACGTTAATGGGAATTCATCCCTTACTGAACACTGACATCTGGAGGGCACCAAGTTGGGGAAAGGCTAATCCATAAAGGAGGACTCCACTGTCCCGAACACCTGAGCCCAGGAATACCCACAACACAACATACAAAATAAAAAAGAGAATTGGAACATTTTATCTTATGAGAGAAATTGGGCATCTTATCACATCTTAAATACAAATTCAATAAGAATTCCAGAAACCAAATGAATTTGATTCAGAGGCTGGATCTGACCTATGAGCTGCCAGGTGACCACCTCACACCAGTGGATTACTCCCTATATATACTTAACAGTAGTACTTACAGGCTGGACAAGATCTTTAGTCTTAAAAGGAACACCTCCCACTGTTAGGTTCAGCTGATAAAGTCCTCTGTCCAGAGTAAACAAATCCCCTGAGACAGCTATCTTCATAACTGCATCCTTATTGACTTTTATAACCAAACTTCTCTCCAGCTCTTCCACAGATATCTGAAGGACAGGGAGGGGAGGGAGAGATATGAAGAGGTTCAGAAGTTTGGTTTAGTTCAGAAGTTTAGTACCTGCATGATACAAACGGCATCCACAAAAGAAAAAGGAAAAAGGTGAGGGAGCTAATATCACATCATCAGGTAGTCACAAAGCATTCTTGTCTCCCCAGAAATTTAGGATAGAGTTCACATAGCTATGATCAAGCCTCCTTTGGCTTTTCATGTACAACAAGCAAGCCCAATTTATGTGCAAAAGTGAAGGCAGTATTACAGAATGCTGTGGCAGTTTTATATTTGCAGTCCGATCTTGACTCTATGATGCAAAGGAAGAAGACCATATAGTTCGTAGTTTCCAACACTATTGCAAGGTAAGCCCTTAATCCCTTTACCCTGGGAACCAGCCCCATCTTCTGCACTTGAGAGAGTACAATGGGTTATGGAGGCAGAGTTCTGTGTCATATCTTATAGGAAGGTTTGCACCAGGTAGCCTTGCACCTGTAGGTGTAGGTGTAGGAGCTGTGGCATGTGTGAGGAATATGGCTTCTCTTTTAGGATGGAAAAATTAGCAATCCTGTTTGATGGCCATCTGATTGCTCCAGTGCAATCCTTTGATTTCTCTGCCACAACACAAGACCCCTGCTTTGCTGCTGCCCTCAAATAGGAAAACAAACCATGGAGTGGCAAGCTTAGTGTTAAGTCTGAACCAATGGTTCAGGCTTGTTTCTTTCCAGGCAAACCATGATCTGAATCCAAGATTTGTTCTTGACTTCCTGACAATGGTTTGTTTGGGAAAAACAAATCACATGTGCTGGTTCAAGCGTAAGCACCAAGGCAGCTGCAGTGGTTTCCCTGTTTGGCTAACAAAGAAGCAAACTGGAAATGTTCAGCCTGCATGTACCAGGAAGCAGCCCATGCAGAAGCTTGCTTGCTTATTGATTTCCTGCCCTATCTCCCAAAGGAGCCCAAGCAGCAAACACCAGACTATGTTACACAGGAATGAGGATCATATGAAACATGGCAAGTGGAGATGGTAACATTTTTAAAGACACACACACAATGGGAAGAAGGGGGGGACACCTGAAGGACTGCGTAACTCCAAAATGTTTTAAAAGGGAAAGGCATTTGGAGAAAGACCTCAAACTCACAAATACAGTAGTTTTAGGGGAAGCTTTGGGAGCAATCCAAGTCAACAAATTCTAGCTGGATGAATGCAACTGACTGCCAACAGAGTATAGGTACAGTATTTACAAATTTGCTCTGGCTTTATAATTTTGTTCTTCAACACCTGATCCTATTTACCAACTGTCAGGACTGGTCGTTGTCCTTTTCAGATCACCACACAAACGCTTCTTATTCTAACTTTTTATTGCGTATTAACAAAACAATCTTATAAACGGTCCTTAACTATTATTCCTCAGAGTCACTTATTTCAGATACCTTCTGAGCTCTGCTTCTCCATGACCAGCCACTCTCAAAATGTCGAAAGCGCCTTTCCCTTCGCTTTCCCGCTCTTTTTTCTAACCTCCTGGCTATAGCTGGCTTGTATCTCCCCTCCTCCGAATCTGAGCTAGAACTTAACCCTTGCCTTTCCTGTCAACAGCCGGTTCCTCCCTGTTGCTCTCTTCTATTAGATTCACTGCTCTCCTTCCCCCCTTGGGGAATGCTTTCTCCCTCTGAGAAACTGGAAACTTCTAACTCTTCCCTGACACCAACCGCCCCCCCAAGAAGATATACCAAGCCTCATGGGCACTGACATTTATATATCACTTGTGGAGTTTTTTGTTTGATCGGTTTTATGCAGAACTATGAGGAAGAACATGAATTACAAGTCATCAAGTACAACAGTGCAACTAAAGGAACAATTTTTGGCAGAGTAAAGAAGATTAAGAGGGATTAAAACTACTTCCTAGTCTATCAGAAAAGCTCTTGCAATTACATCAAATTACAAAATAATTGCATTTGCCAGTCCACATTTCTTCCATCCAGTACTAAAAGCACCGGATTCTACACACACAACCACAATGATATCATACAAATTCATCGCTTTACCAATCAATGCAGTAAAAATCTGGAATTAATTTTGATAAATGCAATGTTTTCTTTTTGGGTTTTGTAGGCTGGCATTACTTTACCATGAGGTTTTTTTGGTCAAGATGTTCATTATGTAACCCAGAAATTCTGGTTTTGCTGCTGCAGCTGACAAGCCTGTGCATGTTAGCTGCATTACAGTAAGTCTAAACTATTTATAAACAAAAAACATTTAACTAATCCATCATTTTACATACGTGAGAGCACTCTATACTGTTAAGGTATTATTCCCCCCCCCCCTAATTTTGGGCCAGATTTAATTAACTGGCCCTGCTAGTTGAAGCCCGTGCAAGCACATCCACTAGTGCAGTAAGGCTTCCTCCCCTTTTCCTCCTGGTCCTTTGGTTCTGGGCAGCATTGGGAAAACCCCTAGAACTGCATGCAGAGGGGAAAAGAGAGATGTTCTGCTGGGCAAGCAGAAATCTTGCGCTGATAGAACATTTCTAACAGCATGGCGATGAATTCCTCCTATAATGCATACACACAAACAAACTATATTCAGTTTGCTCCACTGAATGAAGGAAACTGTTTGTTTTGATGGTAGTTCAGGAACTGAACCAGACATGAATGGGCGTAACTGGAATTATGAGGAAAGCACTGCAATGGATGTGTTTTATCCATTAGTTCCTTAACAAATAAGGAGTCTCTCTCTCTTGCACACAATAATATTCAAGAATACTTCCATTTATTTTTTTTAAAAAAAGCAATGCTTTTAGTATTTCTTAAAGTGTCCTTTAGGGGTTAGCAATTGACATCATGTTATAGAAAAACAAAACGATACTCTGCATTAAAATATTAAGTGTCAGAATTCATCATTTGAGAAATACAGAGAGCTCTAAATAAACAGTTGGGAGGTGTGGGATTTAAAGAGTTATAAGGCATGAGAACAGCAGCCTGTACTATACCCACTGTCTGCCACATTCCATGGTTGATCATTGGTCCACTGCTGGTCACACGGCCTATTCCATTGTACTTCAGTTGCAACTCTAGCCGTCCATTGCGCAAAGCCAAGACGATCCACGTACTGTCTCGGTGGCCTCCAGCAAAGAAAAGGATGCCTTCAGGATCAAAGGTTCTAAAGTCGAATTCAGCCACAAGTCTGAAATAGAAACCAGTTATTTATGCAGTGTTTCAGGAAACAGGAAACATAGTGTGCTTTCCATCTAAGTGATTCATTTCATAGATGCAGGGTACTGACTGTAAAGGATATATAATCACATTGTCAATGACAGCTGCCATTCATAAGCACGCGCACACACAAGGGCGCAGACATTATCCAAGGGCATGCCAAGACATGGTAGGGGTTTGTCCACTTAGGTGACAAACATGACTGCAGAATCCTGTAGTACCTTAAAGACAGGGATAGGGAAATCTGTTGTCCTCCAGGTATTACTGGACTCCAACTCCCATCAATCTCATGCAGTATGGCCGATAGTCAGGTATGTGGAATCTGTAGTCCAGAAATATCTGAGAAGCCACAGGCTCCCCATGCCTTTATGAACACTACGTTATTGTGACATAGGACTGCAAGTGTCATGACTGATGCCTACAAAAGACTATACTGTCTGTCTGTAGCCACAAATACTTTTCTAGAATTCTGTCTGCAATAGTGACAGCAAGTTATTGGTCATGGAAAGATCATCTGTTTTGACCCATACCTATCCCCCAGTTTAGCATGTGTTTAGAAAAGACCTTTCCTCTTTAATTAAAAATGGATTCTCACCGCGTTGGTTGTTTTCTTTTAAAACGTAGTCTGATAACAGGTGTGCCACTAAACATTCTTCCAAGATAGAGGGATTTAACGCTTTTTGCAGCAGCGAAAGATACACAGGGCAAAATGTCCTGCAGGGAGAAAAGCAAATCACACATATGCACACATAAAACTTTAAGACAAGGTTTAGAAACAGCGATTTTCTTTGATTTCTTTTATCTTCAAAACACTGATAATTCAATGCCACTGCAACTGTCCAATAGTAACCAGGGGACTACAGTCACACAGGTGGAATCTACACACATATAAAAAACGCTGTGAAAATGCTTTTTTTAAAAAATGTTTTGAAAAATATATATTGACTTTGCCATAGTTCACCATTGCTATCTAGTGTCACATTTATATATCACATTTTACAACACACCTAAAACGTTTTATTTGCAGCTATATAGATGAGTCCACTCCCAACAATCCCTCCTCATTCCAGTTAGTAACTGCAGATTAAGCAGTCACCCACTTCCACACTGAGTCTGGGCATAGAAATGTATGTTTAGACGCAGCTAAAGAAGAATAAGTTGATTATGATGCAGCTCAGTGAGCGGGCACATGCAGATGGTCCCAGGTTCAAACCCTGGCATGTCCGGTGAAAACTCTGGAGAGCTGCTCTCAAGCAGAATAGACAATTATAAGCTAGATAAACAAACAACATACTCTGAAAAATGGCAGCTTCCTATGTTCCTATTTAATATTTCCTTTTGAGAATTAAGGGGAGGGAGGAGAAAGCAGGCAACAAATACCAAGTTAATTGCATTCCAGGAACAGAAATCCACTGTAGGCACACACTGTTTTTGAAGTTATGCTGGTATTTTAATGGGTTTGCCTCCAGTCTTAAGGAGTCTGAGCCAGTTGGACTATTCCCCTTTGTAAAGAGTTGTTTCAAAGCTTTGGGACTGCATTCTTTCGTTCTTATCTCGTTGAACAGAAGTAAGAAAGCTACCTCACAGGTGTTCATGTTCTTGGAAAGTTTTACTCCACCTCTTCCATTGCAGTGGCAGCTGTAACTTCCTGGCAAATTGACGCATGCTTGCTCACAATATTTCTGTTCACACTCGTCCACATCTATACTCCAGCAACAATGGAGAAAGCAGAGACGCAGATTCTTACATTCCTTTTTAATATGCTAGGCTTAAAAACAACAATAACAACTGTTGTCCAGAAGTAATATCTAGCATGTCTTATTCCCTCTGGGGCAGGTGGAGGGGAACACAGGGCACTCAAGGTGTTCTGCTTTAATATCATCAATAATTTCATATATGACAGACAGCATTTTGGGGGGACTCTGGAGTGGCAATGAGTATTACAATTCTGAATGGAGTCAAGGGTCTGGTGGATTGGGAAAGGACAGTTTGGGGCGGTGACAAAGTGGGTGATCTGGTGCCTATAAAGCCAACACTCCCTCTTCTTCCCCAATTTTGTTGACAGTTGTTCACCTGTTAGGGGTATGCCATTGTCATAAAAGTCCCTAATTCTATATAATCTCACACTTCTCCAATGAATCATTTGGTTGGGTTCTGCCTGTACCGTAAAATTGTGGATGAAACATAAATGGATCAGAGGCGAAACTGAGGATACTAATTTTGAGATCCAGGAATGAATGCCACACTCCAAGATCAGTGCTAGAAAATGGGTTAGTGAAAGCATAGAAAGCATGGCCAGGATGTTAATATGATTCAGTTTGTCCTATTCCATCTACTGATCTCTGAAATTCCGTAGTATGTTTATAACATTATGCAAAAGGGATTGCTTCATAATACCAAGTTCCCCCTAGTCACCCTAGTTCCACCCAAGTGGAGAGTATTCCACTGAGATTGTTGAAAAATTTTTGGGCTAAAATTGGTTGTTAATTTTGTCCACCAGGGGAACCTTCCAAGACTCATTGTTGGTTATGTATTGGCATTCTGCAAGGGGAAGACTCAGATTACAAGGGTTCCCAAACTGTAGTTCACGGACCACTGATTCATACAGGTGGTACGCAGCACTGTCCACATTACATATTCACATGGATTTTAAACTATATTTTAATTGTCTTTTATTTCTTATATTGCATTTTATTATATTAGTTTGAATTCTTTGGAGTGCACACTGTAATATAAAAAATGCAACATATGAAATAAAAGAAACAATACAAAGAGAATTAAAACTCATACCACATCTTGCACCCCACATTATGATTGCTACAAAGGGCAAAAAAGAGGTTCAACAAGACCACCAGAAATTTTCAAGTGGTTGGGGGTGAGGGAGGAATTTGGGAATCACTGCCCTAAAGACTTAAAAATAAGTATCCGGGGGGGTGGGGGAATTTATGACAGCAATCCATCAAGCCTCAGAATTATCTTTGTGGAATTAATTCCATCTACTAACCTTCACAAACCTTTCTGACATCATCATAAACATAGCCATCATCACAGACACATGAATAAGAGCTTATCACGTTTTTACACTGAGCTTCTCCACAGATGCCTGGTGATACTGTGCATTCATCTATATCTGAAAAGGAACAAAAATCAACAGCAATAATCAGAATGTCAACATTCTTTCAATGCCTATCGTTCCCAAGTTCCATCTTGGTCCAGAGTCAATCCTCATTCCATTGTTACAACTGAATAATAGAAGTAGGAAATGACTTCAGTCTTCCCAGAAACCAGAAGCTGCTGTTTTGTAAGCCGTATAGCACCTTGGGTAAAATGCTACCACATTATTGAGAGAGGAAACATCGGAAAAAATCACAGGAAAAATGTGACAGCAATATAAAGTAAGGTCAGAATTTGTGGGACAAAAAGGATCACAGAATTAGGAAATGACAAATTGTTTGTTTTGCTGAGGAAAAAATGAAAACATATTTTCAAAGCCTTTTCAATCCAGTAACACACACACACACACACACACACACACACACACGGGAGGATGCTTCTGCATGTGATTCTATTGCTGGAATCATGTGCACAGATCTTGAGCAGATTCATCTCCAAATTCGCTATTGCATACTAATGTGAACGAGAACATGAAGCATATATGACCTTTGTTTGCACAGCAGGACATGAAAAATGATGTCACCTGCACTCCCTTCCACTCTCTTGGTCTGGATTTAAAAATGTGTGTTTAATAGAGCTGATCCTGGAACTGCAGACGTGAACTGCAACTCCCATCAGCCCCAGCTAGCATGGTCAATGGCCAGGGATGGTGGGAGTTGTAGTTTGGCAACATCTAGAAGCCACCAAGTGAAACTTACGCTATAGGACAACCTTCCCCAACCTAGTACCTCCAGATATTTTGGGCTACAAATCCCAGTAGCTTGAGCCACCATGTCCAAGAGTCAGGGATGATGGGAATTGTAGATATATGTGTGCATGTGTGTGCTTATCCATCTGATAGGCACCAGGTTAGAACGGCTGCCAAAAGAGAATGGGTACAGAGTAGGGTTTTTCCCATATGCAGACTACAACAGCATTACTCTGTTGAAAAGACAAGAAGTCTTACATAGTTTACTAAAAACATAGGCAGGAAAGAAACCCCCAGTCTTACAGCTACTTAGCCACCTGTTAACTATTTCTTGAATAATTCTAAGGAAGAGTCCCACCAAATATTGTTGAAATATTCATACATTTCCAAACTCAACTCTTATTTCATGAGCTAATTCAATGCAATATATAGAAAAACTAAGAAAATCTACACTTCACAAGGCACTATTTTTCAGAGTCAAAGGAGGCTGGTTAGCTGGGGCACTCTGGCACAACCCAACATGCAAATCCTTTGTGAATCACCACTTTGCTATGGTGCTGGACAGTTCTGTGGTATAACTACAGACATGCCTAGACATGCACACTTGGCTTTTCGTACTGGAATCTTAAGCCATAGTTGTAAGAAACTAAGGAGTATTAGCAACAGTTCAATTTAGCCGTCAGTGGCAACATGCTAATAAAGAGAACGGAGTGTCCTGTGGCACCAAGACTGGTAAATGTATTGTTGATTTGTCTTTCATGGATTAGAACCCATTTTATCAGATGCAAAAGAGTTCACTTGAACAGCTTGTGCAGAATAAAATTGTCTTAAAAAATTATTCAAAAGTTACAATACAATACATTTTAAATCAATATATCCCCTCCCCTGTCTTATCTCATCACCTTCCCCCACTCCCCCTATTTTTGCTACGACAGGCCAACATGGCTATGCCTCTCGGGGGCAATCGTCATATAACGTTGATGTTATCGAGCTTTCACTCATTCCAATGGTGTTTGTGCAGTAGGCTTCTGGAAAAGCACTGGAGTCATGACTAACAACAAAATGAAACAATCATAGCCCCATAGTACATAAGGGTGTGGGGTGTTAGCATCCAAAAAGAACACCACATGTAAAGGGTTAATTGTAAGAGCTGTAGAACTCTGTGATGTCATATGCTCTGTGGCAGTTATGGCAGTTGGTTCAGTTATGGCAGTTGGTTCAGTTACGGCAGTTACTTGAACAGTCTTTAACTGTTACAGCAGCTATGCTATGTTGTGCTGCTTTCTGCCTCGGAGTAGAATAGTCTGTAACTGTTTATGCACCCTGTATTAGCAATTTAAGAAATATCCACCCGCACAGTATATTTAATCTGTATCTGCAACTACACTAAGTAAAAGTTATCTGTTCTTTAAACTTTAAGAGTCTCGTGTAGTTTTTACAGGAGGGAACAAATTAAAGGGTCAAACAATCCAGGGCTCTCTTCTGCAAAACTCTGCTAAATGTTCAATTCCCACAAAAGGGAGCTTAAATCATTGTGGCAGTTCAGATGTAACACATGCTTCCTCCTCTTCCGCTTGCTTCCTTGCTCCTGGCATTCCTCCTTTCCTGGTTTGATGCAAATCCTAGTTTGGCATTTCTTCTGAATCAGCAAACTATCAGTTTGCCTTAAATCAGCAAAGGAGTGAATGAATGAACCAACATGCATGAAGAAGTTCATGTTAAGTGGTTTAAGCTTTACTCTGTACTCACATCTTACCTTTGCAACTTTTATTGTCATCCATGAGTTCAAACCCATTATTACAAGCACAGCGATAGCTGCCAAGCGTGTTGTAACAGATATGTCTACAGCCACCATTCTGCTCGGCACATTCGTTAATATCTGGAAATAAAGAAAGGATAAATATTGGGTGTATTCACTTCGGTGCTGCAGACGCAGTAGATGGCTGTTTTCAAACTTCACTGTCATGTGGGAAAGGGGGGTTTTCAGCAGAAAAGTTGGAGTGCATGAGAGGGGAGGGTAAACTTATCCCACCCCAGCTGTAGACACTCATCTCCGAAACTCACCCTGCACCATAGAAAAAAGCCTCCTTTTGGTGTCCATGAAAGGTTGTTTTCAAGCCCAATTTCTGTGCAGGGTAAGGAGAAGCCACGGGGACTGCATCTGTCACATGGGAGATGGATTCACTACCCCTGATTTACACCGACGGCCAGCAACTCTCAAGGATTTCAGAGTGGAGTCTTTTCCACCACTACCTACAGATGCTAGAACATTTCCTAGCATGATTCAAAGTGTAGGGGCTGACCTTTAAAGCCCTAAACAGCTTTGGCCCAGTATACCTGAAGGAGCATTTCAAGCCTCATCGTGCAGCCTGGAAACTGAGATTCAGCTCCGAGGGCCTTCTGGCAGTTCCTTCATTGCGAGAAGTGAGGTTACAGGGAACCTGGCAGAGGGCCTTCTTGGTAGTGGCACCTGCTCTGTGGAACGCCCTCCCACCAGATGCCAAGGAAATTAACAACTGTACCTGACTTTTAGAAGACATCTGAAGGCAGCTCTGATTAGGGAAATATTTAATGTTTGATGTTTTACTATGTTTGATGTTTAAATTTGCTGGAAGCTGTCCAGAGTGGGTGGGGCAACCCAGTCAGGTGGGTAGCATATAAATAAATAAATTATTAGTAGTAGTAGTAGTAGTAGTAGTAGTAGTATTGACCCTGGGAAGGTTTGCATGCAAAGAATCTGCACTGAGCCGCAACCATTCGCCATCTCATTATCCTCATCGTGAACACACAGCCACAAGCAGCACAGAACAAGACTTACCTTCATTGCATCTTTCTCCTTGCCAGCCTGGTCTGCAGCGGCAAAGGAATCCGCCTTTCAAGTCGTCACATGTTTTCGTACCGTCTTTATGACACGGACTAGGCAAACACTGATTTGGCAAATCTGGGGATGGAGGGAAGGGTTGAAAACACACCACATAAAACTTTTACCCTGGAATCAAATTATTTAAGACAATATTGCTATTACCATTCAAACAAATTCTGGAGGTGGCAAATGCATTGGTTGCCTCTATAAACAAAAACTGGTGGAGAAAGGAGGCAGTTATTAGCATTGTTTTGTAAAGAAAGATGGCAGCACTGCATTGCCACAAGACACTGTGTTTTAGACTAGAGGTTTTCAACCTTTTGGAGTCCACAGTTCATTTGACCAACTGCATACTTTCTGCAGCACCCCTGTGGGGCTCAGGAGCCCAGTTATGTCACCCCTTGCCTGCAGAGCTGGCAGCCTCTCACCCTTTTTCAAACACCCTCCCTTGTGGAGGGTTTCCTCAGCCTCCTCTCCCCTCTCCTTGGGAGTCCTCTGGGCAGCCACCGCCACTGCCCCTGGTCTGAGCTGCTCTCCCTGCCCCAAAGAGAGCTGCCTCCTTACACTGCCTTACAGGGGCTGGGAAGAAGATGCCCCCAGCCTTAGTGGCCCAGCGGAGAGGGGCCAAAGGTGAATGTGAGGTTAGTAACTTACTTTGGGAGGCAGCAGTGGGCACTGCTGGGCCTGCATGGTGGAAAGGCTCCCTTTCAGGACTGGGCACTCAGCTCCCTGGCAGGCATTGCACACAGCAAGCACAAGAAAGGCCCGCACAGTGCCTGCCTGCCTAGCCTCCTACTTGTCCATTCCCAAAAGCAAGGGCTGGCAGACTAGCTGGTTTGGCTCCCTCACCCACTTGCTTGCTTACTCCCAAGGCCACCTCAGCTCCTAGCAACCAGCACCCCCTGGCCAGTCCCAGAGGCACCATTTGCTTGGGAAGCTTGCAGCCAGGGCAGCTGCAACAAACAACTGTGCAAGCCTTTAGGAGGCAGAGACATGAGAGGGCATCAGAGGAAGCAGGGAAGGAAAGAGGGGAAGAGAGTTGCCCATGGCACCCCTAACCATCCTTCAAGGCACCCCAGGGTGCCACGGCACACTGGTTAAAAACCACTGTTCTAGGCAATTTGCTCAATTACAGAAAAGTTAATACACTTGCCAAGCTAAATGAATTATTGTCCTGGAGAGCTCACTCTTTAAAGAAAAAAATGTGGCAACCATTTACTTTGCCCATTCTGACTTGAAGTCATCATTCTGGAAGAAAAAACATTAATTGCAGAAATGGTATACAATTTATTAATAATCATTATATATGTTATGTCCTAAGCCTAACAAGACAGAGCTCCAGGAATTCTTCTTCTGGAGATAGGAACTTATCTTGAGTTGTAGCAGAATGTTCTGTTGTAAGAAAGGGAGGAAAGAACGCTTAATTCTTAAGGAGTGGCATGTGACTATCCTCTGCCAAAGGGAAGCATACCTATAATATTCGCTAAAATCTTGAAAGCCATAAACTGTACTGTTTGAAAACGTCTCTACAATAAGACTGTTAAACACTAAAACAAAAGAAGCCTTACTGAAGGCAAAGACAATCCCCATCACAAAGTCTTCTAAGTATGTAATAGTAAGCAAGACCTTGAAGAAAGATATAGTTGGAGGCAGGATACAGGAGCACTCCCAAACCGCACATTTGAGCTTTCTCTAGTGAAGCCTTCGTGAATTATCACAGTCTCTCTAATCAGTGGAATGCAACTCGGCAGCCACAGGTCTGCACTGTAATGCAGCAAATACCTGTATCATCAAGATGCAGACAAGACAGTAGAGCAGTGATGTAACATGGTATTCAAATATTTCAGGTGAAATGTTGCTAATAGTGCTTACTTGTCTAAACCATTTGAGATATTCACAAAGTCATATTGAAAACAGCCAATGCAGCAAAACAGATCCCACAGAAGCACACAAAAATCCTTTGGCTGCAGTAAAATTAAACCAAGCTAAGCTGCCACCTCCACTTTGCCAAGTCAGTACTCATTTGAAGAATATTATGTTGTTTCCTGTTCAGTTGCACTTTACTCTCCTCTTAAAGTAAGTATCCCACATAAATCAGAAAGCCAGGAGTTCTATACTATTCTAACTTCTATGTATCTCTATGGCACAGACATAGCAAGGAACCCTAAGTTTTCCTCTTGACTAATTATCATGCCTACCACCTCCCATCATTCATTTCAGGCATAAATCTTACCATGGGTGAGATCTGTGTGTCAGCTATGCCAGTGTTAAGAACAATAGTAGCAAAGGACAAGGGATTCTAATCATCCTTTTACTATGATGCCCACACCAGTCCTCAGTCCGTCTCTTTTCCTTGTATAAATCTGTTAGCCAAGAATGCATGCTGCGAGGTTTCTTGTTTGTACCCTGTGAACTCAATATGTTGCCTTAGGCAGGCTTGCTATCTCTCAGGCACAGCATAAGCATTTCTAAGTAAGAGGTTCCCTGCCAGGATCTGAGAGACAACAGATTGCCTTAGGCAACCTAGCGAGTTCATAGCTTTACATACCCAACTTTACAGGTGGTTGTTGTTAAGATAAATGTTATGTGAAGCATTTTTCACGCACAGGAAAAACACTGCATCTGTTCTATTCTTCTTCCCTCTTGCTCAGCAGATGGTATTCTTTAAACCATGCTTTCCATTGCTCGGTCACCACTCCCATTCTTAGCCTCATTTCCAAACAATATATGCCCATTGTTCTCCTCTGAACAGAGACATTTTGCACATGGGCAGTGTTAAACTCCCATAGTTCTAGGTGCATTTTGCGACACGGATTTCTGAGCTCTGGGTGCAGTACTGCGCTTAAGATTTCAGATTAAACCTCCAGAGTGGAAGGAAAGGAGGACCCTTTTCTGCCTCCCTACTTCTAGCTACTTTCTGAAGACTGTAGAAGAGACCCTCTGAAGAATAGTAGGGGCGTGGGCAGGGAAAGGACTAGACCATGTGGTAAATGAACATATTATTTTCGCTGCAGTTCATTCATTTTCAGCTTTGTATTCTTGTTACAAAAACCCCCACACCTAGACAATCCGTTGCTGCACCCAAAAACTAGGTTTACGGTGCCATTTAGCTCCTAGCTTTCATATCTCAGTTTCTAACACTGCACATAGCTAGTCAAAAAGTTAGCATGCTACAGGCCTTCCATATCCAATCATCTCACCTTTCTCTTACCTTCCAAAGGATTTCTTTCCACAGTGCTTTGGATATCTTTGCTTTCACTGCTTCACTCTTACTTTCAACGGTAAAGGTGACCACCATACCAAGAGAGCTCACTCTCATTATCCCAGCCTCTCCAGCAATGTGTTTAATGTCCTTAGTACACACATACAAGAAGCTTCTGATAGTGCTAACTAGGGCTGGGCGATGCTGGGTTTTCAACATCACAGTGTATCGCCAGTCAAACATTTGGCGAAATACCACGATGTTTGGCAAAATACCACAACGTTGAAAAAAGCTGCATTGACCCCAGCCAGCGAGATGATGGGTGAAACCACCGCAGCTCTCATCATGGGAGCTGAGGTGGCTTCACCCCAGCGCCTCATGGGCTGTGGCCAATACAGCTGGCTCCAGCCTGCTGCTCAGCCCGGGGGTGGAAAGGCTCCTGGCCCCAGCTGAGCAAGCCCTGAGGCCCCATGGCCAGGCTCTGCTGTGGGGCAGGAGAGCTCCTGCCCCCAATGGAGCCAGCCCTGAGACCCCTGCCATTTGTGGTGGAGCAGCAAGGACCTTGGGACTCCTTGGCCAAGCTCCCTCTGCCTTCGCTGGCATGGGGAGTGGGCAAGCTACCTTGCCCGCTTGCCCCCCACTCCCCGAAGACAGACCAAGCGGAGATAGCCAAGCACCTCGCTGATTCAGCTTGATTCTCTCTTAGCCGGGGAAGAATATGATGGCATATCGCTGGTGAAAGCGCCGCTGCTTGAGTCCCTCTGCCTCCAGCTCCCAACTAGCTTGTTTCTCCCTCAGTGCACTGGAGGCAGAGGGACTCAAGAGCAGTGACAGTTTCACCAGCGATATACTGCTGAGTGAAGCTGTCACAGCGGTCTGCCCCCACATACTGGTCCTGGGCAATATATCAATATACATCAATATACCAATATATCACCCAGGCCTAGTGCTAACCACACCTTGAAATACTATGAAAGAATATTGGACCCTAGTACCAGCAATGGACAGTGGGGTGGGGTCATGTTGCTTTCCTGATCTCTGCTGCTGTTGTATATCACAACGGAAAGGCGGGAGGAGGAAGGCAACAGTGAGGTCAGTGCAGTGCAAACATGCCAGCACTCTAGCCAGCACATTTGCACTGCACTGACCTCACTGCTACCTCATTGTTTCCCATCTCAATACGAAGCAATGCCCTGAACTGCAGGACAGCTCATGGGAGCGTTTGGGTGCAGGGATACCAAAGAAGGATGTCAAAAACATCAGAGTGATCAAGTTCTAGTGCTAGGTATAGACTTACAGCAAATCAGCCTGCCAAGTCTCCCAGCCTTTAGAAACACGGGACGGATACTACAGCAAGGAGATGGCTTGCCCGCACCCAAGCAAATGTTCATACATTCTTTATACACAAAGCAGCATGTGTCACTTTGGCCAGGACTCCCCATCACTTCACCTGGCCTGATAAGAGCATAGGTGGCAAAGAGCCACATCGTACAGATAGCTCTCCTTTCTGGGCTCAGAGCCCAGCACCCCAAGCCCACAGATAAGGATAACATCAAACAAGCCAATTAGCTCATATCAAAGCAAGTGAATATAAGCATACATGACCTCATGGTTACAACTACTACCAGTTAATTGTGGGGTTATCTTGACTACCAAGATGGCACTAGCGGAGCTTCCGCAGCAGTTCACCTTTGGCTCAATACAAGCAGCAATTGTGTCAGGCAAATGGCGCAGCCCCCACCATGCCATCTGCCTAGCACACAAATAATTTGTTGATTTCTTTCATCGCAATAGAAAAATAGAACCTAGTGTGTTCTATTTTTCCTTCCCATCTGAAGTATTAAGATGTATATATTTACAATGCTTGCCAACCTCTTCAATTAGAGCCAGGCACTCTGTCCCCCTAAGCACGTTACACTGTCTAGCAAAAAAAATTTACAGGTTGTAAAGATGGACAACAGTAGAAAACTGTGTCAGGAACCAAAAAGTCATATTGAAAAATACAACTTTCAAGTCGTCTGGCCCCAAAATGGCAACTAGGCATTACGTTTTGGTGACTGTAACCCTGGTTAAAGGAGCCATTTGGCACCTAGCTTATATATCTGAGTTTCTAACACTAACAAGGGGGTATGGTATGATTGTGATGGTATTTTTTTTAATGTAGAAGCTAACCACTTCTCATCACCTCCTCTTACTGTCCTCTCAGGCCCAAAAGCCCACCTGGCCACACATAGTCTGGTTTCAGGTCAGCATAACAGCCCAAGTCAACTCAGCTCTGCATCTGCCGTATTACTTATCTACACTCTCCCCCTGGGCCCAATCCATGGTGGTAGATGGCAGTGGCAATGAATGGAGGAAGAGCTGTCACTGCTACAGATACTAAATGGTGACCACAAAAAAACCTGCAGCTGGAACTTTGTAGCACAACCACACGACTGAGCACTGATAGCAGAGCAGTTCTAAAATCACTGCAAAAAGGGTTATTCTGCATTGAATAAAAAGGGTTTTGTAGGCAGCAATTGCTGAGATTTTGCATATTCATCCCAGAATTAAGTTACAGCCACATCTGTTAACTTTTAGGTGAATCTTTCACAATGTTAATGGGTTCTGATCTTGAAAGATAAAATGAAGCGTAGGCTGCATGTCATTTAGTGAAAGACTCCCTACGTTTGACAGGATTACATGGCCTGTTTAACCAGATTGTAATAAGACACTTAGGCTACAATTCTGTATATCAGGGGTAGAAAACTTGAGCCCTACAGGCTGGTTCTGGCCTCCCAATATCCACAGAAATTTGGCAATTTAACTTTTTTAAAAAACTTGCTTTGCTTATTTTGCTTGGATGCCCTCCACTGTGATCCTGGAGGGCCCAGCAGCACTCCAACAATCAGAAGCCTCTCCCTCAATTTACCTTGCAATGGTGCCTCGACTCCATCCAGTGTAATGCCATTGCAAGGAGGTCGGTGAATCCCTTCTTGTTTCTTAACCCCCAAGACCTTCTTGCAATGGCATTACACTGGATGGAGATGAGGCACCGTTGAAAGGTAAGAAAATATTTGAATCACTATGGACTCCATTCAGCAAAATACCGTATTTTTTGCTCTATAAGACGCACCAGACCACAAAACGCACCTAGTTTTTGGAGGAAGAAAACAAGAAAACAAATATTCTGAATCCCAGAAGCCAGAACAGCAAGAGGGATTGCTGCGCAGTGAAAGCAGCAATCCTCTTGCTGTTCTGGCTTCTGGGATAGCTGCGCAGCCTGCATTCACTCCATAAGACGCACACACATTTCCCCTTACTTTTTAGGAGGGAAAAAGTGAGTCTTATAGAGCGAAAAATACAGTAATTTTGCTATAGTGCAAGCACTCTTGGCTGCACCATTGAACTTCCACTTGTTGTCCTCCTCAGGTCCAATGCTAAACTGTGATGAACTGAAAAATCAGAACTTAGAGGTTTCCCAATAGTTCCTCATACTTGGACCACAGAAGAATGGGGGAAGGAGACAGAGAGAGGGGTTCTTTGGGGGGGGTTGGAGGGAGGTTAGACTTATTCCTGTCACCTATGGCACAGTGTGGAATTTTGAAGCGCATGAACTTATCTTGACAGTCCCCATAGTCACCTCCCCAAAGAGACCAAGCAGGTAGGTCTCTTGATCCATTCTATCTATATACTACAAAGCAGCAAAACATGGTTTTATACCCAACTGTTATAGAAAGGTAAAAAAAAGGTAAAGGAACCCCGGATGGTTAAGTCCAGTCAAAGGTGACTATGGGGTTGCGGCGCTCATCTCGCTTCAGGCCAAGGGAGCCAGCGTTTGTCCACAGACAGATTTCTGAGTCATGTGGCCAGCATGACTAAGCCGCTACTGGTGCAACGGAACACAGTGACGAGTGCCAGAGTGCATGGAAACACCGTTTACCTTCCTGCCACAGTGGTACCTATTTATCTACTTGCACTGGCATGCTTTCGAACAGCTAGGCTCAGGAGCTGGGACAGAGCAATGGGAGCTCACTCTGTTGTGGGGATTCGAACCGCCAACCTTCCGATCAGCAAGCTCAAGAGAGGCTCAGTGGTATAGACCACAGTGCCACCCGCGTTATAGAAAAGTGAGCTGGCAAAGGTTGGTGCAGGGATTAGCATGCTGCGAAAATTTTTGTTCACTGGGTAACACTGGGCCAGCTGATCCTAGCCTACCTCACAAAGGGATCACATGCAGGGAAGAGCCGTTGTCTAATCCTGGCAGATCTTACACAAGTGATGAAGCTTGCTCCAGCAGATGATGCCATCACTAATGACAAAGTACCAGAGCTTCACTCCTCCATGTTCCTTCTCCACTATATCATTGCCCACCATAACCATAGTTTATTATGAAATTCAAATACAGGCAATAGTTTATCCAATGGAACAAAGTGGAAGTCTGATGGGAAGAATTATAAGGAGCATTGGACAATATTCACACGGACTCGACTTGCTCTTCACCTAAGCCAACAACCAACAATACTGTATTCCTTTAGTAAGATAGAAATATGAAAAATACTTACTATGCACACATGTATGGAAATTTGGATTTCTTGTATATGGTGACCCATACCTCCTAATACATCCTGAAGAACAAAAACAAACATCGTTAAGCAAGTTGGCATATTAACTAACTTCTGATTTCCTGGTATTCTATTCAGCATGTTTGCTTGTTTGTTTGTTCTATTTAGACTACAACTGCCTTATTAGAAAAAACACAATTTGAATGCTATAAACATTATTAATTTTGTCAAAATATATTGTTGCTTTGAAATGCAGATGTGCTAAAGTTTATTAGGACCTGTGATTAATCTAGTTTGGGGGGAGGGGAATCTGAAGAATTTACTCAAAACAGAATATAGTTTTTTTGAAGATTCTAGTGTTTACATGTTCAACACAAATTTAATAGGGTAATAGTCAGATTTTGAAGGGTCACAATTCTCTGAATAATAGCCAGTCATTATAACTGTATTACTTTGTAATTGTAGGCAAATAAAATGTGCCTCTTTTTGAAAAAGCAGAATCAGCAACTTGATCTCTTTTAAGATAAAGAGATGTGCTCTGTTACACGGCACATTTTGGGGCAGATATTAACTGTGCCTAGAAAGTGACAACAAAATAGTACGAAGCAAAGGGTATCACTGCAACTCACCCAAATATCCCGGGTAAAAATAATCCTGTTGGAAAGAGAGAAGGGGGAGGGGGAGCACACAATTATTAGATTTGGTCTACAATTGAATTCATATTAAAATAAGCTCCTGACAGTTTGATAGCTGAGAAATGTGGTCTTAATGGAGGTCATAAGGTATGTGCTTTGCAACAGTTTTTTTAGATCAGCAGAAGCAAGATTTTCCCAGAAGCCACCATGTCTTCTTGTTTCTCCAGCAGCTGCCTCAAACCACCTGATGGGCAGGTAGGCTGGCTGGTAACCCTGCCATTTTGGGTGGCTTACCCATTAGCAGATCTGCTGGCTCAGAGGGTTCCAGCTGCCCACTTGAAAACTGAATCTTTCCCAGCAGCTCTTGCAAACTTGCTTCAAGAGCCAAATTCTCCTTCAACACTTAAAATGTAGCTCTCCCAAGCAGTGGTGTTGTGAAGAAGGAACAAGGGAAAATACAGTTCCAGGTCTTTTTCCACAGAAGGAGCGATGGCATTTATTTTTGAGAGCACCACAGCAATATACCTGAGAGAGGAGCAACCCTCTTTGCCCTCATAACAACCCTATGGGGTAGGGTTCAACATCCTAACACCTTTGCCAGTTTATTCTACAATAGTCAGCCTGTCCTAATGATTTGGGTATCATACTATGTGCTGCAGTGCTTCTCTTGAGTGGCAAGTATATATGTTTATATATAGATATGGATCGGGTTTCCTCAACCTCGGCCCTCCAGATGTTTTTGGCCTACAACTCTCATGATCCCTAGCTAGCAGAACCAGTGGTCAGGGATGATGGGAAATGTAGTCTCAAAACATCTGGAGGGCTGAGGTTGAGAAAGCCTGATATAGACACACACACACACACACACACACACACACAGCTGCTTGCATTCTTGTTCACTTCTGTTGAGCATGGCTATGAGCTCACCTTGGGAACATGGCTATGGGGACTGTCAGTATGCTATTCTGCACTTAAAATTACCACTACACCACTGAGCCCCAGCTCCACAACACAAATCTACCAGATGGGGAAGGCACGATTTCAATTAAGAGGCAGGAACTCTCCCCGCCAACAAATCTGAACATCACAAGAAAAGTGAGCTCTTCTTTTTAAAAAGACAATTAAAAACCTTGCAACAAACAACCATACAAAAATACCAATTTTTACACGCAAGAAAACAATGGTAATAAAAAATCAGTTGCATAGAACAATGAATTACAAGTGTTAGGCAGTGATGGTGGTGTATTCACAGAATCATGTAGCACTGGAAGAAATCATGAGGGGCATCTAGTCCAACCCCTGCTGGAATCTTTCATCCAACATGGGGCTCAAACCCACAACCCTAAGGTGCTCTACCAAATGAGCTATACTATAAGGGCTGAAATTTTCTTGCAGTCATTTCAAGCAGGTCTCTCCAAAGCCTTCCATGATCCCCCAATTGGATGTATGCAATAAAGCTATGCTATGTACCATAAAACGAGTCAAAGCTTGTTAGTTCTCTGGACCCTTTCAGTTTGTACAACAGCTCTTTAACTGAAGCAAGTGTCGAAACCCATTCACACCAGGTTTTTAGTGACAATCTTTTCAAATCCCTCCAAACACTTAGTAATTTCCAGTGTCTCCGTCACCAGGAGATACTTATTTTGCAAGTTCTCAATTATTCCCTCAAAGACACCCAATTAATCTACAGGTGAAACAACTACTACTACTGCCTGCCTATACAGTGGTACCTGGGGTTACAGACGCTTCAGGTTACAGACTCCACTAACCCAGAAATAGTACCTCGGGTTAAGAACTTTGCTTCAGGATGAGAACAGAAATCGTGCTCCGACGGTGCAGCGGCAGCAGGAGGTTTCAGGTTGAGAACGGACCTCTGGAACGAATTAAGTACTTAACCTGAGGTACCACTGTATCAAACTTTGGAGTGCAGCATCAAACATAGACTTCCAATCAAGGCTTGTTACCAACACTATAAACTGTTCTCATGATATATTCCAGGAAAAGAGGCTGGTGCAAAAATCAGTGCACTTTAAGAGGAGCTGAGTCAAAGGTCAAGTAAGTAGCAACTGGCCTAGCTTTTAAAGGAATTTAAATCTGGAAACAGTTACTGCACCCTGACAGATACTTGAAGCTCATCTTAGCTTTCACCTCTCATTTCCAATAGACGGAAGAGATTAAGAGGATGAGACCAGAATCGAAACAGTTGCAACAGCCATATGCAGTGCTTTTCCTAGTGTATGACACCAAAAGCAAACAAAATGATCGTAGAATCAGTTGGAAGGGACCTTGAGGGTCCCCGCAATGCAGGAATCCTGTCCACAGTCATCCTTGGGTGGGCTTGAACCACCAACCCTCTGGTTAACAGCAAGACACGCTGTCCCACTGCACCACAGAAATAAAATGATATGCTTGAGACTTTTAGCTCCCAGTGGATATTAAGCATCTGTTGTGGGGCATGAGGAGGAATTCAAGGAAGAGAATGGAAGATTTTTGCATAGATAAAAGCGCATGGTAGTTAGGAAGGAGTGATGAATAACAAACAAGAGTGCCAAAAGTGCAGTGTTGCACAAATGTAATACTTCTACAGAGTTATGGAGGCTGGGGAGGGCTTTTAAGGCCAAGATAATGAAAGAATGCACCAAGATGCCCAGAACAAAATTCTAAACTATTGGTACTTATGTTTCTGATGCTTGAATATTTCTAATTTCGTTAAGCAGCTTAAACTTCCATCCACAGCCCATTTAATCCAGAACTGTTCTATGGGAGAGAGTCAAATGGGCTGCTCAGAAGGCATTCATCTGTGACTTTAAATATCTGCAAAGCCCAAAGAGTTTCGTTTACTCTTGAGAAAAACAAAAAACGAGAACAAAAGCTGAGCTGGAAATAGCCTTTTCCTGCACATGACATTTCTATTTATTTGGGCTTCCGAAACTCTGTAGATTGGTATTTCTGTTCAGCTTATACCAAAAAGATTAATCTGACAGGAAGAGCAAATTGCATCCTATAGAGGAAAAAGTCAGCTGAGGTTAAGGTGGTGGCATCATTCAGAAAACAAAGGTGAGCTAGCCCTATAGAGACGCCCGAATATTTTTTCTAATGTCTGGAATGAGAGCATGCGCCAACATTTAGAAGAAATGCTATGACTTAAAACTTGAAAAGTATTATACATCTTTTTCTGGCCCAAGTCCTTAGAAGCAGTCACTTTAAATAGAACTCTATTTCCATCTTTGTACAGTGATGATCTCAAAATAACAAAAACAACAACTAATAGAATCACATTACAGTGGTACCTCGGGTTACAGACGCTTCAGGTTACAGATGCTTCAGGTTACAGACTCCACTAACCCAGAAATAGTACCTCGGGTTAAGAACTTTGCTTCAGGATGAGAACAGAAATCGCACGGGGGTGGCACAGCAGCAGTGGGAGGCCCCATCAGGTTAAGAACGGACCTCCAGAACGAATTAAGTTCTTAACCTGAGGTACCACTGTAATAAATATCAAACCACACTCTACATAAAACATGAAGACTGATTTTTAAAATGTTTTGAAAAAGGTGGCGCCTCCCAGCTTCAAACTCCTGATAAACAATCAGCTACATCAGGCTCATTTACCACAGCATGAGTTGCACAATTTTTATGGCTTGGGCACTGGTTTATGGCTTGGAGTTGCCCTGAAACTGAACCAGTTTCTGAAGACCAAAACCAGAAGTTATGCACAGAAGCCTGTAACTAGTCTCTATTTTTTTTTAATGAAAAGCAGCCTTAGAAGGTTGTGAGCATGACGGAGCAGATGGGGGCTGGGGGGGGTGTTTGCTGAACTCTTCTTCTGTCAGCTGTTTTCCCAGTCAAAATTGCTCTCCAATTTGCTTTCCTACTATGGGGGTTGATAGAATGCAACTAAACAATTCTGTCACATCATGCTTCCTTGCAATTTACTGAAACACCCATTAATAATAAAAAAGCATTTGCTGGTCCAGTGTATAAAAGCCAGTTTTCTGGCATTTCTTCATCACACTGCAGTGTGACAAAAATTTACCAGTTCCTCAGTTCAGGTGAGATGTATGCATCACCTGCAGTTGCTCATACATGAGTAGACTTAAACCTTTAGCCAATCCCAGGAGGTGAGCTGACATAGAGAGGGAGAGGGAAAGAAGTGGAAAAGAGCTAGAGTTTTGCCAACCCAATGAAGTTGTTGTGCATTTATTTATTTATTTATTTTAAAATGATATTTATTGAGAATTTTAAGATTACAAAGAAACAAAGAAAAAAAGGAAAAAAACAAGTAACAATTAAACAATACAAATCGATAAAAATCAAAGTCAAAAAGCAAAAGCAAAACACATAATACATCAAAAGCAAAAAGCAAAAATAAACAAAAAAATTAAAAACAGATGCAATATTCTCAAATCCTTAACTGTCATTACCTTATTTCATCGACCTCCTCGCACCTCCCTTTGTATTCTAGTTGTTAATTATCTCAGCAAATCCTTTCCATCTTTCATAATATTCTGTCATTAAATTACCTTAATCTATATTAACCTTATCTTGCCATAAAAAACCCTAAAACTTAAAACTTAAATCTTATTTATACCAATTTCTCATAACCATAACATATTCTTACATAATTCTTTTTAAAATTTCTGCTAAAGCCAAATAATTTCGTTCCAACATTTTTCTAATACTCAATAATTTTACAAAACTTTCCTAAATAATCTTTTTAAAAACTTTCTTCCAATCTTCATCCAACGTCTCTTCCTCCTGGTCTCGGGTTTTGTCAGTCCTTTCTATCCCATCCATCTAGTTCATCAACCTGGTAACCTTATGTCCGAGGCTCTTAAATCTCTTCCATGTCCCTTCCGCAGGTCTTCTTCATATTTATACCTGTACTTTACTTTGTCTTCTGCTCCTTTCACTCGTGGAGACTCCAGCTTGACAATATTTTTATCCCTTCTCGACTGGTCAGCCCCTTTTCCATAGTCAACACTGAATTCCATGTGGTATTTAAAAGCATGTTTCAAGATCCCTCCAAAGTTAAGGGCCCCCACAACTCCGAACTCCTCCCGGCCCAAAGCCAGACTTGAAAGGTCAAAACATCCCTGCATAGGGGGGTCTATCCAGCCCCCCATCTCCAAGCCAAACAAGACTCTATCTCTCCAAATCTGGCTTTTTCCAGGTTCATTCGTCAAATCCAACAACTCATGTTCCTGCTGGGCCACAGTTCCCTCCATCTCTGCCTCCCGAGGTCCAGCAACAACCTCCTCCCTCATCTGATCTGTCAGAGCACACTCCTGGATTAATTCCTGAGTGGGTTCTATATAGGTACCCACTGCCTGTCCAAAATTTCCGATCGCAACAGTCATCAAATCCGTCTTCTCATGTAACTGTTCCAATAAAGCACTTGTCTTGCAGAAGGCAAGCACCAGAGCCTCCAAGTACATTCTTGTACAAGGTCAGAGTCTGGTCCCACGATCTTAATCTATTGCAGCTGCAAAGCTCCCCAGTTCAGATTTAGTAACAGTTTCGCAAGCTCCCTCTAGGGGAAAAAGCTTCTATTTGTATCCATCTCTTTTTTTCTTCTTCTTTTTTTTAAAGCAGATCTAACAACAAAGTTTCCTTTTTCAGATATTTAGTCAATATTTTGTTCCTTTTAGATGCGAAGGGGAACAATGGAATCAATATGTTTCTCTTCTTTTAACTATCTGTCAAAAACGTTTGTCTATAGTCAATGAACTTCCCAAGGACGTCTGTCCCGACACCCCGCTCCCAGGTTCAAGACGGTGGAAAATTGCTTTTCTTTACTCTCTCTTCTGCAGGTTTAAACAGTCCAGGAAAAGTTCTCCCCTCTTCTCCTGCTTCCAAGGGGGGGTTCAGTAATTTTAAATGATGAAAATTGATCCTTTACAGACGACTTTCTAAACTCTAGTTTGCCGTGTCTTTGCTTTAATCTATCTACAAAAGCGGAAGGCGGACTTCCTGTTTAGACCTTCCCGCTTCAGTGCCAAATTAAAAGAAATTTCTTAATCCAATTTTCCGTTCTACTCACGGGCAGTTATTTAAAATCCAATTGTCCACAGGAAAAAGTCAGCACTCTCCGGCAACAGCAATGCGGCTTCACTCCGTGAAAGAAGCAGTCGATTCTAAGCACCGCGCCACTCACCCCACGTCGCTCCGGATCCCCGAAACCGGGGTTCCCCGTGAGTGGGGGTGGCGCAAAGGTGCCAGCCGAATCCCACGTCCACAGGCTTCTCCCACCTGTGGTTTTTGATGGGTCTCCGCCTCGCCGTGGCGGTTCAGACCCTTTTTTCCACGGAGTGGATTCCTTCCGATCGGAGGAAACCCGCCATTGCCAGAGGCGCCAAACCAGAAGTCAAAGTTGTTGTGCATTTAAATCATAATGCCATTTAGGGGGCACTTCAGGATCCTTATTGTACTAATGAAAACTGTTCCGCCCATATTTGGACCTGGCTGAACTGCAGCCAAGTCCAAAACAGGGGGGTTCTGCTGTCATTGGGCAAATACGGTGGTGGGACTTGAGGTCTCAAATTTCAGTTGCATTCTGTGCAACACCAAAATTTGGTGCCCCCCACCCCGATTCTCGTGCTCCATTATAAATAGTTGTGGCATCCCTTGTGCGCCTCCGAGGCTCGGCACCCAATACTCTCTAAATACACCTCTGGCAAATGAACGACACGTTCCCATGTAGTAATACAACTTCCTTGCACTATAGTTTGCTAATGTTCCATTAGACACATTTCAGCATTCAAGGATAATCAGTGTAAAGTCATGGATCCACACAGGAACGTTTTAGTAAAATCCTCCAAGGAAATGCAATGCTAAAATCTTCAGGAGAATTTTTTCACCAGATTTGAAAGATTTATACCATTTAAATCAAAATAGTAACTGTTGTTAGGATGGCTAGACTTAGGTTGCATTTCCAATGATATTTATGTCTAGACGACTTAAGTTCACCAACATAAACCAAAGACATTTTATATTCTCTTAATCCTCCATTCCCTCACCACGATTACATTCTTTCCTCATTCTCTAATGTATTAATAAACATTTAGATAGCCATTTATATCTTTATATCTAAATATTTCCATTATTAGAAGTGGTCTCATTATTGTGGCTGCCAAACTTCCTTTGTAGAAAAGAAGAGTAACTGCTACTATATTTATCATTTGGTCAGCAGTGCATTATTAGGAACCCGCTACAAAAAATAATAACATACTTTTAAAAGAAAACCCTGCACAAAATGCAGTTGCAATGCTTAGATGATCCTTGGCCCATGAAGTCCTGCTTGCACATTCAAGCAACATTTGCCACAACCATCACCACACCCCCATTGCCCTGAATCTCCCACATTGAATGGGACAGTATGAAGGGGGATTCCCAGCGCATTTGGATAAATGTACTACCTACAAGCCTCTGTACAATCAGGGAAGCCGGATATTGCTGGGTACCCAACAGTGTTCAGGGGAAGCCTCCTTCAAACCTTCCCTTCTCAAAGCATGAAGGTCCCCACCGGGAATGGAGTCATGAACGTATACATCTTCGCTGCCTTCTTCGCGTATTCACTTTGGACACCTGAAGAGAGCTATAGTGGTCCTAAGATGAACCCAGCCAAAGTCAAGCATGCAAGCCCCATGGATTTCAATGTGAAACGCTAAAGCATATCTTCAGCTTTCTCCTTTAATGTCACGGCTTTAAAATGCTTTGTTTTGATTAGATCATGGCCACAGACATCTTACACACACAAAACACCCCCCAGTGAACAGGGTTTTTCCTCCACACCGTTTTTTTGTTACTGGGATCATCACTGCTTCCTTCCACTCTTGGAAGCAAGCACCCTCGTTTACATGTACATGCGCCTCATTTGCCTCCCCCTCACTGGATTGCTACTAGACACTAATGCGTGAAATGCCTCTTACATGTACATGCGTGAAATGCATTTGCACTGGAACTTGACAATAAAGGAATTCTGTTGGTGTTGGTAGGTCTAGTAGCTCATTCACAAACTGAGTTATTACCAAGTGACTGCATCATGCTAAACTATGGTTTAGTAAGACATAAGCAAACCTAGCCTCTTCCCAGTTCTCCCTTGCCCTTTTTTCCTCCCAGGCAACCAGTACGAGGAGTCTGAATGTTTTTGGTTTTGTTGAACCATGGTTTGTTATATCATCCAGATCAATAAACAGTGGTTAATTTCAGAAAGCCAGAATCAAACCAGAGTGACTGGAACTGGTTTTGTGAAATAACCATAGTTAAGGTTAACCATAGTTCCAGGCCCAGACAACACACTAAACTGTGGTTAAAAAAAAAGGAGAAGCCAAAACTTCCAAACTCCTCCCATTGTAAGGGAATAGAAGAGGGAGTTTGTGTGAGCCCAGGAGGAGGATACACTCATTGTTATCACAATAAACTAGTGTGATTTCTTTTGTTCTGGTTGTTATTATGTATTTGTGTTTTGATCTTGTATTTTTATGTTGTGAACTGCCCTGAGATCTATGGATGAAGAGTGGTATACAATTTTAATAACAAACAGATTTGTGTGATGTCCAAACTTAGCCATATACAGTCATAACTCGTGTTGCGTTAGGTTCATGTTGCGTCTTTTCTGCTTGCAAATGTGGCAAACCCGGAATTGTATACTTCCAGGTTTTGACACGGGCGCAGAAGCACATGCACAGAAGTTCTCTATCGCACTCCGTGCTTGCGCAGAAGTGCTGCTCTAGTTGTGGACTTTTCGGGGTGTGGACGGCACCCTGGAACGGATCATGTCCACAACTAGAGGTACCACTGTACAGTGGTACCTTGGTTTACGAACTTAATCCATTCCTGAAGTCCATTCTTAAACCAAAGTGTTTTTAAACCAAGGCATGCTTTCCCATAGAAGCGGGGGACTCAGTTTACAAATGGAACACACTCAACAGGAAGCGAAACATGTTCTTATTCCAAGGCAAAGTTCACAAACCAAAACACCTACTTCTGGGTTTGCAGCGTTCTTAATCCAAGTTGTTTATAAACTAAACTGTTCTTAAACCAAGGTACCACTGTACATGCAAGTGTACATGCAAGGTCTTAGCTTACCACATTCATTTTTCTTGCCCTTTTAATTACAGTGGCTTGTAACCAACTAACTTCTACTCAGAGTAAACCCATCTGAAATTAATGGACACAAGTTAGATATGTCTATTAACTTCATCAAGTCCTCTCCAACTAGCACTGGATATAATCCAATGAGAAATAATAGCAAAATCAAGTAAGTTGCTCAAAACTCCAGCCTTTTTTGTCCACTATTTTTGTTTTTTCACAAATCCTTGATAAAACTCAAAGTGTGTAGGGAGAACGATGACACCTCTCATAATTAAAACAAGGAATTACTTGACTAGAGCTGTCCTGCCTTGTCTAGGCTGAAATTGCCTTTCCTGTTATGTAAAACTGCTTTATCCTAGGCGTTACAAGGCCTACAAATAAAGTAAAATAAAATAATACACAATACTGTAACTTATAATTCTGAGATCGGCCTTGTATCCTCTCCACTGAATAACAGATTTCTACCCTTCCTCCTCAAAGAGTGCTTTAAAGCATCTTATAAAATTTAAAACTAATATATAAAAGGATAAAACCATGCAAACAATTTCAGCATTACAATAAAAAGCAGTTAAAGATTAAACAGCAGTGAACATAAACAAGAAAAACCTATAAAAGCAGAACTTCTCCAAAGCTAGTTTGAAAATATTTGTCTTTCACCTTTTGTTCTGCTTCACCAAATGATGCCATGTTTATATGTGGCTCTCTATTCCTGGAATATTACCAGAGAGCTTCCCCCTTCCCATCTACCTACTCAGCAGCCTTTGGTATAGTGGAACAGGTCTCTCAACATGTGGCAAGCCTATTCTATACATGGCTGACAATTCATGCTCATCTTTGATAGTCAGATTTTCAGTTTCACTGTCGGCATGTGCGTGTGTGTATGCGCGCACACACACAAAATCCAGAATTGGAAGCACATTCTTAATCCTGTCTGGTACTAAATGTTGTTCCTACTAATACTAGACATCTGTTCAAGAGAAAATGTAGTTGAGAATCACAGTGCCAAATATGCAATCACATCTAAAATGAACATAGAGCTGGTTGGCTGAGCTCGGAGGACCCTTGTTCGAATCGTATGCCTATTATAGCCTCAATTAGTGGGAATTCTGGACTCTGAATTAAGAGATCTAAGCTTAGGTTTCAATGAAATATGAAATCCTTTCTATGAGAGGGACTGTAGCTAAGTGGCTGCACACATGCTTTGCTCTTAAGTCTGGCTTGCTGTAAGGCAGCTTCCTATACAGTGGTACCTCGGGTTACATACGCTTCAGGTTACAGACTCCGCTAACCCAGAAATATTACCTCGGGTTAAGAACTTTGCTTCAGGATGAGAACAGAAATTGTGCTCCGGCGGCACAGCAGCAGCAGGAGGCCCCATTAGCTAAAGTGGTGCTTCAGGTTAAGAACAGTTTCAGGTTAAGTACGGACCACCGGAATGAATTAAGTACTTAACCTGAGGTACCACTGTATTCCTAACTAGACAAACCACCATTTCCCCTCCCCCACACTACAATATGGGGTTGGTAAAACCGTACTTATTTGTGGGGTTTTTATAACAGTTAAATCAAGAAGAACTTTCTGCAAGTAAGAGCTGTTTGACAGTGGTACAGACTCCTACAAGTGGTAGTGGACTCTCCTTCCTTGGAGGTTTTTAAGTAGAGGTTGGGTAGTCATCTGCCATGTATGATCTAGTAGAGATTCCTGCAACGCGGGAGGTTGGACTACTCCCTTCCAAAAAAAACCCCCAAATGCAGCAACCCTCATGGGGCATTTTCTCCTTCCTCTTGATCGTTTTGGTTCCCTTTTCTGAAGCTTTTCTGACTCTATAATCTCTTTGAGATAAGGGAACCAGAAGTATTTCAACTATGGCTACGCCATAGGTTTCTATAACACGATACCATCAGTTTTATTTTCAATTCCTTCCCTAAGGATTCCTAGTATGCAATTTGCCTTTTTCACAATCTGCCATACACTGGGTCAACATCTATCTTCATCAATCTATCCACTACAATCCCATGTTGGCCATCTTCAACATAAATTGACCCGAAACTTCCCAGCACTGGATAAAAATTGTGCATGATTCAACCAAAGTTAAGCCCTCTTAGGACAACATGTGTGTACATATTAGGAAGTCTCTCTAGACTGCCCTCATTTAAGCATTGCTTAATAACACCCCCACAGAAATCAACTAAATGTGAAGATCAGTTCACAACACAAACCACTAAAATGAACTGTAACTGCCATTGTGTAGCAGTCCTTGAGGAAAACAAGAAAGTGATCTGTAACCAACTCAAGCCAAGTTGAGAACGTTTTAAAAGACCTAATAGGTGTCCGACTGCCCTACACCTCGTGATGGTTTGGCAATCAGGCAGCAGCACTAAGTCTGAGCCAGGTATTGATGCAATCACTCCTAAGAAATCTTCTAGTTTCTTCCCACAGAAGCCTTCAGTTTTCACTCAGATGTTTGTTTAGGAAACATTTTTTTACGTTGAGGTCAGCCAAATTCCACGGCAGTTTCTGCTATTGAGCTTGCGTACCTGGCTGAACACTGAAAGGTCAATTATTTCTTTCTCTGCACATTGTAACCACCACAGGCTTTTGTAGCACAATCTTCTCACTGAGAGTTCACTCTGCTCAGTAGAAAAAAATCTGCAATATATTGTGTTCCCAGTAAATCTGAAAACATTCCATAACACTGCAACATACTTTCTTGTAAAGCTTTGTATCCCGTATGTTTTTTCTCAATTTCAACCTTAGTAATAACATCTAGCTTACTTGTCAATGTGTGTTCAAACACTTACTTCTGCACCTTCTGACCCGGGTTCTGTTCTTTCTTTTTAAAGTGAGTGTCAACTGAAGTGAGGGAAAGCAGTTTTAAAAGAATTCCCAGCTGGCATTTTACACCTGTGAAATGCCACAGGTTAAGTTCTCCTTTAGGTTTGAGAGGATGTTAACTCTTAGGTTTATATCTCTGTAAGTGATGGGATTGCAAACCAGTACAATGATTTTGGAAAAAGGTCTTTGAATAAGTTTCTTCTAATAGGACAGGTGATACAACCTGACCTGAGGCTCGCTTTATTAAATATGTTAATAGACACCAACAATAATCTACTGTTTAAGGAACTACTAATCTTTTTCATGTCTGCAGCTAGGAACATGTTAACACAATATTGGAAAACAGCTACTAACTTAACTCTAGAGGCAAGGTGGGATAGACTATGGAATGCAGCTCTTATGGAGAAACCAACAAAATACTGTATCTTAGAGCACCAAGAATCATAGAATTGTAGAGTTGGAAGGGACCACGAAAGTTATCTAGTCCAATCCGCTGCAATGCAGGAATTGTACGCCCAACGTGGGAATCGAACCCACAACCCTCATGTTCTACCAACTGAAACACAAATAAGATGCTGAAATTGCATGGTACATGTTTATTCAGGAAATGACAATGTTGTTCCCTTGCTACCAGCTACCAACAGCTCACTGGGACAATCTGTTAAAACAGAGTAGAAGACACTTAACTGATATCATCAACTCAAAACTATTACACAAACCTACTTAATGTCTGACTGCATCATTTATGCATGGAATGTTTCTTGGTGGGTGGAGCTATATGGGTATTTGTTATATTTTCAGAAACTGAAAAATAAAGTAGTTGTTTTTTTAAAAAAATGTTTCCCCCCTTTTTCTTTCTGCTACATCCAAATTATCTCTTGAAAATCCCTAATGACCTAGAAGCCTAATACTTGCTGTGCCAGCATAGAAATGCATAAACTGGGATATAACGGCTGCTGTGACAGCATGGCGTAAACAGGATTGACAATAAATATGTCGTGCTTTTTTCAAAACATTATTTAATCCCCATGATAAATTGTCATTCTCAAACAAACCATCTCCCCTGCAGAGAAGTTATATCACACAAATCAATGTCCTTGCATCCCAGGACACATGTTAATTGCAGGGATGCATGACCAAATATCTTACATTTTTAATTTGTCAAGCAGAGAAAAGACTCCACAGCCATGTAGAGAAAGAGCCAGCAGTTTCTACTTCCAAATATGAAAAGTATTTGTTGTTTAGTCGTGTCCGACTCTTCGTGACCCCATGGACCAGAGCACGCCAGGCACTCCTGTCTTCCACTGCCTCCCGCAGTTTGGTCATACTCATGCTGGTAGCTTCAAGAACACTGTCCAGCCATCTCGTCCTCTGTTGTCCCCTTCTCCTTGTGCCCTCAATCTTTCCCAACATCAGGGTCTTTTCCAGGGAGTCTTCTCTTCTCATGAGGTGGCCAAAGTATTGGAGTCTCAGCTTCACGATCTGTCCTTCCAGTGAGCACTCAGGGCTGATTTCCTTCAGAATGGATAGGTTTGATCTTCTTGCAGTCCATGGGACTCTCAAGAGTCTCCTCCTGAGAGTCCCATGGACTGCAAGAAGATCAAACCTATGAAAAGTATTACAGCCAGAGAAAAATCTTGTGCACCCTAAGTATTTTTTTTTAAGCTACAAAGCTACATCCTCAAACTGCCAATAAGAGTTCTCCACCCTTTGCAAGTAGCCAACACAAAGGAACTCAATTTGGATGGGTCAAAGAGCCACTCTTCCGCGTCCAGTGTTGTGGTCTAGATTCCCCCATCCCCACTTTCCTCTATGTAAACTAAGGTTACCAGACGTCCCTGTTTCCCGGGGACAGTCCCCACATTTACAAATCAGTCCCCATACAAAATCCATTGAAGTTGAGAAGTGTCCCCGGATTCATTGAAAAAAATCTGGTAACCTTAATGTAAACGAGACATGTGTAGTGTCACATCTAGCTTGCCCTGTAGGACCATTTAGAAGCACAGTCTCAAATACCTTTTGGGAGTATCAGTATCAAACTTTATTTCAGTCACAGACCAGCATACCTTTTGGGAAGAAGGTCCATACAGACAACCGCACAGGTCATGACTCTGAACAATAGAGCACAAACTGTTGCTTTGCTTTCACCTTTCTAATTCTAGCCTAACTGAAACACCAAATGACATGCAGCATTATGTATTTTTAGGAAAGGCTGGAATACATAAATGATTGACCTAAACAACAATTCTGATGTTCTTTTTCGGTGCTGTGCTATGATAGCATGTAAAACCTGCAAATTACATGATATTGACATAAAAGTTGTAAAGTGGCATTAATTCCTAGTAACATTCATAGGGGTGTTATAATTTATCTGCATTTATACAGCACATACTATTCAGGGAGTGAGGAAAGGGAGGCAGATAGAGGTTTGCCTAATACTATCCAGTACAGTGGTACCTCGGGTTAAGAACTTAATTCATTCTGGAGGTCCGTTCTTAACCTGAAACTGTTCTTAACCTGAAGCACCACTTTAGCTAAAGGGGCCTCCCGCTGCCGCCGCACGATTTCTGTTCTCATCCTGAAGCAAAGATCTTAACCCAAGGTACTATTTCTGGGTTAGTAGAGTCTGTAACCTGAAGCATCTGTAACCCAAGGTACCACTGTAGTTGATCACTGAGATAGCATTTGAACCAGAAGCATCCCCAGTTCAGAGCTCAGTCACTGCATTAGCTTTCATTAAATGCACTGAATGCTGAACTCCAAAAATACATCTCTACCTCTTTAAGCTCACTGCATTTCCATATTTGTAAGGGACTTTACCCACCATTCTCTTCTTCCCCCAGAAGCTTAGGAGAATCCCACTTCCTCTCTCTCCTCCTTAGTCCCCTCTCCCAAAATTGTAAACCTAAGACTTCATGTGAGGGCAGGGCAACTCAGGCACAGCAACTATTACACACAGGCCTGCCCACCATTCTCCTAAAGAGGAGAAGCCTAGCATGGAAGACTTGTGTATAGTATGCAGATCTGAAAGGGCCACAAAGGGTAAACCACCCAAAAGGTATGCTGAAGAGTTTGCTAAAACAGTCATAGCAGATACAGCTGTTGTTAGTAACTCAGAGAAGGTTTGGGAACCTTCAAGCTTCCAAGAGGTTGAAAGTTTAACCTCAGAGGATGCTGAGCCATGGTTAAATGCCATGAAGGCTGAACTTGATTCCTTAGAGAGGAACAAGACATGGGAACTACTTCCAGGCCTGCCCAGGCCACAAAAAGTTCACAAAGTTCAGTTATTGCAAGTTTTTCAGTGTTAATTTTATGCATTTTTTAAAATCACCATGGTATTTAACAATAATATCTTATGTCCTTTAGAGAAGAAATTGTGAATTGTAGAATTTTAAATACCCGTCATCAACCTTGGCTTCACTCAATTTTGTTTATAACACTCTTCCATTTTCGTCTACAGTAGTTGTGAGGGTGGGGGATGGGGAGGGGCCTCACAAGTAGAGTAGCCTAGGGCCTCTCTTCATCTAAATCCGGCCCTGCCTGCGGAGCTTATAGCCAGGGCTGCTGCAATAAATAGCTGCACAAGCCTTTGGGAGGCAGAGACATGAGAGGGCATCAAATAAAATAAGGAAGGAAAGAGAGACAGAGGGCAGCGTTGCTCACGGCACACCTGACCATCATTCAAGGCACGTTGGTTGAAAACCACTGGCTAAAGGCAAAACCACCAAGGATGGTGGTACCAAACACTTCGGCTTCCGCTGCAGTGAAGAAGCTCTGCCAGTGGAGGCCAGGAGAGATGAATGCACCACATACTATCCTCCACCCCAAGCCTTACCAATGCAGCTCAAGTGTGGCACTTAATATTTAAAAGTTAAGAATGTACAAGTATCAGTAAGTAATTTATGAGATCAACTCAGTGAGAACACAACCGTTAATGAGTTTACTCTGCAATGCTACCCAACTTAAAGGTAAAAGGTAAAGGGACCCCTGACCATTAGGTCCAGTCATGACCGACTCTGGGGTTCCGGCGCTCATTTAGCTTTATTGGCCGAAGGAGCCGGCGTTTGTCCGCAGACAGCTTCCGGGTCATGTGGCCAGCATGACTAAGCCACTTCTGGCGAACCAGAGCAGCGCATGGAAACGCTGTTTACCTTCCCACTGGAGCGGTACCTATTTATTTACTTGCACTTTGATATGCTTTTGAACGTCTAGGTTGGCAGGAGCAGGGACCAAGCAACGGGAGCTCACCCCGCCGCGGGGATTCGAACCGCCGACCTTCTGATCGGCAAGTCCTGGGCTCTGTGGTTTAACCCACAGCGCCACCCGTGTCCCTGCTACCCAACTTATAAAGTCTTAATTGCACGCCATTAAATAGGAAAATAATATCCCAGTCTATTTTTCTCTTTAAACAAAAACACCTTGATTTCACCTGGATCTTGGTGTTGAAACCCCACAGTAAACACTTCTAGCAGAAGTTACTTGCTGCATTCCCCCCCCTATTTTTTGCAACTATTCTTCACGCTGCGATAGTTCCAAGTCTATTAAAAGTATACATGTCAAGACATGTTTTGCCTTAAATACGAAACATTAACTACTCTAAGAGAAAGCAGCCAAGTCCCTCCCATTCTCAGTACTTTTGACCTACATAACTCTTTCCCTACCCACTTGCATCAAATCATTAACGGGAAAGCACAGCCCTGTGCAAAATCACCAGTCAATTTCTTCTCCAGGAAATTTATTCCCTAAACTAATGCCAGATAATCCGAGCAATAAAAGAGCCTATTCAGAGCAGCACATCTGGAAGATGTGAGCAAATCAGGAAATCATTTTTAAGCAGCCATTCAAACGCCATTCTATTTATGCAAAAATACTAGCCAATCTGAATACTACAAGCATAACACAAACCTATTGATGACCCATTTGAAACACACTTTATTTAAAATGCATTCTTTACACTTTTGAGAGTTTTAGAACTAAACAGCTGTAGACCTATAACCACATTGTTCTCACTAGGCAAACTACTTTAAAAAACCAGACTCATTCTACATAAGGTCAATGACTGCTTACATTTACAGTGGTACCTCGGGTTAAGTACTTAATTCGTTCCGGAGGTCCGTACTTAACCTGAAACTGTTCTTAACCTGAAGCACCACTTTAGCTAATGGGGCCTCCTGCTGCTGCTGCCGGAGCACGATTTCTGTTCTCATCCTGAAGCAAAGTTCTTAACCCGAGGTAATATTTCTGGGTTAGCGGAGTCTGTAACCTGAAGCATATGTAACCGGAAGTGTATGTAACCTGAGGTACCACTGTACCTAGTAACAAACAAGTTTTCATCCAGAAAGGGGGGGGGGAGGAAAATCCCAATCCAACAGAAGATTTTGATCACTCATCTAAATTGGAAAAATATGAAATGCTTCTTTTCAGGAGATTGCTTCAGCAAAATCCTTGGGGCTTGCAAGCATTTTAAACACTTTAAGAGTCCAGGAGAGGTGGAAGAGTGAAGCAGAAAACCCAAGATATCCCAAAGGATTCTCATAAGTACTATGACAAGTTAAACTCCTCTCTCCCCACCCCAGTAACACCCCCCCCAAGAAGAAACTCGTATTAGCAGATTAATGCCAATTTAGTCCAATATAAACAGCGCCTCCCTGCCGCTTTCTTGGCCTAGAAATCCAAACGCAATCTTGTTAAGCGAAGTGCTGGTTACCCTGTGTGGTTTCAGTTATTTATCTAATGGCTCCTCCTCCAAACAACTTCCCCAGCTGTGCGAGCAGCTGGCGCCCTCGTTCCCCACTCCTGCAGCTTGCAGCAGGCCTGAACACTCAACTGCTCATTTAATTTTTTAAAAATAAATTAATTAAATTAGTTATCACCGGCACCTCTCTCCCTCTCCCTCCTTACCGTCTCAGGGTCGTTCTCAAACACCTCCCGGGCTTCCTCTTTGTTGCAGAGCTCCTCCACACACTCTCGCTCCAGATGGCCTTGCTTGGTCTCTTCGAAAATCTGGTAGGCTCGGCGGTGCCTCTGCCGAAGGAACTGCGAAGCCTCCTCCCGGGTTCTGTGGAGCAGCATAGCTGGGGGCCCGAAGGGAAGCAGGGAAAGGAGCCATTAGCATTGGAAAACCACCCCCCCCCCCCGACGGTAACAAAAGAGCGGAGCGTGCAAAGCTGCGCGGGGGTGTGGGGAGGCGCGCGCGCTCGCGCTCGGGAAACAATGGCCCCGCCGCGCACTTTGCAGCCGGAGGAGTCTGTGAAACTGTCATGGGGTGGGGTGGGGGGAGTCCCGCTGCGGCTTTCCCTGTCCCCTCAGCTCACAAGGGGCTAGACCAGCTCCTCCATTGACGTCCCTTTGCCTGCGTCCAGCAACCAAAACAATGCCCAGCAGCCGCCAGCGCGCCCAAAGCGGCGCCACCGAGATCCACCTCACCGGGCCATAAACAATGACATCCCTGCGCCCCTTTGCCCTCTTGAGCGCGCGCGCTCTCTCTCTCGCTCCCCAAGAAACAATGGTTGGCCGGGGATATGGGTGAGGGGGAGCAGAGGGAGTGTGTCACCACCCACCCTTTTTCTGGAAAATGGTAAAGTCAGCCCTTAAAGCCCAGCAGCAGAAGGTCTCCAAAAAGTGATGGGGCGGGGGGAGGCTTGAGAACATAAACATTTGTTTTGTTTTAAGGCACCATTGAAGTGAAAGGCAGGCAGGCAGGCTTGGCTGGGTGGCCCATTGGGTGCAACCGGCTCCTTGTGAGGAAAGGCGTTTGGGATGTCCTGACCTTGAGGGGCAATGGTTAGAGCAGTAAAAGGGCTGACATGTCTCTATATAATACTGTTCTTCCCCCAGTCCGGAGAAGCTGCATTGCTCGTGTGGAGACTTTGCTATATATCGATTAATAATTAAAGGGAGGGGGCTAATTAAAGAGTGGGGCGGGGGGTGGAGAGAGAGGGGGGATAAAGCCGAAGTGAGATTTTTCTCTGCAAGGAGAAATTGCAAGAATGGCGGGTAAAAGAGGGGTGTTTTCTTTCTCCAGTGAGGGCGGGGGGCGGGGGGAGGAAAAGGCGAAGCCCCCCGAAGTACTACTCACTCTGCGAGGAGTCTGTAGCCAGCAGGACTAGCAAGAGGGCAGCAGCTGGAGCCGGCGGCTGCTGCATGATGCGACTGCTGCTGCTGCTGAGGCTGGGGCTGCGCCCTCCGAGTGGCGGAGAGGAGCAGGGCGGTCTGGTGCAGGAGGAGCGAGCGCAGCTACTGTTGGAAGGCAGCGCGAGCTCCGCCGAGCCCAGCGGGGGAGTCGCTTGTGCAGCTGAGCCAATCAATTGAGAAAGTTCGCGCTCGGGGCTTTGCAGCCACAGCGACACACCTCAGGCTTCGCGCGCCCTCGGTGCAGGGTCGCTGGAGAGAGGGGCAGAGAGAGGCGAGGCCCGGAGGGAATATGGCAGGACGAGCAGAGTGACCCGTGGGGTGGGCGGAAGCATGCCCTCCGGTGCCCCCGAGCCAGCGCCCCAGATTCCTTTACAGTTACGAAGTACTTGCCCTCCGGCCTTCAGGTTTGCGCTTCGTTTGAGGTGACAACATTCGTACGTGGACAGCAATTTTGCGCGCGAAATAGCCCACGTAAAGATTATTATCGCATTTAAGTGGCAGTCGTTGCATATCCACAATGGTGTGCGTGCCCCATGGCGTGTGTGTGTGTGCAGGGGTGCCAGCCAACTTGAATAAAATATTGGGGGGGGGATGTAAGCCTCAACCCGCATAATTGATCACATGACGTGGTGCATGCACGCCATTTGAATGGCAATGCCAATCAACTTTGGGGTGGGCAGCCCCCTCAAATATTATACTGGGGGTCGAAGGGACCTCAGCCCCTTGGAGTTGGCTCCTGTGTGTGGTAAAGGTAAAGGGACCCCTGACCATTAGGTCCAGTTGTGACCGACTCTGGGGTTGCGGCGCTCATCTTGCTTTATTGGCTGGGGGAGCTGGCGTACAGCTTCTGGGTCATGTGGCAAACCAGAGCAGCACACAGAAATGCCGTTTACCTTCCCGCCGGAGCAGTACCTATTTATCTACTTGCACTTTAACGTGCTTTCAAACTGCTAGGGACCGAGCAACGGGAGCTCACCCCGTCACAGGGATTCGAACCGCCAACCTTCTGATAGGCTAGTCCTAGGCTCTGTGTGTGTGTGGTAGTGGTATAGCAATATGTACATAGTCACTTCTAGACGGCCCATTTATTCAGCATTTATGCTTATTTGTTTGCAAGGAGGTTAGACGACGTTGGTCACTGAACATTTATCCTGATTTGTTTTCAGGGAAGTTAGACGATGTTGCTTCAAAGCAAGTGTCCCCTATGATTTCCCCGTAATATTTTTCTGTCACTTTCCTTTTTTCAGCAAGTCCAGTTTTGAGGGAAGCGAGTTTATTCAAATCAACTTTAATTGCGCAACCTGAATAGCAACAGCCTAGCAGTGCCCACAGATTGCACACTTTCATTCTAAGAACTTGCCATTGGTCATCACTTCCTCAGAGCATGTATGAAGGCTCCGCCCAAGACATTATGTCGCCTGAGGCAAAGGACAAGACAGTTGCATGCACACTCTACCTTCAAAGCACATTTTTCTCCTCAAAGAATTCTGGGCACTGCCGTTTATGTCTCGCAAAGTTACTGTCCCCAGCAACCCTTAACAAACTACATTGCCCAGAATTATTTGAGGGTAGAAATGTCTTTCAAATGTGCTTTAAAAGTATGGCATGTATGCAGCCAGTCTCACCCTCCCATTTCACGTACAGATGCCCACCAGACTGATAGCTGAATCTTTCTTTTACTCTTGCAATGGAACAGCATCACTCATTCTTACTGTGGCAGAACGGGTCAGTGTGTCTGGCTGTTAACCAGAAGGTTGGTGGTTCAAGCCCACCCAGGGACGGCTGTGGGCAGGATTCCTTCATTGCAAGGAGTTGGGTTGGACTGGATGACCCTTGGGGTCCCTTCCAGTTCCACAATTCTATGATTCTTATTATCTCACCTGGGGACAACAGGTTAGTTTAAGGGATGCAGGGTGGTCTTATGGCACTCATAGCTCTGTCTTCCATTCATACATGTTTTGAAGTGCTCCTGTGAGGGTTATTATGGTGCCACACAAAATAATACAGTGGTACCTTGGGTTAAGTACTTAATTCATTCCGGAGGTCCGTTCTTAACCTGAAACTGTTCTTAACCTGAAGCACCACTTTAGCTAATGGGGCTTCCTGCTGCTGCCGCACCGCTGGAGCACGATTTCTGTTCTCATCCTGAAGCAAAGTTCTTAACCTGAGGTACTATTTCTGGGTTAGCGGAGTCTGTAACCTGAAGCATATGTAACCTGAAGTGTATGTAACCCAAGGTACCACTGTATTGTATTGCAACTATTTCATCACTTGTATAGCACTCCTCTAGCTAGTTTTAAAAAATTTCTATACCAACAAATTCTTAACTTGGCTTTATTATATCTGAGTGATGAAGGGAGTGCATTTGTAGCCTGGCAAGCATCACTTCTGAAAGTTTGTAACATTCCTGGAAGAAAAAGCCCATTGTTTAATGTAATTTACATACTAGTTGAGGCAGTTTTTGAATTTGATTTATTAAAGGAGGGGGGGAATCCATGTTCACAAACATGACGTAAAAATTCCCTTCAATGGAATGTTACTTATAAATGGAGTGAAGGAGCTGTTTGCATAGTCCAGTGCAATAATGTGATATGGGTAAATGGCTCGTTTGCTTATTATTTATGCTTTTGAGAAGGGGAATGAAGTGCCCTCCTCTGTCCCTTTAATGATATTTCACCTATGAGCAGATCTACTTAATTGCAAGGGCATCTCAGTGCTATGCAGCTGCAGTTCTGTAGGAACTCATTGGGACTTGCTTCCAAGTAAACATGCATAGGATTGGGCTACATGCCTGTTTCAGAGTTGTCTTGGCTGTGCTTCCTTCAGTTTATCAAGTCTCTGTAGCTGGTTCAGGCTTGTACTAGGTCAGCCAGAAAGCAAACCAATAAGAATTATGCATCAGTACATATCATTGTTGGCATGCAACACATTTTATAGGAGGAAGGATTTTTTGAGCAGAAGAAAAATATTAGAATTACTTACAGTAACTGCAAATTGGGTACTGGTAATTTGAGAGAACACAGCGCAGTCTGGGAATGTGTCAAAATATGCCTTAGAAACATTCCGATCTGGAACTTGCCACTTTAGTTTTCTAATCGTATTTTCCACCCAGGTGCCAGGAAGTACAGCATGGTTCTGAAAGACAGGAAATGCTGGACTGTTTTGTCCCCGCAATGTGTGCCTTAGTTAATTCTCAGTGTGATTTCCTTTAATTGGAGGTCATATTTGACACATGAAATTAGCTTTTAAAATCAGCCAGGACTTGTGCATCCAGTTCAGGAGATGTTTACAATGCTTAAAAGGAAGCTGTTCTGAATTTAAAAGGGTTCTTTAAGTTCCTGCAAAATGTTCCTCTGGCTGCTACTTCTTTTTAAAACCTTGAAAAAAAATTACCTCCATTTGCTTTTATGCATAGTTACATGGGGGTAACATGTGACGTTGACACATCATGAATTCTCAGAGTGCTCTCTCAATACCAAGAAGTTCCAGAGGGGTAGTTATGTTTGTCTGTTGCAGCAAAAATGACGAGTGTGTCCCGTGTTAGCCTTAAAGACTATTTCATAATGGCAAAAAGTTATTTCTTATTATAGCATAGTCATATGGATGCATGTTTTAGCTCCTGTGAAGGATCCTAAACCTCTTGGGAGTATGTACAGGAATACATGTATGTGTTGGACATGCATGTGGGTTAAAATGTATGCTTTGTAACAAAGGCAGATTTTCACAATGTACTGCACACCACAGCCCATAAATATTTCAATTATACCAATAAAGGTTGGCTGAATGAATAATATTTCATTTTAAGAAGAGTTAGGAGTGTTTCATAAGGTTTTTTTAAAAACTTCCTTTTGTCCATCCTTGACTTGGTACCCATCAATATTATTGGGTGGCTTTGAGTTCTTGTAACATGATGAGTGGAATTCACTACGTTGTACCCACTCTCTTCACATCTTTTATCATTGTATCAATTTTCACCACACTGTAGCCTTCTTAGTCATCTTTTTTCTAAACTTCATAGGGAAGGTGTCCCAAACTTGGCTATTTTAATAGATCCTTTATTTCTCTTTCACAGCAACTAAATGAGGCAGCTAGAATTCTGCAAAGTCCTCCACATTTGTAAGTACCATGTATTTTTATACATAACCTGTGGTTTTCTCCTCCATATTAACTTCTAAAACTAGATTTGCTTTTATTGATGAGACACAGCACGTTGGCCTAGTTCTGACATACTGGGAAACCATAACTTTCCCCTCTGTCAGGAGTGGGGAGCCTTTTTCAACCCAAGGACTGCATTCCATAATGAACAGCTTTCCAGGGGCCAGAGGATTAGTAGAAGAAAAGGGGAAAAGAAGATTCAGGGACAACACGTGAGTGGAACAGTGGATATGATTCTAAGGCTGTGTACATCCAGCACACTCCCATGGCTGGTTTGGGAAGTGGTTCTACACACAAGGTTAAGCACAATCCACAGCTATCCTGCATCTATCATGTTGTTTCTTACGAAATTCTTTGTTTTGACGTGTTTCCCCCGAAGCCAGCTTCAATTGGAACTGAGAAAAAGAATGACAAACCTGCATTTTAAGTCAATGATGCATGCATTATTGCACTACATGCAGAGGCATACAATGCTTGTACTGTAGGTTACATTATGGACACTCAAGTCAGAGGTTTCCTGTTTCCACACATGCACTCCTTTATGAAGCAAAAGACATTATCGCAGTTCAAGGTCGCATTTTAGCCAGGCAAAAGCACTTGAGGAGGGTGAAAAGCATGGCTAGTAAGGAGTGTGGCCCTGGGAGAGTCTTTAGGGCCCGACAGAGGATGGCATTTGCCCCCAGGCCTGATGTTTTCCACCTCTGCCCTACATGAGAAAGTTGCAGTGAGCCTTGGCCTGGATAGGAAGGCTGGGAAGGTTGCATTTGGTTACTGAGCCTGAGGTTCTCTGTTGTTGTTTAGTTGTGTCCGACTCTTCGTGACCCCATGGACCAGAGCATGCCAGGCACTCCTGTCTTCCACTGCCTCCCGCAGTTTGGTCAAACTCATGTTGGTAGCTTCGAGAACACCGTCCAACCATCTCACCCTCTGTTGTCCCCCTCTCCTTGTGCCCTCAGTCTTTCTCAGCATCAGGTTCTTTTCCAGGGAGTCTTCTCTTCTCATGAGGTGGCCAAAGTACTGAAGCCTCAGCTTCAGGATCTGTCCTTCCAGTGAGTACTCAGAGCTGATTTCCTTCAGAATGGATAGGTTTGATCTTCTTGCAGTCCATGGGACTCTCAAGAGTCTCCTCCAGCACCATAATTGAGAGCCAGTGTGGTGTAGTGGTTAAGAGCGGTAGTCTCGTAATCTGGGGAACCGGGTTTGAGTCTCCGCTCCTCCACATGCAGCTGCTGGGTGACCTTGGGCTAGTCACACTTCTCTGAAGTCT